GCAATGTTGTAGTTTAACATTCGAAATAATGTTGTTTTGTATAAACATTTGGGGTAAAATACGGCAATCATTTTATATATAGGATTTTTTGGACGTGCAAAATACAAAAAAAATATGAATAAAAAAATTCAAAAAATTTTATCAATGTATTTTTTAAAAAGTAGAAAAACTAAAACCTTATGGTAAAAAAAATAAATAAATAAAACCTTTAGGTAAAAAATACGGGCAAATTTTATATTAAAAACGAAAAATAAATCAAAAAAAAATGTTTTTTTTTCTTATTTTTCGGTATAAAAAATTTAATGAAAAGCAACAAAAAATCAATGTAAAATACGACTGCTTCATATCTTTTTTGGAATAAAAAATAATTCAAAAAAAAAAAAAATAAAAAATCTTTGTAAAATACGCGAGTTTATACGGTTTTTCACAGTAAATCTTTTTGAAAAAAAAAAAAAATAAAAAAAAATCTTTAAAAATCAATAAAAAATTCAAATTTTATTTTATTTTTTTTTTATTTCTTTCCGCAAAACATCTCCGAACGAACGACATATTCCAGGTGAGATGAGTCGAGAGTCATTATCGAATAAAGCGCAGAGAATTAAGCCGATCGAACAGAGATTTGTGGATTTGAGTGTGAAATTACGGGCCAAATTAGCTAATGAGCAGGTTGGAGGAGATTAGCCGGAAAAAGAATAAGTGAAAAAATGGCTATTTTGAGCAAAAAAATCTTTTTTTTTGCAACATTGCGTATTTAAAAAAGCTTTGTAGATCATTGTAATACACAACAATGATGAAAGGATCGTATTTTACATTATTATTATGTCCTAATTTTGGCAAATTTTACTGTAGAAAGCATAAAATTTTTTACTTTGTCTTTTATTACCTAAAATTTAGTCCATAAAAAAGATCACTCGCATGCTTTTTCGTATTTTAAAATGATTTGAAGCGACGTTTCTGACTTCAGCTTATGTATTACCAACCATTTTTGCACAAAATTGTATAAGATTTGCCCAAAATTTTTTAGTAAGCTTACTCCAGCCATGGTTTTCCATACCGACCGCTTATTTCTAGGCTGCGCCCAGAAAGCGCAGGCTAGAATTCAAAATAAATGAATCATAAATTAAGTACATCAGGCAGGTCAAATTTGAAGAACAATTAGGCCTTTTATTTCGGCCATTTCACCTTTACATAGAGAGTGGAAAGTTGGTAAATAAAATCGCCAAGGACCAAAAAAAAAACAAAGTTTATTTAGAGGGGTTTCCTTGGAAGATTTCTTATTATTTTATTTTTGGGCCAAGGGTGCATCCAAAGACATATGAAATCGCTCAATAGATATACCTATACAAGTTTTATCCTATAATTGTTGCTGATAACGATAAAACACACCCAACACGAGCCAGAAAACACAATGCCAAATTAGTGCCAAAATGGCGGGAAAAGTGAAATTCAAAATTATTCAAAAAATGTTTTTATGGGACGCACTGGGCCATAGGTCCCCACCAGAGATTGCCATGGCTCCGGAGCCGGTTCTTGGCTCCGGCTCTGAGCGGCTCCGGCTCCGAGCCGGTAGCCAGAGCCTGAGCCGGAAATTTTGGGCGCGGCTCCGGCCCCCGAGCTCAAAGTCGGAGCCAGGCTTCTCAGCGTTCAGAAAAGTAAAATTTTCATGATCTTGTTGAACCAATTTGCTTGAAAAATACTGGGAAGGATGTGCTGCATATAACTTGGTTGCAAAAACGTTGGGTGTATGATCTCTGGCACTAATAACGTCTATATTTGGAAAAATATTTTAAAAAAATTTTTACACGGGAACCGGGATTCGGAGCCGCAGACCTTTTTAAGTTTTTCATGGGAGCTAAGAGCCGGAGCTGCAAATTTGGTCTCGGCTCCGGCTCTGGGAGCTAAGAGCCGGAGCCGAAATTTTGAACTTGGCAATCTCTGGTCCCCACTGGCCGGGCTTTGAAAATTTCGTAATGGGCCGGGCCGAATTTTATGAAGGCTAGGCCAGGGGTCCGGAAATGCCAAAAGCCCGGCCCTCTAGCCATGTCTGGCGTCATTATTTTCCCGACAGACTGATATTACAAATCAATTCTTTGATTCTCTATTATGCGTTGTGCAGAGACTTGACTGTATTTTTTAAATTGGAAAACAAAAAATCATCTTTTTCCAACAATTTTTCATTACTTTTTAATAAAAAATCCCAAGCCCCTAGCAAAGCATAGTATAATATAATATAAAAGTCAAAGTAAAATTTCCTCCCAATCCCCTTCAGCTCCCATTATTACCCTTCACGTAAAAACAACGCCTTAGCCCCCTCGTCTCCAGCGGCGTCAACCAATTTGTTTACCCAAAAACAAGCGCCCCCTACAAAAGCCCGGTCTTGTCGCCGGTCAAAGCCAAGTGATTTGTGGACAAAGGTGGAACAGGTGGGCCATTATTAGGTGAGAAGGGATTAATTCGACCGGTGCGCGGATAATTACTCGGTTTCGAACATTGGAGGGGAGAGAATGAGAGGAAAGGGGAGTTGGAGTGGGGAATTGCGTAATTTTCGATCTCTTTCGTTGGCAAGGTTAAACCCGGATATTAGACTTGAATATGGAAGAAAGGGAGGATAAAATTACGACATTTGAATAGTAGAATGCAATTAGATCACTGAACAATGAATTGCAAAGGACTAAAAATTAAATCTGTTATAGAGGGTTTTCGTTATACGAAGGTTCATTTTGGCTCCGCATGTCAACACCGAAAGGATTTGACGTAAGATATATTAAAAAAGGACATAGTAGAAACATTTACTATGTTGCCATGGTGCCATCAACAACTTTTGCTCAAGCAGTTTAATGACTAATCAGATTTTGGCCCTATGTGACGCAAAACATGCATCAAAGGTACCAGTGATGGTAAAGTGTATATTAGGCTTCACTTTAATCTAGAAAACATTATTGACGACGTATTTTACAAACTAAATGTATTATTATATAGGGTGTACCAATTTGGTGGCCCGATTTGGATTGGCTATAACTTCTTTAATTTTGGGCCAAATTTTAAAATTCTTTTTTCCCTGAATCCTCAGACATCCCCATTTTGTTTAATACCAAATATAACATACCTTTTTAGTAAACTACAGTAAAAAGTAACAAAAAACGAAAAGCTAATACTTTCTTTCACTGTTTTCGGTTGTTAATTGCCGGCCCTAAAAATGGAATGTTATGTTGCAACATGTTGGACCAAAAAACTTATACTGCGAAACTTAGATTGAATTTCATCTTTGTTTAGGGCCAAACCTTTTCCCCAACTTTGCGGATTTTCAAAATTTTCATATCTGTGCCCTCCGGGTTTCACTCCTAAGGAGCGGATTTGCTTTGGGTTTTTTTTGATTCCAAACTGTTCTACACAAAATTCTAAACCTTATGAACCTAGGTTTGCCACAGCTGTCTACACCGTTCACAAGATACGACTGATTTTCGGCATTTTTTGAGATTTTTTGTTCTTCACGACGAAGATGGCAATATTTCTGTACTCCTGCCACATATTTGGAATTAAACAAAATGGGGATGCCTGAGGATTCAGCGAAAAAAAGAATTTTAAAATTTGGCCCAAAATTAAAGAAGTTATAGCCAATTCAAGTCGGGCCACCAAATTGGTACACCCTGTATTGTCCAACGAAATCTCTAAAGTCACGAAACTTTGGGCTTCTTCAAATCTTAGCTATCACTTGCATCATAGGACGGGCGAAACCCCAAAGGATCGATATAGAATTACACAGTAATCCAGGAGGATTCATAGACGGCGTATTTTACAAATTAAATTGTTATTTGTAAAAGTGTTTAAAAGTACAGTGTCCAATCCTTTTAAAGAAATTTCTGATAAAACTGGAATGATGCGAAAAGCAGAAATTTTGGGAGTACTATAATCTAAGGCCATAACGGACAGCTTTCCTCCTCATAAAACACATAAAACTTTTGATTCGCTTCGTATTTTACAGGGTGGGGCATCTTTGTGGCCCGATTTGAATTGGCTCTAACTTCTTTCGTTTTTGGCCAAATCTTGAAATTCTTTTTTTCCCTGAATCCCCAAACAACCCCATTTTGTTTGATACCAAATATGTCATACATAGGTAAGATGCCCCACCCTGTACATCTAAAAAATTGCTGCAAGGATCATCACAAAATATCTGGAGGCGTATTTTACAGTTGATTTTTTGCAAAAATTTTTGGAGACGATTTTTGGCTTGCTGCGTCAGCCGCCAAAAATTCTTCTGTCAAATTATGCAAGGATGGTGGGAATTTTCCCGTCCTTTCTGAGCTCTGCTGTTGCCGTCGCTGTAACAAAAACTTCACAAAACCGGCCCTCTGTAGGTTTTGGAGGAAAAATCGTAATTTAAAAAGGATTACTGTAACATACTGTCTCTGATACAAATCGATCATGTATCTTTCAAATCAAAAATTCTATCGCGTATTTTACAATTGATTTTTCGCAAAAAATTTTAAAAAATTTTTAGCTCACCCTGCCCCAAAAAAGAAACAAAAAAAGTGCCGAAATGTTTTGGGAAATCTCCGGATATCCGTGGATCGAAAGTTTTTTCGGTAATTTCATTCCCCCGTCCCTTTTTTATCCGAAAAAACAGCGGAAGAAAAGTTTTGCCTCGAGGCCAATTAAGTGCAAATAAAAGTAAAAAACATGGGCAGAGTGTATCAAAAATTCTGGCGAAGCCAATTTGCGACAGCCCTGGGGGTATTTTTAGTTATTTTTTTGGATAAAAAGTAGGGTAAATCGATGAAAAAAAAAGAAAAATAATATATTTTTAATAGAAGTATAATATATTTTTGTTTTTTTTTTAATAAATTAGCCAAGAAATCCTTTTTGCGTTCGATAAACCTTCTTCCATTCGGTTTTATTGAAGGCCTCATGTTGAATGAAGCGGATTCGAAACGGTGATTCCTCGTAGGCGCCTCTACCATTTGCACAGTGCATTTCGGAGCACTTGCACCAACGCCAAACATCTAGAACCAAAATCCTTGCTTCCATCGATAAACTCTTTCCCATTCGGTCTCGTTGAATCGCCTCCCCTCGATAATATTATTGCCAGATGACTGGAAATGGTAGTTCTTGGATGGAGCGTCTATCATCCAATTCGGGCCGTAGTCGGACTGGAAATATTATGATTTTTATGAGGAAGAAACTATGACAGGGAAAGTGCTCAAAGTTTGAAGCTGAGATTTTGATGAGACTTGGCCCAAATTTAAACTTTTTCTGACAGGGGAAGTACCCCAAGTGCGACGCTCAGATTTTCTTTAAATTTTGCACACACGTCGGGCATAAGCTAAATATCAATTCCTGAAAGTTTTAGCTCGCGCTTTGCGGGCGCCGCCGAGATATCGAACGATTTATGCCGCCGAGAGAGCACGCTAAACGTGGAGAGCGGTCAGAGAGAAAAGCGCTTTTTGGCCATAACTTTGGCAGTTTCGTGCGGAAAAATTTCTTTTTTTGTAGAAACATTATCCTCTACGGTAGAAATAGACATGAAACTTTTCGTGCCGAAATTCGGCAAAAAGTCCTAAATTTTGGCCGACTTTCGATCTAAAAATCTCGGTTGTTTCTGGAAAGCGCGAGCTAGGATTCTCGCATATATCTTAGAAAAAATTATTCTAAATTTGTGCCAAGTTTCGTCAAAATCTGAGCGTCGCACTTGGAGTACTTCCCCTGTTAGACAAAAGCTTCTTGAATGCCTTGAAGAGTTTTTAGCGGTCGATTTGAAGATGAAACCGAGATTTTTAGCTTGAATACAGGCAAAATCATATATGCGTGGAAAATCAGAACTCGTGTTATTTTGTGGTAAAGATAAATTTGTTTGAAAAAATGATTTTTTCCTTGCGGAATTCTCAAAGATGTATAGCTGAAACACGTTTCTTCTCTGTCGGCTCTCCTCATCTTGCTTTCTCTCTCTTTGGTAAAAAACTTTTTCAATATTCCAGCTTCTTTACCAAGGTAAATTTCCCGCTGCTTCCAAGTGCCATATTTAGGAAAAACCCTCAAAATTACAAGAAACTTGATTCAGCTCACTTATAGTAAGTACCTTGTGTCATACGCAATCCCACTTTTATATAAGCCGCCGAAAAAGTAAAAATCTTCAGCTCACCAGAATGATCTTCGCCGCATTACAAGGCACATACATCAAATTGTCCAGTAAATTTGTTGAGCAAATCCTTGTCACTTTGGGGATCAACCATCGGATCTCTCGCTCCTCCGGCACCAAGAACCCATTCGTGTAAGAATGAGTGTCGTTATGCGGAAAAACAAAAAATAAATCAGTCTTGACCTCGTCTTTATGATAAGTTATGAGGCCAGTTTCGTTGCCAGCCCCTTGCATCCAATAAACAACATAACGCTTCTCCATTAGCGCTTCGAATTCGTCAGAATGCTCGATGTGATTCATACCGTAATCGATGTCCGTAGTATGTGGAATTATCGAGCATTCACGGTACCAGCCTGGAATAATTTAAATAATATTTTTAAATTTTGTGCATTGCAATCAAACTGCAACAAATATGGCTTGTTATCAAAGTAAAAGTGGGTTAAATTGTCAGCCGTTTTTATGGTATTTAGATTTTTTGGAGTCTAAAAATGGGCAATACAAATTTTTTGACATACTAAAAGAGTCATGTCGGTTGCGAAAAGCCACTAAAAAGAGCCGTCACAAAAAAATTTAAGTTTTGAGTCATGTGTTTTACAAGTTTTAAAATTTGTGTCAAGTGTTCCTTTCATTGTAAAAATTATTTTTTTTTTGTAAAATACGATATTTTCATCGATGAAGAACACAAAAAGAGCCGTGTTGAAAAGTTTTAAGAGATGTGCTCTACTTATGAGTCATATGTTTTACATGTTTTAGATCTTGAGTCAAGTTTTCTTTCAGTATATTTTTTTGTAAAATACGATATTTTCATCGGTGAAGAACGCGCTTCTGCCAAACAGAGCCGTGTAGGAAAGTTTTTAAAGATGTTTTTTATTTATGAGTCATGTGTTTTACAAGTTTTTAAATTTGTGTCAAGTGTTTCTTTCATTCTAAAAATAATCTATTTTTTGTAAAATACGATATTTTCATTGATGAAGAACACAAAAAGAGCCGTGCAAAAAAGACTCAAGAGGTGTTTTTTACTTTTGAGTCATGTGTTTCACATTTTTTTTGATCTTGAGTCAAGTTTTTCTTTCAATATATTTTTTTTTGTAAAATACGGTTCCTCGATACTCGTTTCTTCACCAGATCATACATACTTACATAAAATTAACGCTTACCCAGTAAACTTCCACCAAATAAGTAAGCAGTATTGTTGTTGGCATCGGCGAAATCCCGAAATTCAGCCATCACATTTCTCACAGCGCTCAATGGAATGACTCTTTTGATGTTGTCCACGGTTCGATTCCTCACACCTTTCCCCGAACATGCAATGTATTCAGATTTCAGCCATTTCCTCAAGAAGCTAGCCTTGTCTTGTGGAACAAATAGCAGCTTTTGGGAACCGTCTTCGAAGGAGATGTTTTGAAGGATAAATGGAGTGCTGAAATATAAAGGTATCATAAAAATTTTAACTTGAAATTGGCACATCATAAGTGTGTATTTAATTTTGAAAAAAATTTCTGTCGTTTGCAAAGATATTCGGCCAAAATTTTCTGAAATTTTTTTGCCGATGACCAAACTGAAGCGGCCTCGCGGAATGTGCAAAAAACGAGACATCGCTGGCACAAAAAATCAGAGAAAAATTAACTTTGCTAAGTTTCTGAACGCTCTGTCATGAGCAGTAATATTTTTTTATTTCAGTCTGTCGGTAAAATAATGTGGTTTCATCGTACCTTGAAATTTTCCGTCATCACTTTTTTACATTTGTAGCCTCGGCTGGAAGTCTTGGTTGCCTCTTTGTTTGACTGCGAAGAGTCAAGAAATTTTGTTGCGAAAAATCCACTTTATTTTCCCGACAGATTGGTTCAGTGACGGACCATGCTCCAGTGGCAAAAAACGTACCATTTTGCATCCGGAATGTATCAAAAAGTGTAGCAAAATGTCTCCCTCTCAAACTAAAGAAACTCCGTATTGAAGGGCGTCCCTCACAAAGAGCGGGCGCGCTTTTGAAATCGGAGTTCTTTCACATGGAGAAAGGGCTATTTTGCTAAATTTTTTATACTTCCTTGATGCAAAATGGTACGTTTTTTGCCACTGGATCAGGTCCGCCACTGTACATGGGAAGCTCTGCACTAGTGAGGCAAAATTATGGATTATGAAAAGATATTCTTCTACGCATTTTGGCCGAAACTTTATCGGTTTTTTATTTGTTATAGGCAGTTTTTTGCTGTTGATATTCGTTGCACTAAAGACCAATTTATTTAAGATTATCTTTCAACTTACTTCACAACAATCCTTCTTTTTCCCCCTTTCTTTGTTGGTTTGAACCACGTGAAGTCTTGTTTCGCATTTTGCTCAATAAAATGCGTTACGGAGAAGCGTTTCCGATTGATCCTCAAAAATATACTCTGATTGCGAAACACCCCGATCCTCACCGGGTATTTGCATAATTGGTTTTGTTCCAGTCGGTTTATGCAATGGGAATCCAACAGAATCTTTCTGAAAAATTTATTTTTGTTTGTAAAATACGTTTAGGTTTATTTTCGGCTTGAAAAATTGCGGCCGAATGTAAGCTCAAGGAACATCATTTTAAACAAAAATAAGATTTGTAAACATTACTTCTTGGGATTGATTTTTCTCCCCAAAAATTCAAAATGAGGCGGCTGATTTTGATATGTTCTTATTACAGGGTGCGACGCTCAGATTTTGATGAAAGTTGGCACAAATTTAGAATAATTTTTTCTAAGATATATGCGAGAATCCTAGCTCGCGCTTTGCAGAAACAACCGGGATTTTTAGATTGAAAGTCGGCGAAAATTTAGGACTTTTTGCCGAATTTCGGCACGAAAGTCAAATGTAAAGGATAATGTTTCTACAAAAAATCAAATTTTTCCGCACGAAACTGCCAAAGTTATGGCCAAAAGCGGAAAGTTATGGCCAAAAAGCGGAGAGCGGTCTCTCTGACCGCTCCCCACGTTTAGCGTGCTCTCTCGGTGACAAAAATCGTTCGATATCTCGGCGGCGCCCGCAAAGCGCGAGCTAAAACTTTTAGGAATTGATATTTAGTCGATACCCGACGCACGGCAACCCAAAATAGAACAAAAATGTCTCCCGCCCACTTTTGAATTTCGTCCAAACGAAGTGTCAAAATTCACAAAAGAAATAAAATAATTCCGAAAAAAATATTTTTCGGTCGGAAAACCACACGAAAAATTCATTTTTGACATTTCGTTTGAATTCAACCGTATACTAGGTGGGCGAAGCGCCGAAACGAGGCGGGAGACTCCCTGGGTTGCCGTGCGACGTGTGTGCAAAATTTAAAGAAAATCTGAGCGTCGCATTTGGAGTACTTACAAGGGAAGTCGTTCAGATCGCAAATGAACTATGAAATGAGACCTGTGTGGTTTTATAGTCACATACTCTACTATATCGAATATAAAGGCATTTTTGCGTCTGGGCCCCCGCGGCCGAGAAAATCGACTATAAAGTTTCGCAAGAAGAGAGCGCCGAAAAAGTCCTCTCTCCGAAAGCAAACCCAAACAGCTGCCCAGTTGGCCGAGTGGAAAGAGCGCTCGTCTAACGAATCTTCTTTTGGGTCGGGGGGCTGGGTTCGATTCCTTTCACCTGCAATGTAAAGGGTAAGACTACTGTGTACACTACAGTATGCGTAAAAAAAATTTTTTTTGTGTTTTTCCAATTTTATGTAGATTTGTGCCTTTTCTTGAGACAAAAACAAACAAAATTCCTAATTTTTTTATTTAACTTTTTAACTATCATTTAACAACAGTCGTGAACACATTCAACAAAATGATGAAAACAAAGTTTTTGATTACAGTACGAGCACAAAACAAAAGACAAGATGTCACAACTAGAAGCAGAACAAGCTGTGTGGACATCATGGGGGAAACAATACTCCACTGGAGTCTTGAAGGAAGGAGGCCTATTGTCAAGATAACCTCCTTTGAAATTTAACAGTCTGGAGAAAAGTCGACTAAATTTGTTTGTTTTTGTCTCAAGAAAATGCACAAATCTTCATAAAATTGGAAAAACACAAAAAAAAATTTTTTTTACGCATACTGTAGTGTACACAGTAGTCTTACGCTTTACATTGCAGGTGAAAGGAATCGAACCCAGCCCCCCGACCCAAAAGAAGATTCGTTAGACGAGCGCTCTTTCCACTCGGCCAACTGGGCAGCTGTTTGGGTTTGCTTTCGGAGAGAGGACTTTTTCGGCGCTCTCTTCTTGCGAAACTTTATAGTCGATTTTCTCGGCCGCGGGGGCCCAGACGCAAAAATGCCTTTATATTCGATATAGTAGAGTATGTGACTATAAAACCACACAGGTCTCATTTCATAGTTCATTTGCGATCTGAACGACTTCCCTTGTTAGCCTGTCAGCAGGATTTTATGGATTTTTTGAGAAATGTCGTTTCTGAAGGTAGGTGCCCCAAAAATAATAATTTTCCTTGTAAAGAAAATTTGTGTGTCAGATATGACTTCGTATTTTACAATTCCAAGCCATACCTAATCTGTGTAGCTTCATCGGTCTCGTCATCAACTGCCACGTCAAATTTCCCATTTGCTTTGCTCCCTCCATCATATGAATTGTAGACCACGACAACCGAAACAGCCACGAATCCAACACAATACCAAACAAAAATTGATCTGAGCTTGAGCCTCTTCATCGCTGACCAAATATTTAAATTCTGTTCGCAAATAATCCCTCTGATATTTATAATCGATACAATCAGCGAGCTTAAACGTGTGTTTTGTTAATGCTAGCCAACAAAAATTAAGATTAAGGCAACGCCCAGCAATTCGGAGATGCCTGCGGGGATTTATTTAGAAATTCCGTGATTTTTAATCAGTAAGCCTCCGTGTGACTCTTTATTAAATTAAGGGAGATTGGAAGCAAATTTGATTATATTGTGTCAAATATAGCAAACATTATCGAAAAGGGCCTCGAAATGACTGAACAATTGAAAGAAGATCAAAAACGCTAATTTCTCTGAAGAATAAACTCGTAACCGTTTAGATTTGAAAAGTTTTCCGTTTAAAAATCAACGATAATACTTGACTTGCCTCTGTCATACAAATAAAGCAAACCCCATGTTACGACGGCTGCTTTTCAGAAAATGCGAAACGGGGAAAGCGGTCATACGCGAACGTTTTCCTTCTCAATAAAGAAGGGGTTCTATTTTGGCTTACAAAAATTGTAATATTGCACCCAAAGACCTCTGAAATCGCTCAATCGACATACGTATACAGGTTTACTGTACCGAATTTGGCTGTTGAAAACTTGTACTGTTCTATTTCTACATCATAAAAAACTGCCCTATTACAAAGTGGAATTATTTCCCTCGTATTTTACATAACTTTAGGCTCTGTGAGACCACATTTTGCTTGTATTTTGAAGCCCAAGGTGTAGTGAAAACTTTGTATTACAAACGTCAGTAAAATAAAACAGTAAAAAAATTCGAGGATCACATAAGCAGTATATACGTAGAAAAAAAGATGTTGGCTTTAACTTTGCCAGTTCCGCGCGGAAAAATGATTGTTTTTGTGGAAATATTATCCTATACGGTAGGAATACCCATGGGACTTTTCATGACAAAATTCGCAAAAAGGGTATGAATATTTTGCCCACTATCGATCAAAAAATCTCGGCCATTTCTACCAAGCGCGAGCTAGAAGTCTCCTACAAGCTTTAGAAAGAATAATTCTAAATTTGAACCTGGTTTCATCAAAATCTAAGCATCGCTGTTGGACTACTTCTCTTGTAAAAACAATAAAAAATAAAAATTGCTTTAAACTAAAACTTTACAAGTCCCGTTTTGGCTTGTATCTCCCAAAATCTGTACAAACAAAGCGTTGTCGTACACCTCTATTACGTAAGCTTCCTTTGTGGGTGATTGTTGCAGGCTCCATACGTGAGAAGACACACCCTTCTTATCTCTCAAAATCCGTTTTTCAAACAAACAGAGTGATAATAGAACACAGTTGGTGCCAAGAAAAAACGTTCACGCTTTAGACATGAAAATGTAGTCTATTTAAAACAAAATTGTATGCGGACCATAAGAGAACAAAAAAAAAATTAGAAGAGTTGTCAGATTCCACGGAACCTGGAGTTATCCACGTGTGTCAGCTCGATGGAATTTATGGAGAGAGAGAGAGAGATGTCCCCCGTGTCAGCTGTTTCCCCATCTGTTTTTCCCCGATGTTCGAGAATGTTCGACGGAGAGATCCCGAAGCGCAGAGCCTGAATCACGACACCGTAACCTTCTCTGAGGTTTTATCCCATCTTGATCAGATAGAGTTGAAAAGTTGCAGTTGCGTAAGAGTTGAAGTGTGGTTGTTGCAGTAGTGTTGTACCGTGTTGTTGTATTGCCTTATTTATTGTATTGTTTACTATTGTTGATAAATCATTTATTCGAGTTGATCATTCTCTATTCTCGTGTCTACTTCCGAGGGGAACGAATACAATCGATTACACGATTTCCACATCCGCAACCTTCCACTTGGAAGGCCAAGTATTTTCAGGTAGAAGGTGCGGCAAGTAGTCGACTGCAGAGACAACCGCAAGACCACAAGCCATATCGTTGTTTTCTTTTCTATCTACGAAGGTGGAATCGGACAAGAGTTTCGTTGCACGAACGTCTCATTTTGGTCTAATATTAACAGTAGGACGGCTGAAATTGCTTCGCCAAGAAGGTATACCAGACCCTAGGATATTTTTTAACCTGCCTTGTGGCATTTCACATGAACTACTACAGTAACCAACCAAAACACTTTTGATCCCACGATTTATCCTTACAAAAGTTCATGTTATCTTATTACAATTTAATAAGATGGTATGAACAGGGCATGTGCAAAAGATCAAACCGAGATTTTTTTTTTGTTTGGTGATGGGCAAAAAATTAATTATTTTTATAACTTTTGATTTTCAAATATTTTATTTTTTTGCTATGCAAAATCTCTAAAAAACAAAAAAAGTACGGAAAAGTTTGAGTAATATTCAAAAAAGTCGGTTACAATAACTCCTTGAGACGTCTTCTTTTCGAAACAGGTTCCTGAAATACCCCGAATTATTGGGTAGTTGGTGAGAAAGAATGAAAGTGAACATTGTTGCAAAACTGTTGGGCTGGGTGTTGCTGCGTCATCGGGGAACTTCTTTACGTAATTTTTTAAAATTTGAATTTAGGAGGAATCGTATTTTACAAAGAAAGGTTCCAAAATTTTGAAAAAAGCTTTTTTTAACTCTTTTTAATTTTTTTTATTGAATAATTGCTTTGTAAATGAAGGAATATAAAATTACAAATTGCGTATTTTACAATGTAAAATTTTGTTACGTCTTACAAAAACACATTTTATTACGTGAAAGTTCTGACGATGCTGAAAGACTGGCGCCAATATCCCTCGGTAATGGATATACATCAAAACCTCTGTACAATGAGTAGAAAGAGAAAACAAAATATTCGTTGTAACAGGGTTGTTTTACGAAGGCTTGTTTTGGCATAAAATGGACTAAAGTTTTCGTTATGAACATACTGTTCTTCGCGTAGCATCTCAGCATCGTATTTCGAGGATTTCCCCTGTCACTAGCCCGTCTATAAAGTCGCTGGAGTGATTTATGCAACATGAATTGTGAGGAAATAAAAGTCTCTCTTTGCACTGTGCAATTTATTAGGTTGATACAAAAGTTTTTACACATTTTTTTGAGACACTTCAAAATAAAATTCCTAGAGCCTGATTGAATGTACGTTAAAACTGAAAGCATAGATGTATGGGGCAGAACATTGCAAAATTTTTGATTCGTGGCATTTTATTTTCTACAAACTTCCTTTCAGAATATTTCAAAAATACTAAAAATTTCTCCGTTTGTGTCATCGTGAATATCCTGGGCCCTAGCAATTTTCCAGCCCACTAAAAAGTCTCGGGTTTTGGGTTATTCGTACTGGGGATGGCTGTAGTTTCTTCTGAATTTATTGCTCTACTTATATCTACACTGACGTTTTTTGTAGCATCCCATAAAGTTGGCCGGAGAGCCGAGCTACCGATCAAAAGCAGATTTTTAAAAATTTTTTGAAAGGAGTTAGATTTTTTTGACTCGGCTGTCATTCAGGTTGTACAAAGACAGTATGCTGATGATACATTCAAAAAGTCACCAACTGAAATTGCCTTATAAGGTAGAAAAGTAGCATAAACTGCACTTTTAGGCCAATTTTTGTAATTTTTTTAATGTTATTTCAAGAGGACCTTCAGCTTAGCGCATCTAGCAACTGATAGTGTATGTCAAGTAGGATCAATTATTTATTAAATAACTAGGATACCGGGCGAGAGTAATGAACAGAAAACGTTTTTGTAAAAATCCCCTAAATTAAGTAAAATATTGGTAGATTAAAAAGATTCGATTTTTCTGCCGGATAGCTAAAGCTAGCGCGAATGTTTAGCATTGGCGTTGTAGTGCTACTCATACACTACAATAACAGAAAGCGTTATCACTTAGTGCTTCTAATAGCTGCGTCTACAGGGTCTACTTTTGCCAGACCCTAATTTTTGATTTTTCGCACTAAAAATTTTTCGACTAGCCCTATAGCAAATTGTCCTCGATGCCATAGAGATTACATACAGGCATACCATATTCTAGAATATTAAGAAGATACAGCCACTCTAGACGTAACGCCGGCGGTTTACTTTTTCTTCCTTCGAGTAGTTAAGGTTTAACACGGCGCTACTACTACAAATTGCTAAGTTGTAAAAAGTTATTAATCTACTATAATCTACAAACAGCCCTCTTTCTAACAAGATATATATCAGGCCCACTGGCTTTGGTCTAAATTTTTTAAAATTTTTTAAAGACATGTGGAAAAACTTTTGAATCAACCTAATAATTTCTTGCACTGTGCAATAGGTTTTTTTGGGCTGTTTCTCGCACCTTGGTTCTTCTGGCACGATTTTTGTCGCAGAAATCACTTCAACAACTTAACGAATGGATTGATAATTACATTTTTTGTAAAATACGGTCAAAGCCACTATACTGCGGGACTAAAGTTTGGAGCAGGCTATATTTTCTTTGCGGCTTGAGATCGGTTATTCTTATAGAATAATTCCGATTATTCTTATAGAATAATTCTTTTCTATAAGAATCGGAATATATTAAAACCCCATAATGGATGCATAGCCGTAGAAATCAGAAAGCTCATATGAGCAAAAAACAAAATTTTTAAAAATAGGTGGGACAAAAGTTTGGAACAGGGTTAGGAATGCGATCATAAATTTCGCAGTATAGTCAAAAACTCCTAGGCTTTGGTATTTTTAGATGCTGCGAGGAGTCAGGATCTCAACGACATACTGATTTTCATCGATGAACTCAAAATGAAAAAAATTCTTATTGAGCCAACAATGACGGTCAAACTTGCGAAAAAAAATTATTTTTTGGGTTGGGTTCTCTATGTTATCGGTGTGTAAGCATTCTAAAATATTTGATATGGTCGTATAACCGTACAAAGACACTCAGATATTCGCATAGGAACCTTATCCGCACAGTATAATTTATGAAAATTTTGGAATGTGCTTCGAATCTTGGTCTAATGAATTTTAGATTTTTTGTATGACGACATGAAGACTAATTGGCCCTTTTATGATCACTGTGAGATAAAAAAGTATCTTCACAAAGCGAAACCTGACCGCAATTTGCAATATCCCACGCCAGATGTTTCAAACATTTAAAAAAATTTTCGGTCACCAAAATCAATGTTTATATCGACCTGGATTCCTAGTATGATACATTGTAGAGTTGGCTAACAAAACTATATCAGTGTGGTAAGGATAAAGGCATTTAGTTTGGCGCCATATGGCGACCTAAAATTAAGGTAAAAAATATGGGTCATCTTAACATCTCATATATCCGGGTTTTTCGAAGTTGTGGCGTTTCGTGTTGCAAATAGCGGTTGGTTTTTGTTTCTTGAAGATACCTTTTCATCCCACAAAACCTAAGAAAAGGCCAATTAGCCATCAAGCCGCCTTATAAAAAATATAAAAATCATTGAACCAAGATTTGAGGCACAACTCAAAATTTTCATAATTTATACTATGCGTATACGGTGCCAATGGGAGGATGTGACTATCTGTATGAGATTATGCGACCATAATTGATATTTTAGAATGCTAATACATCGATAACATTGGTAACCCAACCCAAAAAATAATTTTTTTTCGCAAGTTTGACCGTCATTGTTAGCTCAATAAGAATTTTTTTCATTTTGAGTTCATCGATGAAAATCAGTATGTCGTTGAGATCCTGACTCCTCGCAGCATCTAAAAATACCAAAGCCTAGGAGTTTTTGACTATACTGCGAAATTTATGATCGCATTCCTAACCCTGTTCCAAACTTTTGTCCCACCTATTTTTAAAAATTTTGTTTTTTGCTCATATGAGCTTTCTGATTTCTACGGCTATGCATCCATTATGGGGTTTTAATATATTCCGATTCTTATAGAAAAGAAATGAAACTCCGATCTCAAGCCGCAAAGAAAATATAGCCTGTTCCAAACTTTAGTCCCGCAGTATACGTCTATTTTTTAGCGTATCCCAAAAAATTTCACAATGTTTGAGCATATTTTCTGATGACAATGATTACATAATATATTGTTCTATTCCATTAAGTCCCCCAAGTTTTACAAAAATTCTTCTATCGCTGCCAGTCGCCACTTGATCATTGTTGACCTTGTTTTGCAATCGCCGGTTACAATTTGATCCTGCTCCTCTTCAACTTTAAAATCAGCTGTTTTGTTGACAACTTTTGGCGCCGTCGGGCGCATGATTTGGCTAGCTTTTATGAAGGGAGCATTGTAGACTGTCATTGTATGTTAGAGAGCTGTGGGAAGTGTAATAATTGTTTGTCGTTTTTGTGTGTAAAATTTTTATTTTGAAATTGAAAGTAAACAACAATGGCAGTCAATATGTTCAATGATTTACAAGAGAATAAGAAAATAGAAGTGTAAAATACGTCCGGTGAATATGGCGTTTGATTTCACCATAAAAATAAATAAAATTTAAGCACAGGTCAACCAAATGGAACCGCTTAGCGTTTCGTCCACACTAGACATGGCTCCCGGGCTTCGGCCGAGCCGAATTTTCGGCTCGGAATAATTACAATCCTGTGTCTCAAAATGAAAATTGGGTTTGCCAATGAGAATAAAACGCTATTTTTGGGGAGACTTTTGTTTCGACGGGCCGGTCCGAGGCAAAATTGAAACGGCCCGGCCAAGTTCTGAGGATTTTTCGCCGTTACAAACCAAAGTTGGGCAGTTAATTTTTGCATACTCTGAATCAGAAAAATTTTGCGATTTTTTTGCTATGTCTCGACCTGCAACTCCATACCCCCATAGAAGCACTTTCCTTGTTTGATATGAAAATTCTTCGGATGAATTTTTGAAGAATAAAATTGGTCTAAAAAATCAAAAAAAAAAATTTTTTTAAAGTTATTTTTTCACAAAAAAGCAGGGCACGTCAAGATTTTGCGCTCAAAGGGTTATCTATCAACACGAAAGTTGGCATTCTGTTTCCGCTTATGGAAGTGTCCAAAAAGTCCGTCTCAATGACAGTTTTTTTGGACGAGGTCAGAGGAAAGGAGAAATATTGCGTAAAATGAAGAGATTTTCTATCTCGAAACTGGCTCATTTGATTTTTTTCGTTTTAGGCTCAAAAAATCCGCCTTGTTCCAGACTATGTTTCCACGAAACTTCAAATAGGGGCGAGGGAAAATCTTAGAGAAATCCTCGAAATCGCAACATTTTTTAGGCGTTGTAAGTTTAGGCTTCAAACAGATAGAAGACGACCGATTTTTTATATGAAATATATATGTTCAGATTAAGCAGAAGCCCAGCTTCAAATTTATGTATGCAATAACCCCATTCTACCCCTTCTTCATCGTGTAATCAGGCTATCTTTGGAGCAAAAAATTGTCTTTGAGATCAAACAGAATGCCAAGAATTTTTCATTGCTTGAGCGCTTTTGTTTTATTTTTTCTTGACGTGCAGGGCTTTCTCCCACTTGTAGTACTTCCTCTGTCAATTTTAGTTCACCATAAAAATCATGACGTTTTTTCGATCTGACTACTGCCCAAAATTTGGTTTTCAGATTTGTTTCAAGACTTATTTTAATTTTCATCCTCTGCATTCAACCTCAATCAACCCGAAATTATACAGTTTTCCTTCATTTCCGCCATAAGAAATCAAATTTATGACCTTTTACCTCTCTTCACGAGTAATTTGTCGCTTCAGGCTGTTTCGATTACCAGTTTTGTTACCTCAATTTTATTTCGGAAACCTCAAAAACTATTTTTGATTTTTTCAGAGAAAAAAATCTAACTTTCCACAAAAAAAAATTTTTTTTGATATTTTCATTTTTCCGAAGCTCCGCCCCTCTACAAAACCCGTCAAAAAACAAAAAAAAAGAATTGTTTTTCAGATCGAAAAACGCCGCGGATTTTTTCGGAAGACCGGCAAAATCAGACAACGATGAATTGCGTGGAACGGCAGCTGTTTTTGTTGGTGATTTTGGTCGTGGGAATCCGATCACAAGAAGAAGATCGACAAAGCGAAGTGCTAATCCGTTTATTACTGCCCAATTATGATGGTAAGTAAAAAATTTATTGGTAAAACTGATCCTCAAAAAAGCTGTAAATAAAAACGAGGCCTTGTTACGTGTATTTTACCGTCTTAGCGTTTTTGCCCTTTGTTTGGACCGCACAGTGCGAAAATTCAGTTTTTGGTTTTTTGCACTGTGCAATCCAAATTTTGCTCCCAAAATTCGAATCCCAGTGGCACAAAATCTGTAAAAATCTTTCAAGTCCATCTTCTCACAATCGTACTTTACCATGTCTACACGTTTTTTAATGTTTTTGGACCGCACAGTGCAAAAATTCAGTTTTTGGGTTTTCGCACTGTGCAATCCAAATTTTGGTCTCAAAATTCGAATCCTAGTGGCGCAAAATCTGTAAAAATGTCTCAATCCATGTTCTGACGATCGTATTTTACCATAACTAAACGTTTTTTACTGTTTTTGGACCGCATAGTGCAAAAATTCAGTTTTTGGGTTTTCGCACTGTGCAATCCAAATTTTGGTCTCAAAATTCGAATCCTAGTGGCGCAAAATCTGTAAAAATGTCTCAATCCATGTTCTGACGATCGTATTTTACCATAACTAAACGTTTTTTACTGTTTTTGGACCGCATAGTGCAAAAATTCAGTTTTTGGGTTTTCGCACTGTGCAATCCAAATTTTGGTCTCAAAATTCGAATCCTAGTGGCGCAAAATCTGTAAAAATGTCTCAATCCATGTTCTGACGATCGTATTTTACCATAACTAAACGTTTTTTACTGTTTTTGGACCGCACAGTGCAGAAATTCAGTTTCTGGTTTTTCGCAGTGTGCAATCAAAACTTTTGTCCCAAAATTCGAAATTCGGTGGCAAAAAAACTGCAAAAATTTTTCTCATGTCAAGATTTTATCCTTCGTATTTTACCGTATTTATATTTTTTACTTTTTATTTGGGGTGCACAGTGCAAAAATTCTGTTTTTCGTTTTTCGCACGGTGCAATAAAAACTTTTGTCCCAAAATTCGAAATCCTGTGGGCAGAAAATGTGTAAAAATCTTTGAACATCGAGCACGCGTTATCGTATTTTACCATATCTACATTTTTCTCTTTCTTTTTTGGACCGCACAGTGCAAAAATTCTGTTTTTCGTTTTTCGCACTGCGCAATCAAAATTTTTGTCCCAAAATTCGAAATTCGATGGACAGAACATGTGTAAAAAGCTTTGGACGTCGACCTAACACCGTCTTATTTTACCGTATCTACATTTTTTATTTTTTCTCAACCGCACAGTGCAAAAATTGAGCTTTTGATTTTTCGCACGGTGCAATCAAAATTTTTGTCCCAAAAATCGAAATCCTGCGGGCAGAACATGTGCAAAAATCTTTGATCTCAGGCTCTCATCGTCGTATTTTATCTTCTCTATATTTCTTTACATTTTCTGAACCGCACAGTGCAAAAATTGAGTTTTTGATTTTTCGCACGGTGCAATAAAAACTTTTGTCGCAAACTTCAAAATCATGTTCAAAAAACTGTATAAAATTTTTCATGCCGACCTTATCCTTCGTATTTTACCGTATGTACATATTTTTTATTTCTGGACCGCAAATTGCAAAAAAATTTTTAAAATTTTTTTTATTTTAAAAACTTTTTTACTATAAAAATCGCGTTTTCAGCTCTAATTCAACGAAAATTGGAGGCGAACCCAGCCTATGATGTCCTTGTCCCAAAAACCGAAACCGAATCGGAGAATCTGATCGCCAACAACCTTGCGCTCTATTTACAACTCCAAGACGAGGTCTTCCGGGAAGGTGGCCTTTCCGCCGCGATGAGCGAGGTCATTCAAAGTGTAAGGGACAAAAAAAATTTTTTTTTAAGGATGAAAAGATCTTATAAATCAACAAAATTTTTTTTTTTAAATCTAAAAATCAACAAAAAATTTTTAAATGAAAAAAATTTTCAAATTGAAAAAAAATTTCGAAAATTTTGGCTGCCAAAAAATTTAAAAAAATAAAAAGAAAAAATTTTTCTAAGCTCAAGAAAAAATTAAAAATCAAATTAATTAAAAATTTTAAAAATCTTTTAATTTTTTTTGTTCAAATTTTCGCTGTCGACTTTTTTTAAAACTAGAAAATTTTTTCTAACCTTAAAAAAATTAAAATCCAAAAATTAATTAATCTTTTTTTATTTTTTTTTCAAATTTTTTCAGATGATCAAAGTTGGATTTGTCGCCCCTACAGAGCGAGAAGTCTCGAGATTTTACACAATTTTTGAGAAATTGAATCCTCAAGAAATGGACAAGCTCAAACAAGGGATGCCCAAGCAAATGGAAGAGATTGAAAGTAAGAAATCAAAAAAATAAAAAAAAAAAAAATTTTTTGAAAAAAAAATGTTTTTTCGAACTTTAAAGGCCGTATTTTACCTCCAGAACTTCTTGATACTCTCTGACTTTACACTGAAATTCCAATAAGCAGTAAAGTTCACAATCCTGAAACAGTTTTGTCAAGTTTTTGTCATCAATTAGTTTTCCCTTGCACTTTTTGTAATAAGAGTAATGACAAGCGGGAATTTCAGTGAAAACGAGAACCAACCTTCATTTTACAGGCGTTGTAAAAGTGCAGTTTAAAAAAAATTTTAAAAAGAAATTGCTGTACTGCTTTATTTTTTTCTAATAATTACGTGTAAAAAACAAAAAAAAAATTAAATTTTTTAAAAATAAAAAAATTTTAATTTTAATTTTAAAAAAAATAACCGTAATCCACGTTACAGTAATCTAACAAAAAAAAGTTAACGTAAACGTTTCTAAGAATTAGGCCTAGAATAGGTCTTATCAATTTCAGCCCGTTTGAAGCAGTTTTATTTTTCACGGATTCCGCGACTAAAATAGTATAAACCCTGTTCTAACCTCAAACTCATGTTCCATTGATGTCTAAAAATACTCAGCGTTGCTCATATAACCCTCATAATTCCATTAAATGTCGTTTCCACATTTTTCACAATATTTGTCTCCAGCGGGGATCGAACCAGGGTCGTCAGATTACTAGTTTTCGTCAAAACCCACTGCGCCATGATTTATCTGCCACGGAATCAAGGATGCAAATTACATGTTCCTAGACCAGAATTTTACGCTGATTCCAAATCTGCAATAAAATCGTGTGGGATTTTTGATTTGAAGGAGATACGGTCGATTTTTATCGACCGGAGGTCAAAAACTGTATGTTACAGTAATCCTACTAACTTGAAATTGCGATTTTTGAATTTGCCATCCACCAAAACCTATATGGTGTCGGTTTCGTCAAGTTGTCTTTATTGCGACGGCAACACCAGAGCTCAGAAGGACGGTTATAACCGTATGCAATTTTCTACCTTCCGGGCATCACTGGGCAAAAAAAATTGGGAATGTGTTTTAGTGACCTATACCAACATTTTGGGCCAAAAAACTCAAAAAAAAAATTTTTTTGAGTGTCCCCGGCTGACGCAGCGAGCCAAAAATCGTCTTTTAATTAAAAAAAATAAAAAAATTTTATTTTGATATTTTTAAAATAAAAAAAATCCAGACACTCTCCGTGAAATCCGCGCCTCCGAAGACGACGCAACGAAAACTCAGCGGGAAAATGAGAGGATCGACCAAACCGAACGCCTCATGATGTCCAGAATGGATCGACGCCTCTAGGGGAGCACTTGTAATATTATAAAATACATAACTTTCAAAAAAAATGACAAATCAAACGAGTATATTCACGAATTTGTAAGTTTAATCTTGAATAAAAATATTTTCTAAAATACGGCAATTCGAAAATAAAAAAGGCTAAAATTCCAGGAAAAAAATTGCCAAAAAAATGTTAAATCCACACAAAATTTTTTTCTGGAAATTGTAAAATACGTTTTTCTCAATAGTTCCTTCAAATTTAAAAAAAAAATATGCCAAAAAAACACAATTTTACAAGTTAAATTCGTGAAAAAATGGCCTTAAAATCATCCTTAAAATCCCAAAAATATTATTTTAAATCCCAAAAAAAATTTTTAAATAAAAAAATTAAAATCGCAAAAAAAAATAAATAATTCAAAGGAAAAAGCCACCCCTAAAAACCTAAAAAAATCTTCATTTCTTCTAATATATTACCCTTTATTCTCATTGCCAAAAAAATAACTTATAACTCAAGTGTGTTCTAAAAAAAATATGAAAATGAGATATCGATTAGGCCAATTTGCAGACATTTTCGGCGAATGTGAGTTTGATGGAGCTGTCGTCGAGGCGGATCACCATGTCGTCGTTGTCCTCCGAGACAACCACGCCCGTTTTGCCGTTTCCGTCGCCGAAAATAATTCGGGCCTAAAAAAATTTTTGAATAAAAAATCTCCAAAAAATCCGTCATCATGACATATTTTTTTTAAATTTTTAAGATGGAAAAATTGCAGATTTCGTATTTTACCTCGCTCATTACAAATTACCTCTTACTCTCAACAAAATTATCAGTTTCTCTCCAAAAACATCAAATTGTTACCTAAAATCCCAAAAAATTCCTAAAAAATACGTCATCATGACACATTTCATGAAATTTTTGAATCATATCGATTGCTAACTTCGTATTTTACCTCGCTCACTACAAATTACCCCTTACTTTCAAAAAACCATCAATTTTTCTATAAAAACATTAAATTGTTGCCTAAAACCCCAAAAATTTCCAAAAAATCCGTCATCATGACCTACTTTTCTCTATTTTTATACTCAACAAAACCCCCAAGAAGTAATTTACCTTGCACCCCTAAATTTCCTACTCAATTTCCACTGATTCAACCAAATATTTATGAAAAATCTCACCTTATCCCCAGCTGCCGGCGGCACCGGAAGCAAATATTTGAATGCAATCTTTCTGTCCGCCGAATCATCAGAGAATTCCAGGTCCTCAAAGTAGCACATACACTCTCCATCCAGGCGTTTTGTGATGGTTCCGGTGAGACCTTTCACTTCGTCATCATCAAAGTTGTCCTTCACCTTGACCAGCAAGTCAGGCTGGCACCAATCGCCCTTCAGGAGGTCGGATTCGGCTAAAAATGATTAAATATGAAAAAATAATTATAAAAAATCCTAAAAGAATAGAAAAATTCTCAAAAAATCTCGATTTTCATGTCTAAAATACGACCAAAAAAATCGCAAAAATCAAATTAAAAACATCCGAAAATTATTTTAAAATACGAACTTTCAACATAAATTTTCATAATAAAAAATTCCAAACTCCAAAAAAACTTACCAATTTTAGCCGGAGCCGCTGAAACCGATGACGTCGACTTCTCCGTGTAATTATCAAAGTTGCTTCTGGGATATGGAGAGGTGGCGGCAAATTCCGAGTACATCTTGGAGTCTCGGCCAGGGGTGGATGCGTTGTAATGAGCTGAAAATAAAAAAATCACAACCTTTACCAAGTACAATATAAAAAACACCCTCGAAATAAAAAATCTCAACACGTAATATCTCCCAATTCCTTCTGTCTGATAAAGAACGTGATAAATTTTTCATTTTCAACCCTCCTTCCTACTGCACCGTGCCAAAAACACGTCAATTTTCCCAGTGCAGTGCGTGGGAAAGGTGGGTTAAAACCCGGGTTTCCGAACTCAAAACAGAAAACAACACGTTTCCTAAGGCATATCAGGTTATTTTATAACAATCAGTTCAATTTTACGCCAGCCCAATACTATCTTCCAACATTTTTATCATCAATATTATAATACCTTATACCACCTAAATCAATATCCCAGACATCCAAATCCCCCGTGTCGATAATTCCATCACTCTTTATATCATTTTTAACCCCTATCCCTTCAATCTCATCCCTTTGTACCCCTAAATCCCACCTTTTCCCACCTTACTTTACCTAAATCAATATAAAATCTCCTCAAAACTTAAAGTTCAAGTCCTCAAACCGGCAATTCCTCGTATCATTCCTCCTATTTCAGTCTTCTCCACCTTCTGCTACTCAATAAACCACTGAAAATCTTAACAATACTCTCAAAAAAATCTCAATTACTCTTTGAAACCACCTGTTTTTGGGTGGCTGCACCGGGCGATTTTGCCCTTATATAGTGCACCGTTCTTTCCGCCCTACTGAATATTACATGCAACACTCCGCGAAGCATTTAAATTCTGTATTTTTGCATTCTGCGTTTGCAGAAATTCCACCGGAAACTTGGGTCACGTATAATATAAAGAAAGTTCCGAAACAGTCTCCAAAAGCAAAAACCCGTTAAACGTGTACGTTCTGCTTGGCCAATAATCATTCAGCTGTGAGAAAGTCTTCAGGAAACAGCAATTTAGAAAGTTTTTGACACATTTTTTATATTATACTTGAAACCAGATACCCACGTGGCCAAAAAATGGATTTTTTCAACATTTTTCAATACAGGGTGTTTCAAAAAGTTTTGGACAAATTATTTGCTTATATCTTTGGGCTCTTTGCAGCTATCCAAGAAGTTTAAATCGTGTTTAAAATTCGAAGTTGTGCGTTTTTAGAATATGCAAAAGAATTTCTTCTTGTCTCGGCGGAGAGACCATTTTTCGGCGGAGACATTTGATGTCTTTTTTGAAAATCACACCTCCATACAAAGCCCTGACATTTCTACTATGGATGAAATTAGGGTTACCACATCTGGCAGGACGCCAAGTCCCCAAAACGGCCCCCGCCGGTGAAAAGGTCTCCGCCAAGCCTTCGCCGATGTGTGAAACATCCGCCAAGCTACCGAGACTAACAGATTACGTCCTGCCAGATGTGGCAAATCTAATTTCATCCGTAGTAGAAATGCCCGGGCTTTGTATCGAGGTGTGGTTTTCAAAAAAGACGTCAAATGTCTCAGCCGAAGAATGGTCTCTCCGCCGAGACAAGAAAAAATTCTTTTGCGTATTCTAAAAACGCACAACTTCGAATTTTAAATACGATTTAAACTTCTTGTATAGCTGCAGAGCCCAAAGATATAAGCAAAAAATTTGCCAAAACTTTTTGAAACACCCTGTATTGAAGAATGTTGAAAGAATCCATTTTCCGGCCACATGGGTATCCGGTCTCAAGAATAATATAAAAACTGTATCAAAACCCTTCTAAATTGTTGCTCCCTGAAGACTTTCTCACAGCTGAATGATTATTGGCCAAGCAGAACGTACACGTTTAACGGGTTTTTGCTTTTGGAGACTGTTTCGGAACTTTCTTTATATTATACGTGACCCAAGTTTCCGGTGGAATTTCTGCAAACACAGAATGCAAAAATACAGAATTTAAATGCTTCACGGAGTGTTGCAAAAATTTTTTACCATCCAAATACAACAGTCTCTAAACTACCCTACTACTCCACAATCTGCCTATATACCACAAATTTCCAAAAAACCAGCTAAATTCCCCAAAATCCTCAAAAAATCGCAAAAAATCCTAAAAAAACCTCCAAACAATCGGTCTCCACTCCCTTCCACCCTTCTCTTTCCCTTCCAAATTCCCCCTCCACCCTTTTCCCCAACCTACATCCACTATGACTGTATGCCGGTGTATGTGCCGCACTATAATAATCATTCTTCTCATCATCATCATCATAGGTGGTGTGTGCCGGAGTCGCGGTAACATTCTGGGGATCCCATGCGTTCGAATTGGGGGTTCGACCGCCGTCGCCGTAGGCGGGTGTGGTTGCGCCATAATGGGGAGTTCTCGACCCAATGGAGTCATGCATGGGAGTTTGTGAGCCGGCGCCGTACAAGGGAGTTTGTGCTCCAGCGCCATAAATCGGGGTTTTTCCGCCGATGACCGTGGGTGTTCTGGCGGCCGGTGTGCCGAATGCGGACATCGAGGAGGAGTCGAGGATGTTGCCGTTGGAGCCCACTTGCATTACACGGGTTCGGTCCACGTTGATGACCTTGGGCATGGCGTGAAGTTCGAGGCGGACGGTGGAGTCTGTGGCGTCCTTCACGATGCCAAAGTAGCCCTTCATGGGGCCTTTGATGACGCGGACCGTCTTCCCGACCAGCGTGGTGTCTCTGCGGGGCTGTTGTCCTTGGCCTCGGAAGGCGCTTGGCACTCCTGCCCTGGGGGTCATAGCGCCGTTTCGGCTCGACATTTGACTCGAATGGACGGAGGGCGTTTGTCCGCCGTTGGATCGATCGCTGGTGACCTGGGAATGATGGCGAGGGGACTTGAGGAGGTCTTCGTTCAGCTGACCATTCACTGAGAGTGGGGCGTTGAGGCTTTGATTCGAATTCTTGGCTCCGAGGAGGGTCACCAAGTTCTTTCGGACGACAAAAATCCCGGAATTTTCTTTGTATTTTCTGGAATGGAGGAAGAGATACGCACGGAATACGTATTTCACTTCGCCAATGATGTCGTCGCCTTCTCGGAAGCCTTTCTGTAACAAAATTATTTGATTTTTCAATTAGAAAAAATACAGAAAATTTCGCACTGTGCGGCAAAAATTTTATTTTTTTTGCACAGTTCCAAAACATGCCATGAGGCTTAATACCACATTACCACATTGTAAAATACGCTGCTTATTCATTTCAAAATTTAAAAAGTCTTTTTTCTTTCGCACCGTTCATAAAAATAATTATTTAATTTCCGCACGGTGCAAAAAATTTAACCTCTTTCGCACAGTGCAGGTAGACTTCCCTCAGGGCAAAAATTATTTTCCACAAATCTAGTACTCCCCAATCGCCTTCACAATCCCAAAACCATCCACCTTTCTGCACCGCACCGTGCAAAAATCGCTCTCAAATTTCTCCGCACCGTGCAATTTCCCAAAACCAATTTCCTACTTACAATTCTCGCAGTTTCACTGACTTTGACCAAATCTCCCTTCTGTACCGTATTTCCCACACTGTCCATGCATCTTCCTTTATCGGCATTCTTCCTCGGCTGAATACTCACACTCTTTACTCTCTGAACCGTGTTATTCATGGTCAACACGTCCGCAAAGTCCTTTTCCAACCTCAAAATCACTCCAACCGTGTTCGCATCCAACGAGACTAAATCGTGAAACTGGAATTGTCCCATTTGGTCGACGCCGGAGAAGACTTGTGTGTCCAGTTTCAAGTTGTGGGGTCGGACCTTCATCTCATCTAAATTAAGGTCCGACAGGACGACAACCGCATTCTCATCCACTTTGACGACTGTTCCAGTGAGGCCTTGATGTTGGCCACCTAGGACACGAACATGATCACCGGGTTTGAAGTACTTCTTCAGTTCTGATGCGTTGAATTTGAGGTTTTGCTGAAATGGTCATGTGTAATATATTGCTGACAGAAAATTTTTAATGCATTTTGATAGCAAAATCTGTTAGTATAATCATCAAATTGATAGAACGCGTATTTTAAAAATCAATTGAAGTAATTTGCTTTCCTCACAAGGAAAGTACTTTTATGGGGGCTCCTACTTTTTGACGGGACATACCTCAAAAAATCAGAAAAAATGTGCTGATCAAGGATATATAAATCTTAGCTGCCCATTTTGGGCTTTTAGGGGTGAAAATGCCCAAAAACTGGCTTAATTTCCCTACAAAAGGCGCATGCATTCGAAACGATAAAAAGCGCAGTCGGTCTCTTCCTTCGGAAGAGAGCGGTGTGGCCGAGTGGCTAGTGCCGTAGTCTGGGAATCAAGAGGGAGAACGCCGCACGGGTTCGATTTCCCTTTTGGGCCGAATCAACTTTTTTTGAAGTTGAAGGTCGGAAAAATAAATTTTTGGGCCAAGACTGGTTTATTACATCTTAGAAACTCAATAAACATCATTTTAAACCAAAATAAAAATTGTAAACCTGTGAAAAGTTAAGCGAAAAGGGGTTCATATAGGACTTTAAGTCAACTTCCGATTAAGTTTTCACCCCTAAAAACCTAAAACGGGCAGCTAAGATTTATATATCCTTGATCAGCACACTTTTTCTGATTTTTTGAGATATGTCCCGTCAAAAAGTAGGAGCCCCCATAAAAGTACTTTCCTTGTTAAAAAAAATTATATTAACCATGAAACATCTGATGACCAAGTCCAACAAAACTGGTCATAACTCAACAACTTCTTCATAAAAAGACTTAAAATCTCTTTAGACCATCAAATCAAGCCTCAATTTATCAATAAACCTCCATCATCATTAATTTAAAATTGAAATCCATCCAGAAGACCCATATATTATCCATGACAACAATATGCGTTTGTATTTTACAAATCTCATTCTCTTATGGTCTATGTTAAAAAAATCGACCCTTCATTTCACGACTACTCTTTCTCTATCCCTCCCCCACTCATTAAACATCAATTTCCCCTCTTCAAGTTCCAAAACTCTCCCTCAAACTCCAAATCTTCTCCTTACCTTTAGATCCTGATGGTCTGGGGAAATAATGACCTCATCTTTGTCCACAGAAACCACTTTTCCTCTCAAATTCGTCAACTCTCCTTCACAGACTTCCACCCAATCCCCAGGGCCAAAAGTATACAAAGTGTCGCTGATTCTGGCCCTCGCAATTTCCCTCAAAAAGTCGGGATCCGTGGAGAGCTTGTCCTGGAAGTACTTCAACTCCTCCACCGTGGGATTCAGATTCTCGGTTGTGACCGAAGTCAGCGGGAAGATTTTGTAGACCAAGAAGCGTCGGAAACGTTGGCCCTCACAGATAATAAAGTCACCATCGTGAGAGACTTCCGCGCCCAGGGCTTTGATCTTTTCCACGTCGAACGGTTTGGCTGGTGGGCGATTTTTGGCCGACTTTTTGGACAAAGCGTTGCGATATGAGAAGACTTCGTCATCCTCGTCATCATCATCCATATCCTGAAAAAATTTTAGGTAAAAATTTCAAAAATTCAAAAAAGTTTTTTTTGTCATGTATAATATAATTTTTATCACAAAACTGCTCAAAAAATCCCTTCAACCTTACCCTCAAAGCTCCTCGTTTCTTTTTGTAATCAATTCTTGGTACCAATCTCAAACAAATCTTGTTCTGAGCCACATCAACCCAATCCACTTGGGCCAGATCACCTTTGTACATCGTTTTCTTCAATCGACAATAATCGTTGACCTTTAATTGTGGTATATTCTTCACAACCTTCAGGGTATCCACCATTTCTTCGATTGGGACCATCTAAAAACAAAATTTTTGAAAACATTATATTATCCATGGCAGAATTGATGTCAAAATTTCTTCAAATTATCCTCAAACAAGATTAAAAATTTTCGGAATTTTGCAATGAGGTCTTACCTTGATATCATATTGATTTACCGCCGAGACACCTTCGATTAATCGAGCGACATTCGCTTTTTTATGGGCTTCAATGTACAACATGCCCTTTAGGCCTTCTTTGCAAACGATTGATGAGATGTGTAGAGGCTGAAAATACCAAATATAGTATGTTCTTTCTTTCTACATAAAAATCGGTTCAAATATCTCCAATCTTCATCATTTTCTGACCTAAAATCCGAAAGAATAATCAAAAAATCTTACATTTCCCGAATTTTCCATTGCAATACATTTTCTCAGCATTTGCAACACCACCATCTTTTCCTCTCCGATTCTAGTGACTTTGACAATCCACAAATTCGGATCTCTGGTGGTCGGAAGCAACGAGTTTTGAGTGATTTCATCATATGCATCATGATCTCTGGAGTAGTTGGACTGACGCTCCATGGCGTGTTTTTCTTCAAAGTAGCGAGCCATCTCTTCTTCTGTCATATTGCTAAAAGTTATTTTAGTCATATTTGAAGCAAAATTTCCTAAAATTCGAAGAAAATTTATATTGTAGTAGGCAACCTACGCCAATTTATTTCTCTGATCGTGTTTCTTCCGTTCCATAGCCTCTTGCTCTCGCAAGGCCTTCTCGGCAAGTCGTCTCTCACTTGGATCGAAGTTAATATCCTCATCTGAATATTGCACTTCCTCCTCTTCTTCATCATCATCAACTTCGACATCATCTTGGATGAAATCGTGGACTGTTCGACGCTACAAAATTAGACGTAACATGTGGCCTAAAATTCGAAAAACAACAAAATTCAAAAAATTACTCACCTTTCTTCTCTTTTTCTTGGATTTCTTTGGCCTTTCCTCTTCTTCTTCCTCCTCCTCCTCCTCATCATCGTCGTCGTCCTCCTCTTCCTCCTCATCACTTTCGTCCGAAGAGTCTCTGACAAATTTGGTCTTCTTTTTTGGTGTTGGCTCTTCGGCTTCGTCCTCTTTTCCACTTTCATTTGCGTCGCTGTCATCGTCACTCTCAATCTGTAATAAACAAGATAAAGTGGCGAATTTCAGGTATTCCATAGTAAAATTTAGATTCACCACGGAGTGTAATAGCTGAACAAAGTCATAATCTCGCTCAAAACATAGAAGTTACCACCTTCATGCGTATTTACAAAGCTCTCAAAAATTTTGGTTAACCAAAGTTTTTAGAATCTAGAAAACCACAAAATTCTAGCTGCCGTTTTTCAAAAATTTCTATTCAAAAGCTAGCCTGAACAGAAATCTTCCTTTAGACATCAAAGATTATCCACTAAACCAAAAAAAATTTAAGATTTATGACCAATCTATATTACACATGCCGCCTTCTTCATATTCCAATAAAACTCTCTCTAAAAACAAAGACAACAAAGTAAAATCTCTTACTTTTCGCTTTCTGGCTGGTGCTGGCGATGAAGGAGCACTTTTCTCCTGGTCAGAACCTTCTTCTTCTGAGCTGGGATCCTACAATCAAAATTCATGAAGAACAATATAAATCAACTCTCAAAATAAACTAAAAACAATCCAACTCAACTGCAAAAACAAACTTACAGGCTTTACTTCGACATTATCTTCTTCGCTGGAGCTCATTTTGCACGGCTCGACTTGAAATTTATGGTTTTTTACCTAAACAAAACGCAAAAATCACAAAGAAATCGATAAAAAAGAACGAAGAGCTCTCAGAAAGCCCTAAACACGACAATATCCCACAAAAAAATCGTTGAACTACCCGAAAAACTAGAACATGCCGAAATAATAAAAATTTCGTCGGGCGCAAGCCGAAAAACAGCTTGCAACAGAATGCCAAAAAACAATATTTCGAGGTGGGAAACACATCGATAGTCCAAAAAGAGGTGGAAATGAGGTAAATTGAATGGTAAAAAATTTAGAATGTAGTAATAACTTGCTTTAACCGATTTTGAGCTTGATTTACACTGGTTTTCACTAATTTTTTGGATGATATTGTAATAGACAGAGAGATCTAAAAATCTCTTGAATTCATAATTTATTTCCAAAATACTATTATGAAATACAACCTCTAGTGTCTCTAGATGGTCCATGAAAAGCAAGGGAGTTGAAATTTGTTCTCGAAAAAGTCGTTGTCCACGTTTTCTTCCAGCCAATCCGCGACCTTGATGAGCCATAATTTACTCGCCGCAGTGTCTTCTCGCATAAACGGCAACGTCTCAATATACGCATGGTAGATGCTGAAATTCAATTTACGAGATTTTCAGAGCATTTGGAGATGTAATTCTTACGTAAAAACAAAGGTTGTGATCCAATAAGCGATGAGAACGTCGGCCGAATAATGGGCCCGACTAATCACCATGCAGATCATCCCGATTACCGCGATAATCGAGGTGAGATAACTGATGAGCCTGAGCTTTTTCGGGATGTAATAGCGAACGGCCATGGCACTAAAACACATGATCAAAGTGTGGCCGGAAAACAGGAGATCTCCGCACAGCATGGGCTTGTTTACGTCCTGAAAGATGTTACAGTAACCCGAATTTTTATAACTAAATTATTAGAGATTTGCTGTTGACGACGACTAGACATGATTAAGGAAATGAGGGAAACAGAAAACGTATTTTACAAAGAAAAATTAAGAAATCCAAATTTTCTCCAAAAAATCTCGTTTTTGGAAATTTTTCAGAAAATGAATGTAATCTTTTGGGTTTCAAAATTAACCTGAAGGCTTCTACAACATTTTTATTTGTTTCTCCAGTAAAAATTAGTATGCTTTTACCTATAAATTAGAGTAATAGTCATCTTTTTTTTCCATTTGCGCCAAGTTTTTGATGACTTTCCATTATTTTTTGTTTTTTCGGGCAAAAAATCAATTCAGTGTTTTGTAAACCGATTTCTTCCTTTTTCTCTTTCCCCGCTAGAAATATGAGAATGAGACGCCCGTATTTTACCTGGGTCCCCAGTCCTTTGGCCAACGTAACCCAACGTTTCCAGTACAAATCGAAAGTCCGAAACTCCTCATTTTTCACTTGAAATTGACATCGAATTCGGCCGTCAACATAGCCTGGAGGGATGTGAGTCATGGTTAGAGTGATGCATCTCATCCAGTAGATCCAACCGCCCAAAAAGAAGATCCTTTTGCTAACAACATGGCGGTGTTTGTGCAGGATCATGAGAATTACAAGGCATAATGTGAGAAGAAAGCCAATGATATCGCCCATAAAGGCGATTTCTTCATTTTGAGGGATAATGTAACTGATATCCGGAAGGGCTTGACTGAAAAATTTTGTCATAAATGTTAGCTTTGAGGGGGTGGATACTATGGAGTTTTGTATGTGTACAAATAATTTATTAGTTTTCAGTTGAAAACCCGTTATATTATAAGACATTAGTCTTCAATACGTATTTTTCCCTATTTTAATCACCCTTTTTTCTGATTAATTATGTGCCAACGACTTTTCTACAAAGAAAGCTTGTTTTAAACCTGATGCTTATCCGTTCGTATTTTACCAAGAACAAAAAAATATTCACCTTTCATTATGTGCTCAACGATATTCGCCGAGCGTTCCAAAATTTCTCTTATCAGCCACAGAAAGATCCGAGCCGAAACATGAGCTAACCTCAAACTTGGGTTAATAAACCGACGATTTGCCCTCCCATCTCGCTTCTCTTCCAACGATGACTCGAGTTTCATCTGGGAACCAGCGCATTCTTGGAGTTAATTCGCTTCTTTACCGTCTCGTCAGTTCTACCGGCAGATAAGCCCGCTCTTTTTTCGATCCTCTGACTCACCGCGATCTCAATATTGACTGTTATCTCTCATATTATTTTCGGCAGAAAAAACAAGCGCTTTCAACGGGAGAAAAGGGGAGAAAAGACTATAGCGGCTAGAGCAGAAGGGATGGTTATGAATCTCAACGGAGAGAAGTGTTTGTGGTTAAGAGACGGGAAGAGAAGAGAATTAACTCCCAAAAACCGCAGTTACCTGACGGAAAGTTGAGAGTATTACCGTTTATTAACGACAGATGAGAATTAATCGTCGGTTTATTAACCCAAGTTTGAGGTTAGCTCATGTTTCGGCTCGGATCTTTCTGTGGCTGATAAGAGAAATTTTGGAACGCTCGACGAATATCGTTGAGCACATTACGAAAAAGTGAACTTATTTCTTTTGGTAAAATACGAGGCATTCATCACATACATATTAAAAGTTTATAAGACCATGCGATAACTATAGCATCGGGGCTTCCAAAAACAAGTCTCGATTGTAAAAAAGTCTAATCGTGGGGTCCCGCGGTAAGGCATGAAAGGTCAACGCGATAAATGCCTGTTAAAGAAATATCGTAGATAAAGCGGAGAGCCGTACAGAAAAAAGATGAAAGAAAAGAGAGCCGTCCCCCTCCGCAGTCTGTATAGAGACGGGCAAAGAGCCCGACTGTCTCCAAAATCAAAGAGTTCCCCATTCGAGAAGGCAAGAGAGATCTTTTTGAAAGCTGTAAGAAGGGGAATATAGTCGGTTTATTAACCCAAGTTTGAGGTTAGCTCATGTTTCGGCTCGGATCTTTCGGTGGCTGATAAGAGAAATTTTGGAACGCTCGACGAAGAACATTGTTGAGCACATTACGAAAATTTGAATTGCTTTCTTCTGGTAAAATACGAGACATGGGTCAAACCAGAGAAGCCGAAAATTCCACGCGATGACTAAATCCTACGGTTTGCAATAATGATTTTTTGCAAAAAAATGTTTTTAATAGCGCTTGTACCTTATACGTATTTTACAACCTTTTCAATCTAAAATGCAACACAAAACTTACAGATTAATGAAATCATGGACATATGCCAATGCCGCCCAATTGCAAGAAATGGCGGCAAAAAAGAAAACAATGGAAAACAGCAATTTCAGAGGTTCGAAGGGAATCCCTTCCGGCATGACAGACTGGATTTTGAATACAAATGATGCTGATATCAAAAAAAATAATATTCTTTTAGGTCACTCATTAGCATACGGACTATTTCCATGATTTTTATGGATTTGGGTTTTGAGGGTGCTACTGGTCGGTCCGGAAAGTCGCCGTGATGAATTTCAGCTTTTGCACGGTGCAAAAAAGTCAGGATACGACAGCTCAAAAAACTATTTGCAAGGTGCAAAAAGCAGTAAATTGCACAGTGCAAGGTGAACTTTTGTTTTTCTCACAGCGCATGTCGCCAAAATATTGAAACGGTGGAAACTGCCAACAAGAAACTTTGCTGTAACTAACAATCTCAAAGGTCATAGATTATATTTTTGAGTGGGTATCTGGTTATGAAATTTACCCTGCTCAACGCGTATTTTACCAAGAAGAGCAAAAATTTTCACTTTTCATTAGAAGCTCAACAATATTCGTTGAGCGTTCCAAATTTTCTCTTTTCAGCTACAGAAAGATCCGAGCCGAAACATGAGCTAACCTCAAACTGGGCTAATAAACCGACGACTACTTGTTATCCGGCGATAGTAAACAGTCAGACTCTGAGAGGAACGCCACGTCAAACTGAGCATTCCGATAACCGGAATAGACTCTGCGCTATCGGTTTTTTGCACTTCGTCTTACAGAGAAGACAGAGAAAAGACGCGCAAAACGTACTCTCTCGCCGCAAAAATTCCCCATTTCTTCGTCGACAAATAGTCTTTTCATGTCTTTTTTGGAAAATTGCCAATCCATTCACCGGACCATTTTAGCTTGCCTCTCTTCCGAGAAATCGGAATGTCTAGAATTTTTTTTTGATCCAAATTCTTTCTGTTAAGCTCGTGGCTTTGTAATTTTCCGATAATTTTCTGTGATTGAAGTTTCGAGTAGCTTGTGTAATTGGCTTTTATCTCCTCCTTCGGAGGATATACATACCCACGACTCTAATAACACTCAACCTAAATTCTTCTAATAATGCCGAAGTCCCAGCTTTGGTACTCCCAGTTTGACATGCGGGGCTCTTTTCTTTTTTTCTGTGTGATTATTCTTATTCGGCGTTTCTTTAACAGCCATTTTTCGCCTCGACCTTTCGTGTTTTACCGTGGGGCCTCACGACTATGTCGAGGGGAGCTTTTAGCGCGCGTTTCCCAAGCGGAGGGGTAAAGCCGCCAAAGCCGGCGTTCTCTCAGTCCTATTTTATTGCAGGCCCAGAGTGCGGACGTGCGCTGTGTGGGGTCTCCTCAATAAACATTATGTTCCAATACCTAGAATGATGACGAGATAAGACTGCTACAAGGACTCAGAAGGGTTTCGTTACAGATGGAGGTCCCACCGTAATATAGAAGTCTTCTTGGAATTCTATGGCATACTTTCTGTGTCGTGTTCTTGTCATACTGTGTATTGCCGACCCCAAATATCGTAAATCTGTTTATGGCCTCTTTGTTTACCTCGTTGGACACAGAGACGTAAATAATTCCTTCCCCTTCTACGGGGCCCAGAGCGATCCCTCCCGTGATCGGCATTAAGGTTTGGACAAGGGAGCCGAGCGGCCTCCAGATCCTTTCAGATGAGCAGGGTAACCTGAGTCTACCTCTGCCTTGTGTTAATATTTACATATAATCGTAACGTTGTATTATGGTCTTATTTGTATTTAAGAACCCTTTAATAAGCTTTATAAACTATACCCATCGAGCTGTATTTAACTACCTGAAAAGAAGATGAAGGGAATTCGCCAAGCAAATGGGATGAACCGAAAGATGAAATGAACCGGCTCTGGAAAAGGCAACGGATACACCGGAGAATGCCGATGAGCACAAAGATCACCAAATCCATGCCAAAGAAGCGATCGGCGAGGACGCCTCTCTGAGGGGGAGAGCCTGCAGATGCAAAGTCAAGCACTGCAACTACCATCCAAAGCAAATCGATGAATAGCAAGCACAGGTAGAAGAATTGAACAATCAAGAGACATAAAAGACCACTTTTAGATGTGGGACCATACCTGTTGGAGCCACTCACTGTATGTGCAGAACTTCACCGTAAGTTCCAAGCTTTTTGAGCCGCGTTAAGGCTCTACTTGACGAACCAAGGTGGAACACGCAAGCCGTGAAAATGATAAGCACTAAGCTAAATGGGGACGTCAATTTTAGACTTCTACGGAGTTGCCGGAGCATTTGTTCGCGGGAACAGACCCAAATGCATTACTTGACGTAAGCCATCCCAAATGAAGACGAGTCGATCCGCCAGTTTATGGCCAGAATGAAGGCCTTGCAGTCTACGGATTCCCGAGGTTCAAATCTTCCAAACGCGCCTCTGATACAAGAACAGATGATAAAGACGTCATTGCTCGAGGGGATCAACGCAAAACTAATCCGCACCTAAAAAAACGTGAAAACGTTCGACCTAAATGAACTGACCAATATGCTCGTAAAGAGTCCGATATTGAAAGCGCCAACGCCGATTGTGAAATATTCGAAAACCAGAACATGCTGTAATGGCCGTAATTGAAAACCGTGGCAGAACAGTAACTTTTGCCGCGGGAATTTTTGAGGTAGGTTTAACCAACAATGGCCGTATAATCATCATACGGCAAGCCGCCAACAAATGCGAAAAAGCGACTTTCGATAAAACTTTAATATCTGGAGTCGTAAAACGTAGTGGCGTGGACGAAACGACTTATCCGCTAGCTAGACCACGAAAGCGGACTGGCCAACAGAAGGTGAATTGCCCGACAAATCGACATGCCCACAAGGAATGTTGAGCCCCAAGACGAGTACGATGAACAACATTGGCATTCTGTTATTCCCGTGGTCAAAATACGTGTAATATGCAGTGTGTGTTTGGTGTTACGCTACGTATTGTTGCTTTTATCCGATGGTAAATTTATACTTATTATCCTTCTACATCTGGCTGACTCTGTATCTTCACCACCACCAGTCAAGCTACAACAACTGGCGCGTAAGTTTCAGCTTTTTTGGAATCAAATTACGCCCGCAATAGGCCAAACACTCTGATATTATACCAGACACCAGGTTAAAAAAAAGTGAGTTGGTGATGTCGGAGAGAATTGACAAGACATACACGGTTCGAAAGGTAATCGAATGAGATTTTAGCACGGCAAGTTTCAGCTTTCAGCCAGCGAAGCCGAAATGTCCAAGAACCTCCAGGTATAGTTAACTATCAAATTAGCAGTCTAAAGATGGGTAGAACTAACCGTACATAGTGAGCCATTGAAGGTTTTGTTTTTTCAGGTTCATTGCCTTTTTTCCGTAATTTTAATTTTTCTTATACATTGTCAATTTCATTTTTATCTAGCCTTGGTGATAGTAAAGAATAAAGAACTAATTATAATTAATATCTAAGCTATTTGTTGTAACCATCACCTTTCCAATAATGGCGGCCGCATTTCATTTTCGTCCGAAGGCTTATTGAAGAACGTTGCTCCACTTACCAGAGCCAATGATACGTAACCGTCGACAAGAAGTCGTCCGACGAGAGAGAATGTATGGGTGAAGTTAGGTCGTGGATCGAATAGATATTGTAGTATATATGAGGTATGACTCTACTGACTTCACTACCCTATCTACCCCAGGCTACTTGTACAACTGGATACCTTTTTACAATCAAGATTTGTCGTGTTATAATAAGCTGCTCTGCGATAGCTGTCTCGTATTTAAAAAAAAATAAAGTTAACTTTTCATAATGTGCTCAACGTTATTCGTTGAGCGTTCCAAAATTTCTCTTATCAGCCACAGAAAGATCCGAGCCGAAACATGAGCTAACCTCAAACTTGGGTTAATAAACCGACGATTAATCCTCATCTGTCGTTAATAAACGGTGATACTCTTAACTTTCTGTCAAGTAACTGCGGCTTTTGGGAGTTAATTCTCTTCTCTTCCCGTCTCTTACCCACTAACACTTCTCTCCGTTGAGATTCATAACCATCCCTTCTGCTCTAGCCGCTATAGTCTTATCTCACATGTTCTTCCGTTGAAAGCGCTTGTTTTTTCTGCCGAAAATAATATGAGAGATAACAGTCAACTTTGAGATCGCGGAGAGTCAGAGGATCGAAAAAAGAGCGGGCTTATCTGCCGATTGAACTGACAGACGGTAAAGAAGCGAATTAACTCCAAAAATGCGCTATTTCCCAGATGAAACTCGAGTCATCGCTGAAAGAGAAGCGGAATGGAAGGGGAAATCGTCGGTTTATTAACCCAAGTTTGAGGTTAGCTCATGTTTCGGCTCGGATCTTTCTGTGGCTGATAAGAGAAATTTTGGAACGCTCGGCGAATATCGTTGAGCACATAATGAAAATAGAGTTCTAAACAGGGTAAAATACGTCGATACGTTTTGTAATTGTAGACGAAACTCCGATTAGCGACCTTAGTTACAACAACAAAACCTGTCTATAAAAAACAATTTCTTGTTTTTATATACTAGTTTATTAAACAAAAAACGAAGAGATTTATTGTTGGTAAAATACAAATATGATACGAACTTCATTTATTTATTTTTTATGGAAAAATATAAAAAAATGTGTTTTATTGGAATAAATAAGTATATTTACTATCAAAAATAAAGCTATATTCTTTTCAACTTCTCACAAATTTACTTCCAAATTCTCCTCTCCTCGACTCATCTTCTTCACCTGTTCGCTCTCTCTGATCGCCTTTTCTCTGGCTTCGATTTCCCTCCCCAACTCTTCAATCTCCTCATTTGTCGGTCGAATGGTCAAATCGACCGGAAAGACGAACTTGTTCTCGAAACAATCGTGATGCACATTCCTCTCGAGCCATTCGGTAATCTGGGCGAACCAAAGCCAATACGAAACGCCTTCAGTTCGAATGGAACGATCGACTTCAATCACTGAGTGGTAGAGGCTGCAATTATGATGAGATTTTTTTTCAAAAAAATGCTCTAAAAACCGCTGGCAAACCTACGTGAAAACAAAACTCGCCAGCCAATACGCGACAATCACATCGACTGTATACGTATTGCGGCTGATCAACATGCAGATCACACCAACCACACTGATCAACGATGTAATATGACTGATGAAATAGTATTTTTTGGGAATGTAATGTCGAACCATCAAAGCGCTGAGGACCATAATAATGGTGTGGCCGGAGAACAGAAGGTCTCCACACAATATCGGCTTGTTTGTGTCCTGGAAGGGCTTTGTATGAGATGTATTTTAATGAACGTTTTGGCATGCCGAAGAACTCGACGTCTCTCTGTTTCCAAAGTTGCATAAAAATCTACCATATTTTAACAAACAACAGCAAAAATATTTATTCACTTTTCATTATGTGCTCAACGATGTTCGCCGAGCGTTCCAAAATTTCTCTTATCAGCCACAGAAAGATCCGAGCCGAAACATGAGCTAACCTCAAACTTGGGTTAATAAACCGACGATTTCCCCTTCCACTCCGCTTCTCTTTCAGCGATGACTCCAGTTTCAGTTGGGAAAGTGCGTCTTCTTGGAGTTAATTCGCTTCTTTACCGTTTGTCAGTTCAATCGGCGAATAAGCCGGCTCTTTTTTTGTTTCTCTGACTCTCTGCGATCTCAAAATTGACTGTTATCTCTCATATTATTCTGGAGGAAATCCAGCGCTCTTGCGGTCTCCTTGAGCTGTCTTCTATAGCATTCGCTATCCCTTTCATCACAAATCTTCTCTCGTTATTATTAAAACGCTATCTCTGTTGTGTGCTTAAAACGCACTTCGCGAGTTGCTGAAGCAGGCTCAAATGGGGGTCTGCCCTAGAATTTGACCCCCACTTTTTTTTGTCTTAACTGATGACATATAGGATGGTAAAGAACTTGGTGAATTTTTTTCGAAAAATTCGTCATCATGACCGAGATATGACGGATTTATTGAATTTTGTTTAATGTGATATATTGTACTGATTTATCGCCGAAACATCTCAGAGCTGTGTATATATACGTTATTGGCCATGCTGAACAACTTTGTAATTGACCCGAAGTTTGTCAGGTTACTGTAACATACCGTAACGCCCATGCTCAATCAAAAAATCTCGATTTTCTCGATTTTTTTCAATAATTTTCTCGGAATTTTTTTTCATTTTTGGAATCAGCATCAAATTCTGCATCGGATAGGCTATATCCGCATCTCCAGATAGGTGTACAAAAATGTCGTGGCGCAACCGGTAGTGGGTCGGACTACCATTCAAAAGGTCCCGGGTTCGAGTCCGGGTGGAAGCATAAATGCTCAAACGCGCTGGAAATTCTCCCAAAACAGTTGTAATGGATTGGAACTATGTTAAAAATAAATAATAATTAACGTTTTTCCCTAAAAAGGCTAAATTTTGGATTTTAAGAAATTTTTGAAAATCATGATTTTTGTGGGCCCAAATCTGCCGAAGGAATAAAAATTTTTTGTTAGCGATTTTTTTGTTTAGAAACAACACAGGTCATATAGAAAGACTATTCCTCAGAGGATTTCGTCTATGGGGAGCCGAATTTTTACCAAATTTTACAAGATTGAACACTGTAACATCATGAAATATGTGAATATCTACAAATTTTATAATGTAAAATTTTTTGCGGAAAATTTTCGCGGCTGTCAGAAAACTATTTAAAGGCAGCGCAAAAAACTGCTCTAGAAAAATTGGAACGTTTCCGCGTAGGAACGTCTGAAAATCATAATTTCAATTTTTTGTCAAATGACAAAATACGAAAATTTTTTGGTGTCTTGGGCAAAATTGAACGAAATCCTCTGAGGAATAGTCTTTCTATATGACCTGTGTTGTTTCTAAACAAAAAAATCGCTAACAAAAAATTTTTATTCCTTCGGCAGATTTGGGCCCACAAAAATCATGATTTTCAAAAATTTCTTAAAATCCAAAATTTAGCCTTTTTAGGGAAAAACGTTAATTATTATTTATTTTTAACATAGTTCCAATCCATTACAACTGTTTTGGGAGAATTTCCAGCGCGTTTGAGCATTTATGCTTCCACCCGGACTCGAACCCGGGACCTTTTGAATGGTAGTCCGACCCACTACCGGTTGCGCCACGACATTTTTGTACACCTATCTGGAGATGCGGATATAGCCTATCCGATGCAGAATTTGATGCTGATTCCAAAAATGAAAAAAAATTCCGAGAAAATTATTGAAAAAAATCGAGAAAATCGAGATTTTTTGATTGAGCATGGGCGTTACGGTATGTTACAGTAACCTGACAAACTTCGGGTCAATTACAAAGTTGTTCAGCATGGCCAATAACGTATATATACACAGCTCTGAGATGTTTCGGCGATAAATCAGTACAATATACCACATTAAACGAAATTCAATAAATACGTCATATCTCGGTCATGATGACGAATTTTTAGAAAAAAATTCACCGAGTTCTTTAGCATCCTATATGTCATCAGTTAAGACAAAAAAAAGTGGGGGTCAATTTCTAGGGCAGACCCCCCCTTCCACAGCTCGCGAAGTGCGTTTTAAGCAAAAGAGAGGTGATGATGCAGAGAGAACAGGGCTTGCTGAGAGAGCGGAGAGAAATAAAGACGTTATATAAACACTCCCTAGTGTAAAGAATTAAGCAGGAGACGGGTAGAGCGGCGAATTAACTCCGGAAAAGTGCGGTTTCCCATTTGAAAAACCAAGATGGATCTTTGTAGAAGCTGGAGGAAGAGGAATATCGTCGGTTTATTAACCCAAGTTTGAGGTTAGCTCATGTTTCGGCTCGGATCTTTCTGTGGCTGATAAGAGAAATTTTGGAACGCTCGACGAACATCGTTGAGCACATAATGAAAAGTGAATATTGTTGATGTTCTTGGTAAAATACGACTGGAAAAGCATCCGGTTTGTAACAAACGTTCTTTGTAGAAAAGTTAGACACTAAAAGTAACCAAAAATCTAAAAGGAAACCTTTTTTTTGGGAAATCCGAAAAATGAATATCATTGGGAAGATAATGAATAGTGGTAAAATACGCGATGTCAAACGAAGCTTGTGGATATAAATATTAACCGGCTGATTCCATGCGCTAATAGGTTCTTCTACATGCTCTGTCGAATGGCATTAGCAGTTTTTTGATAGCTCTTACCAAACCTTAGATACTGTAATTTTGATGAGGAGGTATACTTTCGTAACGGTGTCCTCTATGGTAAATAGAATCACTCATTTTTTTTTGATTTTTTTATGACAAAAAACCAAATGGACAAGAATATTTGCTCAATTTTTGACTTGAAATTTAACGTACTTCGCAACAACAGTTTCAAAATTATCAAAAAACTATGTCACATAAAGTTTTTCAAGCTATTTTTATATTTTTTTTTCACTTATCCTCTCCTTCCTCACCTGCAAACCAAACGTCGCCGCCTGCTCCACAAATCGATGCCAATACAATTCCAAATGCCGATGTGTTGCATTCTGGATTTGCATTCGACATTTCACCACTCCATCCTCGAATGGTGGCGGTAAACGGGTCGCCAGAATAGTGATCGCTCGCATTGCGTACAGCCAAGAGGCGATGTAAAGAAATCGGCGGAAAATTACGAATCTATGTTGATGGAGGATGATTAGAATCAACAGACAGAACCCGCAGATTCCGGCCGCCCAGTCTCCGTAGAATGCGGTCCAGGATTGTTGGGGAATCCAGTAGGAAATCACGTCAGGGAGGGGGCTTCTGAAATTAGGGTTGTTGTTGAATTAAATGTAAAAATTGCTTGGTAAAATACGGTGTAAAGAAGCTTTATGCTATTAAATATAAAATTACAGTGATCCAGTGGCAAAAAATCACCATTTTGCATCAGGGAAGTATCAAAAACACAGCAAAATACTTCCGTTTCTAATCAATTTCAAAAGCGCGATAGCTCTTTTTGTGAGGTAAACCCTTCAAAACAGAGTTTTTTTTAGTTGGAAAGGTAAGTATTTTGCTGATATTTTGATACTTTCCAGATGCAAAAATGGTTCGTTTCTTGGCACTGCATCAAGTCCGCCACTGGAGCTTTTCAGGTCAACGATAATTTTGCCGCCTCGTAGAGGCTAGAAGAAGGTTCAGTTAATAGAAGTAATAATAGCTATCAAGTCCTAGGATAATTTATCAATTTTTTGGGGAGTTCTACATGTATTACTGCAAAAATATGCAGGTAAAACCTACGAGTGGTTGATTTGTGGAACATGTTTTGGTCTTTTCTATTTTTTTAATCATTATTATGTATTATCTCATGGTCAAGAAAATTAAGGTCAGCAATAGCTAAAATTAGAAAACCGATCATATTATAAGCCTTCGCCATATCTCCGCCGAGCCTGCGCCGAGCATCTGCCAAGCAAAAAAACTTCGTTACTTCGCAAAAACGGCTTTAATTTAAATTAATAAATAACAATGGTAAAATACGTTGTTTCTTAATTTATGAAATTTGAATCAATAACTTACAGATCAACAAAATCATGAATATAAGACAATGCGGCCCAATTGGCAGTCGCCGAAAGTATTGCAAAGAATAGGACCGTAAGCAATTTCAGGGGCTCCCATGGGACCTCGCTTCTCATGTTGATAGAATAAATTTAGATCGCTGAAGCGTTTTTCCTTCTACTTCTCAAATCTAGGTTTTGAGGCCAAAATTTTTACTTTGTTCCAGTTTATTTTTTGCTGTTTATCAGAGCAATCAATACCCAGAAAATGATACTCAAAAATACCGCGTTTTATTACTATTGATTACATTGAGATGGATATAATTTTCTGTTTTCCGCAAACTACACAGTAGCGACTTGAACATAGCTCTCGACCTTGAAGGCATCGACTCCTCTCTTAATCCGAGCGAATCCATTCTCTCCCCATTGACGACCCCAACTGTTCTTCATGATCCAATAAGGTGTTCCGTTCTGTTCTCCCCATCCCACAAGATTCACCGAGTGGTTGATTCGCTCATAATATGAGCGTTTCGGATTGAGGACTCCTCGAGAATAATATTGGAGCTCTTCGGCGTCGAGACCTGGAAATTTTTAAAGGAATGGTTATATTGGAAGCAGCTTCAGAGACTATTTACTTGAACATAATAGCAAGAGATTGAGGGACTCGGATTGTTTTAAATTGCTTTTGGAGTTTCTAGTTACAGTGGCGGACTTGATCCACTGGCAAAAAACGCACCATTTTTCATCCGGGAAGTATCAAAACATATGGCAAAATGCCTCCCTTTACAAATAAAAAACTCCGTTTTGAAAGGCGCGTTTCGAAATCGGAGTTTTTCGTTTGGGGAGGGATGTATTTTGCTATATTTTTGACACTTCCCGGATGCAAAATGGTACGTTTTTTGCCCCTGGACCAGGTCCGGCACTGTAGGGTTATTGTTTGTTAGGGTCAATTAAGTAATATACTCCCGGACATAAATTTCTAACCACCCATATCTCAAGTCAATATAATGCAATCGCTTTGAAACTTGGCATGTATGTATACTAGTCATGACAAACAGAATGTGCCACATAAAATTGTTTTTCGTGTCTCTGTCCTTAGGCGAGTTATGCAGGTTTTTTCAAAAATTGGTGGACAAAACTTTCTGATCACCTAAAATAACTAAAGTTTTCTCAGTCTCCTTGAGTAAGCGACATGGTTCAGTTATCTTCGAACACTATTAAGGGACCTACAAGGACGATGGGTATGCTTTTTACCACCAAATTCGGCGTGTGCCCTCAAGCAACTCGTATTCTTGCAGCGCTCTTTTTCTCGTTAAAATCACGCCTTATGCGGCAAGGACGACCTTTTTGTTTCAGAAAAAGTAATAAAGAACTCATTGGAGCTAGTGATACAAGATCTTACTACCCTGCAATGTGAAATATGCCATTAACGCCTTAAGCAAATCACCTAGGAGTAGCCCATCTCTGAATAATTGATCATAACCGCAGGCGTTTTTATTAAATCAGTCTAGAAATCCCCTACAATACCCTTTGGTGAATACTGAAGAACGTGGGATAGCAATCTCCCGTTATCTTCGCACTTCGTGCGCGCACTAACGCAAAAGTCCAAAAAAACGCAACTTTTCCGATTTTGTAATTACAAAATGGTCAGAATTTGCCAAAAAATCCTCAAGTTTGCGTTATCGCGTAATTTCACCCCGAAATTTCATGAGGCCGGGTCAGCACTAATATAACTTTATTCTTCATTGTGTAGGGCTAAGCCATGTTTAATTTCAACCAGTTTGGGCTGGTTCTGAGAAAGTTACAGGCCGCTAAAGTCCGGCCGGCTGGTCAGTTTTGTAATGACTTTGCACATGCTTGATGAAATCCTTAACATCCCTCGGTATGATGGACGGAGATTGACCATGTGTGATCAATTACATAATCCGGTGCGCTTTTTATCCTTCTAGCTCACCGCGAGCCGTCGTATACTAACAAAATCGCGTAATGCGCACAATGCACAACCCCTTGCGACGTATGTTACTACTCCTCGATTTTTTGCCGTAATAAAATGCGGTACGTCTGTGCTATGCAGTATAAGCAGTTTTAGCCCCGTGGCAAACATTTTTCGGCAGTTGCGAACAATTTACCTAAGTGATCAGAAAATTTTGTCCACCCTTTTTTTGAAAATGTCGAAAAAACTGCCCTTAAAGTGCAAGGATGGAAAATTCCGTTTTACCCAATGTTTTGCACCTCTTCTTAAAAAGGCAGTTAAAATTTGGAACACGTAGCTCAATTAACAGTCCAGCTAAAGGGTGGTCAGAGAGATATGTCCGGGAGTATAATAAATGACCCGCAAAATTGGCCTTCTGGGTCTTGCTAGGTCAGAAAACAAGTCCTCAGCTTGCGCTTAATCACTGTCTTGAAGACCAGTCTGTCGAGAAAATAATGAGCACAAAGTCGTTGTGCCGGTCGCTGAAGTGAAAAACAATTTGATTTTGCCGCACTGCAATTCATTTCTTGGCGACTTTGCGATTTTTGAACCGACAGTCTGATGATTATTTTCCCGACAAACTGATAGATGTTACAAGGAACATCTTTCGTCATTTACAGTAAAAGCTTTTGTGAAAAAACTTTCCGCACAACAAACCCTATCTATAGCGAACAATTTCGAAGGTCCAAAGAACCAATCTTTCGCTACAACAAACCTCTTCCATAACAAAGATTTTTTTTGTTTCTGGCGATGACATTATACAGAGGTTTTTAACGTAATTTTTTTTTCTGCCTTGATATTTTTGAGTACATAACGTCTCGAATGGTACTTGATGTTTGAGATCTTAACTTAACGTTTAAATACTTGATTAAAGACCATTGATTAAAAAGCTATATAAAATAGAATTCGAAGGAAACGATTCGTTGATTCCGATAAGTCAGTGGGTGGAATATACGTCATATTCGTTGCGTGCTCTCAAGCGTTTTGTTTAGTCTCTGCAGCGCTTTTGGAATCATAATTTGAACAAATGGCTTTTGAAAAAAAAACAAATATTTGTATGATCAATATTTTTTTGAAGTTTATAGAATTTGTTAGCAAGCATGTATGATGTCATCATAATTTTCTTATGTAGTCATTGGTTCAGCAGACGAAGAAAAGCGTCGTCTTGATTCTCTTACAAATGCCAGACCATGTAATGCATGTGTAATTAGCTGTGTTTGTCTTTGGAATGACTCTGAAGATGATTCACTGCGGGAAATGGCGCTGTGTAAAATACAACAATGTTTTTTTTTGAAAAAATAATGAGTAATCCATTTGATTCCTACCATGCATAAATTAAGAATTGAAAGAATCCGTATTTTACATACTATCACCTTCATACAGCTTTCATATAACGAAAGTCTTACGCTCTGTTTTGATGATCCTCAATGAAGATATCAGTCCGTCAAAAAATCTGATTTCTGTCGAACATTGACAGTAATTGAAAACTGCCCTATGAAACGATGCATTTATTTTTACGTTTTGTGCTCAAATTTTCAATTTCCATTTCAATTTATTTACACTACTCACATGCAAAAAATCATGGAGTGTATCATAATGGTTTCCATTGTCCGGTCAGTGTAAGATCGCTCCACCGGAGGCCATGATTCTTGCCAGCATCGTCGATCCACCTCATCCTGAAGCGCCCAAACGGTCGTGTATAGGGGGATGTCGAATTCATGCTGATCAGTTTCGTTTCCAACGATTTCTTGAATTGCTTCAATTTTCCCTCGGTTTGGATTGAGCTAACATTGACAGTGTGAACTTGAAATCCATTACGATGAAGAGCTAATGTCCCAAGGCGAAGCCCTTTGTGCCCGCAACGGCATGGGTGGACAGGAAAACCGACCGCTCTCCAGGAAGAAAAAATATCAGTGCTCAAACATCAGCAATAATAGTGATTTTTTAATGTGCTCAACGATATTCGCCGAGCGTTCCAAAATTTCTCTTATCAGCCACAGAAAGATCCGAGCCGAAACATGAGCTAACCTCAAACTTGGGTTAATAAACCGACGATTTCCCCTTCCACTTGACTTTTATAACATCCCACAGTCCTCCTTCAACTGGGGAAAAGCCTTTTCGTGGAGGAAATTGGCTTCTTTGTGCCTCTCTTGTTACGCTATGAAAGCTGGCGCGCTGTTATTCGGCTGTCTGCTTCTCTTAATCTCCGAGAAGATCTAATGCGTCTTGCTTGTGTGTATTCACTTTGCCTCAGCCCACTTGCTTCTCCTTTCCACACAGCCCAGTGGTCCGATTCCACTTCCCTTCGAAAGAAAGAAGCCAAAGCGTGTACGCCCATAGCCCGTTGAACGCACGCCATCCCGTCCGATCTGGCAAGTTAAGCAACGGTGCGCTTGATTAGTACTTGGATCGGAGACGTCCTTGGAATCTCAAGTGGCGTACGCATTTTCGAATTTTTTGTAGTGAAATAAACATATCCTTTCAATATTCTTTGTAAAATACGCCGCGTCGAACAGGCTGGTCATATTAAAGTTAGCGGTTATTTTGCACATAATTTTTTTGTAAAATACGTGTAGGAACGCCTTTTCGATAAAAACGTTATTGGCAAAGATTACGCATTGTTTTGTTTGATTCTTCAGTATGTGCTCAAAAGATATTGGGGGGACGTTCCAATCAGCCACAGAAAGATCCTAAAATTGAAGTCACCCCTGTGTCACGTCAGACTTGACTCTTCTATGAATTATACTATGCATATGTATAATCTCTTTTATGCGAGTTTACCACGACACGACATATTTTGCCAGGCTCAACCTTGCCCGAAACAAAGAAAGTTTTTTTTTAATCAGGTTTTAATTTTTCTATACGTATTTTACCAACAAACGCGACAATATTCACTTTTCAATATGTGCTCAACGGTATTCGCCAAGCGTTCCAAAATTTCTCTTATCAGCCACAGAAAGATCCGAGCCGAAACATGAGCTAACCTCAAACTTGGGTTAATAAACCGACGATATTTCCTTTCCTCCAGCACCTATAAAGATCCAGTTTCGTTTTTCGAATGGGAAACTGTAATTTTTCGGAGTTAATTCGTCGCTCTACCCGTCTCCTCCTTAATTCTTTATACTACGGAGTGTTTATATAACGCCTTTATTTCTCTCCGCCCTCCTATTCAAGCCCTGTTCTCTTTGCGTCTCCTCTCTTTTGCTTGCACGCACAACAGAGATAGCGGTTTAATAATAGCGAGAGAAGATGTGTGATGAAAAGGGATAGCGAACGCTAGAAGGCAGCTCAAGGAGACCGCAAGAGCGCTGGATTTCCTCCAGAAATTAGGCGTTTCCCATTTCAAAGGCTTTAGTTTTTCCTTTCAATAGCTGTGCTGAAGGGGAAATCGTCGGTTTATTAACCCAAGTTTGAGGTTAGCCCATGTTTCGGCTCGGATCTTTCTGTGGCTGATAAGAGAAATTTTGGAACGCCCGACGGATACCGTTGAGCACATACAACATGAGTCACAGATTTCGAAAATTTAGACAAGAAATTTCTATCAAAAGAATTCACAAGAGCGTATTTTACATATTAAATTGAAAAAGCCTTCTTAATCGTATTTTACCAAAAATAATGTGCAAGCTAACTGTTAAAAAGCCATTATAACATTTACAGTATGTTCCGCGTATTTTACAAAGAAAACTAGAGGAATATGTTTATTTCATTACCAAAAAATTCAAAAATGCGTACGCCACTTGAGATTCCAAGGACGTCTCCGATCCAAGTACTAATCAAGCGCACCGTTGCTTAACTTGCCAGATCGGACGGGATGGCGTGCGTTCAACGGGCTATGGGCGTACACGGTTTCGTTTCTTTCTTTCGAAGGGAAGTCGAAGCGGGCCGCTGGGCTCTGGGAACGAAGCTGCAATGAAGGCCTGAACCAGCAAGAGATTGGGATGAAATGAGAAGGGGAGAGAAATCGAGCCGGCTTGACGGAAGCGAAGAGATTGTTGAAAAAGAGAGATTGGATAGAGAAGCTCGCGTACGTCTCTCCTTTCTCACCTTTTGAAAAAAAAGAGAAAAGAAAGGGCGCACAAAGAAATAGCACGTGCCTGGAAGCGAGAGAAGGAGAGATATGTCGAAAGAGAGAGAAATTGCGCGTGATTTTAAAAGAGACGGTGAGAGCGGCGAATTAACTCCAAAAAGTCCGTTTTCCCCATTCAAAGAAGACGTCGAACTTTTATGACCTTCCATCAAAAAGAAAGAGTCTTCGGTTTATTAACCCAAGTTTGAGGTTAGCTCATGTTTCGGCTCGGATCATTCTGTGGCTGATAAGAGAAATTTTGGAACGCTTGGCGGTCATCGTCGAGCACATTCGTTTTAATTCGGTGTTTTGTGTTGCTGTTTTATTTTGGCTCATACGTCTGTTTCTTTTGCCGCCCTGGATATTGATTTCAAAATCAAGGCCGTCTTTTGTGCAGAGCCCCCATTTTATTGCTATGTCGCAATAATAAACCCAATTGGTCTCTAAAATCAAGGTCTCTGCCGTTTTACTGCTTTACCATCGTTTTATACAACTCTTTTTCCCACTAAAATATCCCTACAGCCTCTACATCCACCCCTAAAATGTATTCGAAATACAACAACGTTGTTTAAGTTCCAAAAAGTTCGAATAAAACATTTGAATTTCAAACCCGGGGTAGACTTTTTCCTTTTACTGACCCTTCAAAGGTTCTTTATGGCACGCGCAAAGTGGCTATGCAATTACGAATTCATCCCATCCATCTCTTGCCATAAACCCACTTTTGTTTACCGCGACCTTTTTTCCTTTGTTTTAATGGACAATAACTTTTGAGTCAAAAAAGGCCATAAAGGAAAAAATCGAATGCAAATAGAATACATCAAGCTTGGAAGAGGCTGCTGGGAGAGTCTACGATTAAAGTCGACTACAAAAACGTTAAAAAATCTCAAAAAATTTGCGTTTGGTAACTGTATAAAAAATTTCAGATCTTTGTTAATGAAACATCAAAAAGCAGAAAAATTTTGAAAGTAAAATACGCGATCTTCAAATAAATTATTTTTATCAAAATGGAGTAGTTAACTATTCAAAAAAATTCGAAAAAATAAAAAAAAAGTAAAAAAAATTTTTTTAATCGTTGTAAAATACGCCCATGCCAGTAGCTATCCCCTTTTGTCATCTAATTTTATCCAAATTATACTTATCTTTTCCTCAAAATCCTCTTTTTTTCCTGAGCCGACTGGACAATCTTTCTTGACCCGAAAAGTGGGCGGAGTCTATTCTCGTTAGGTATAAAAGGACGAAAAAAAGGGCATTCAACTGATTTTTTGGCCGTGAAACCGCTTACAATTACCTTCGTCTGGATCTTTTGTTCTTCTTGAGGAACAAAAAGGTACTTTTCTATTCATTTTCCATCTCATTTTTGAAATTTATTTTGATTTTTTTTTCTCTAATTTACCCTGGATTACTGTATTTTAGGGCTCGAAAAAGGATAAAAATATAATTTTTCTTATTTTTATACAATAAAAAAGCAGAAAATCGCAAAAAATTTCCAATTTTTCATCAAAACCCCCCAAATTTCCCGCAAATTTTCCGATCTGTTGGTGGCACACAGAGCCGTCTCTTTTTCTTAGTCTTTGTTTCGAAATTCCCCTCCGACTGTCTTTAACCTTGGTCCCTTGCACTTTTTGCCTTTCGAAACCCTCTTTTTCGAGGCGTTTTCGTTGATTTCCCTTATATTCCACGTTTTTTGCGCTCTTCCCCCAACTTATTACCATCTAAACACTTTATTTTGCAATTTTACATCATAATCCTTGAATCTGCATCGAAAATTTTCGAAATTTCGCAAATTTTCGACTCAAATTATATTATTTTAGGTAACATGGGCTATTTGTTGACGGCCTACGCCAATGTCCATCCCAAAATCGATCTGACCGCCTTGCAAAAGCTCTCCGACTATCAGCACATCCCGCAGCAGCCGGGGAAGCTTGCGTGGCGCAATGGGCATCTCGTAATTCACCAATCTCGCCTAGTTTTGACAGTGGATGGGCCGTTCCGCGAACAAATCCGACGATTCCAAGCAGTCCTCGCCGATCTGCAGAAAATAGAGCCTCGCTCCAAGATCCGGAGCTATGGGCTCAGTCATCGGACGGACGGCCGATTTCGCGGGTATCTGATCAATTTCTGGACACCTCCTTGCTCGGTGAATGTCCATTATGAACCGGAAATTTCGGGGACGATCTATGCCAAACTCAGCTTCCCCAAGTCACCTCAGGTCCGATTATGGATTGCAGAAAGTGGGGCGATCGAAATGGCCAAGATCCGCGACAGCCGCGACCTTGTTTTAGGCCAGGAGTGCATCAAAAGCCTTCAAGTCCTCGCCAAGGTCGGGAATCCGAAGAAATCCGCAGTCGAAGTGACGAAACCGATTCTGCAGCCCAGAATCAACATCGAAGAAGAGGGAATCTCACAGCTTGAACGGTAATCTCATTGTTATCCAACTTCTTAGCGGGTGTGTTGCCTAAATTCCGAAGAAAAAGAAACAAAGAAAAAACTCACATTTTCCGCTCGAAACTGCTGGGAAATTTTTCGATTTGGTTTATTTCGTCTATTTCGGTCCGTATTTCCAATCAAAATCAAAAAAATTCAACAAAATTTATCGGATTTTAGGTAACAAAATTTTTTTTTTTCAAAAAATCGTAGTTATCTCGTATTATTTGGTCTCAGTCTTCGTAATTATCTCTGAAAATACCTAAAACTTTTCGTAGCGATACCCAAACTCCAAAACTGTTTCAATCTTGTATTATCCATGATGGTATTTCAGTAGTTTCTCAAAAAATCTCAAGTATTCTTGCCGCAATTTCGTGTTATGTTGTTGTTCTCAGGTCTGAAGCTTTAAATTCAAGATTGTACTTACATCTCCACTGCCCTGTTGTTGTTCTCCCGTTGTTATGTTTGTATCGAAAAGAAATAAAAAGAATCGTGCTGTAAATGGTCGGAAATTACTCTCAAGTGTTGAAAAATGAATTAACAACATTATAAACCTCGTATTTTACAATTCCAATCAAAATTTTGTCCAAATTGGGCCTATTTCGACATTTTGGTCAAGTATTCCTCTAGTTGGGTCAAGTGTTTCTCTCATCTCTTTTATCGACCGTTGCTTGGTCGATCGTTGATAATTTAGTTTCTACATATTTCCAGAGCTCTGCAGAGATGCGCAAAATTCTTGAAAAATTACAATTTGGACATTAGATGTCCGTATTTTAATCCATGCTTGGGCGCAGCTTGCCGACTTCATCTCTGCAGGCTGCAGAAATTTTGAAAAGTCGAATTAAAAGTTACAGTACCACCAAGTGTTCAAAACCAAATTTCCCGCTCATTCCCACATAAATAAATTTGATTTATTACAACCATACAACATATTACCCGCTTATTTACAATCCTGATCATGGTGAATATAAAATAATGGCTAAAAACTCTGAGTTCCATTCAAATATGGCCTAAGTGACTCTCTACAATCATTAACAAGTCCATTACAATAGCCGTGGTTTATCGAATTCAATATAATCATAGTCCTGTTCTCGGTCTTCATGTTTTTGGAGATGTGCCCTGAGAGGTTGGAGAAATTTCTCGGGGGCGAGGTTCGTGACTTTTCCGAGGACATCCTTCAGGTCATCCGAGTGACGGTTTAGGGTTGGGATGAGGGTTTGGTGGACTTCTACGACTTGTGCGAAGAACTGGACGGTGCGTTCGGCGAGGCGCTCCAGTCGGATCAAACGCTCTCGTTTTCGGCTGACTTCGGCCGGAATCATTTTGGTCTCATCTCGATTTTGGGTGCTCTGGTGTTGAGAATATGTGGATTGGAGGACATCGATGAGGACTTTGATGACTGTGAGGCCTTCCGCATTCAATGGGCGCGAGTAATAGACAAAGTGGTCGCGGAAAAAGTTGAGAAAGTGGGTTTGGAGCTGAAAAAAGTTGTATTTTATTATGTAAACTATAATTATAAGTCATTTATGACCTGTTATTATATTAATTATCAAAAAAATTTTAAACTTATGTCAAGAGGTGACCAAAAAAATTTCCTAAATTTTCACAAATTTTTGTTCAAAAAATCAACGAAAAATGCTGAAAAAAGTTGTATTTTATTACGTAAACCCCAATTATAGGTTATTTATGCCCTGTTATTATATTAATTATCAAAAAAATTTAAAATTATGTCAAGAGGTGACCAAAAAATTTTTCGAAAATTTTCTCAAAATTTCGTCCAAAAAATCAACAAAAAAATTACGATAGCAAAAAATCAACCTCTCATCACTTCCTGAGCTGACATTTTACCTCAAACCCCTCAAAAATTTTTGAATTTCAAATTTCCCGCCAAAACTAAAAATCGAATTTCAGTTTAAAAATCGATGTCAAAACTCACGATATATGATGCAAATTCCGATTACAGGTCTTTTATGACCTGTTCTTATACTAATTATCGAAAAAATTTCAAAATTATGTCAAGAGCTGACCAAAAAATTTTTCAAAAATTTTCTCAAAATTTCGTCCAAAAAACCAACAAAAAAATTACGATAGCAAAAAATCAACCTATCATCACTTCCTGAACTCATATTTTACCTAAAATCCCTTAAAAAATTTGAATTTCAAATTTCCCGCCAAAACTAAAAATCAAATTTCCTCCAAAAAATCGATGTCAAAACTCACAATAATGATGTGCCTTTGAATTTCAATGTCCTCATTTCTCCATTCCACATTCTGCGCGGCCATTTCGCAGCGTTTCGCCAGTTCCTTGACCAAGTTCCAAAACCGCTCTTCGTTCTCCGCGAACAAATATCGGGCCACGTTTTTTCGATGCAACGACTCGTCTTCGGCCCTGATGATGCTGTTGGCATCATCGTTTCTGTTGATTGGGCAGTTCATGAGGGAGTGAGTGGCAACCAAGATGTTGTCGATGGTTTCTAGGCGGGTTGTTTCGGCTTCCTGGTCTTTGGGAGGGTATTGGGGATTGAGTTCAATATCCAGGGTGTGGAGGAGGTCGCGGATGGCATTTCTGGCCCAGAGATATACCTGAAAATTGTTGGTTAAATTTGAGGGTGACATAAGAAAACAAAAAACAAATTTTAAAAAAATTTTTATTTTCGAAAAATAGTCTAAAATTTTATTAAAAAGAAAGACAATAATCAACATCGTATTTTAGTAAATATTCCACCCTAAACCACTCCCATTAACATAAAAAAAACTTTTAAAAAATATAAACTTTTTTTGATTATTTCACATCAAAATTAATTTTAAAATACGGCCACGCCAAAACCCCCCAGATTCTCCCTCAAAAATAAAAATTACCATAAAAACCCGTGAAAATAACATTTTTCCTTTTTTTCGCATAAGCGCGCTTATATTCTAACCCAAAACTAATTTTAAAATACGTATAAACATACTAAACCGACCCCTTTACCCCAAAAATAAACTATTTTCCTTCCAAAACCCCCAAAATTCTCCCAAAAATCCAGATTAACTTAAAAATACCCGTCAAAAAACTATTTTTTCTTTTTCAGCCTATCCTTTGCCCCATAACTTACTCTAAAATACGTCTAAACACACTTCACATATCCCTTTTCCTAATCTCTAATCCATTTTGTTTCCAAAACCCCCAAAATCCCCTCAAAAATCTAGATTAACTTAAAAATACCTGTAAAAATCCCATTTTGCTCCTTTTCAGCCCGGATTTTACCCCAAAACTAATTCTAAAAAACCTCTAAATACACTTCACATATACCGTTTCCTTTTCCCTAAACCATTTTCCCTCCAAAACCCTCAAAAATCCCTCAAAAAAATTTATATTAAATTATAAATACCGTAAAAATCCCATTTTGCTCCTTTTCAGCCCGGATTTTACCCCAAAACTAATTCTAAAAAACCTCTAAATACACTTCATACATCTCTTTTCCTTACCCCCAAACCCTTTTCCCTCCAAAACCCTTAAAAATCCCTCAAAAAACTAAACTACCTTATAAATACCGTAAAAATTCCACTTGACCCTTTGCAGCTCGTATTTTACCCCAAAACTAATTCTAAAAACCCTTTAAAATACACTTCACATATCTCTTTTCCTTATCCCTAAACCATCTCCTTCCATAGCCCCCAAAAATCCCTCAAAACCCCCAAAAGTTACCTTCACCCAGCTGATCCTGGCGACATTGCAAAGGAAGCCGCTCACATGCTCCACGCACACTTTATCCGGCAACCGCAGGTTGGAAATGGCTTTGAATATCACGCTTTCCAGCTGCGCTCGGTCCTGCTGTTCCATGGCGTCATCGCTGGACGTATCTCTCAAAATTCTAGCCACTTTTCGGACCAACGGCGGAGATTCGTGATCAAGATGATGACCGACCGCGATTACACCGCCCAACTTGACAAACAACTTGGCTATGGCGTTGTCGTTGACCAAATCGAGGATAAAACAACAGCTGGAGAAGAGGGTGGCCTCGTATTTTCCGGGGAGGACGCATTGGAGGAGAAGTTGGAGGCCTCCGAAATGGACAAATTCTTTCTGAAAAGTAAGATTTTTAGGTTCTAGGTCATAAAACAAGCCCTTATCTCCTTAGCTACATCAAAAAATAGCTCGATACAAATATTTTAGATATCAAATTTACCAAAATCCCAAATTTTTATATTCCACTAGGTGAAGCTCTAAAAACTCGATCAAATTGAAATACAAACACTTGAATTCCGATATAAACACAATCCATAACACCTGTATATTACCTTAGACACATCAATTCGAAATGCCAACACTTTGCCAATTTGGCGGGAAATTTGAAATTCAAAATTTTCAAAAACCTCAAAATTTCCAGTCAAAACAAACACGTCATTTTTCAACACCTCAAACTGTTCTAAAATCACAAACACTCACCATTAATCTGATTCTTTCCTCTCCCCTGGAAGGCGTTTTAAAAATCAGCCTCAGGGCTTCGATGGCGGCCGCCTGGTTGCTGTACTTGGGCAGATTCGAAGCGATTGTCTTCCACACATTCTCTCGACGACATTCCTTGGCAAACGCGCGGGTGTAAAGGGTGTTGAGGAAGCGGAGGACCGGTTTTCGGTCGTCCACGTTGAAGAGTTGGCGGAGGATTTTGCAGATCATTTGAAGGCAGTATTTATTCTGGCGTTGGTCATGCCTGGAAAGAAAATTATCTAAATAAAATGAAAAACAAAGATCATCGTATTTTAAAACCCATTACACACAAACGCGGTCATTTTTCATGAAATTTCGACAAAATTTTATATTATTCTTGATAGCCATCCGTAATGTTGCTCTAAAATCACTAAATAAAAATATTTTGGTTTAAAATATGCTACTTCCAAGTCTGTGAAAAAATTTTAGGTCCATTTCTGGCCTTCAGGTTACCTAAAATTCAAAAATAAAATTTCCCGCAATTTTTGGCATTCTGTTTCAGCTAATCAAATTGGCCTAAAACCTCTATAAAAAATCTCAAGATTCTATTAGAAGAATTCAAATCGTATTTTAAAACTCTAAAACAACTTATATTTACCAAAACTAGCATATTTTTATATTATCCATGACGAGCTCTCCAAAAGCCAGTCAAAACAAAATTTTTTATCAAAAACAGGTTTTAAAATATGCTTTTTCTAGCTCACTAATTGTCTTATATCCTAAAATCACATATATTTTCGCCAAACTCTCAACTCGACCACCTAATTATCTTATCCATCAAATTTTAGGTAACAAATCTCAAAAAACTTGCCCCAAATTCTTCGCCAGGATCATAATAACAACTCTGCTGCTTTCCTTGAGCAATCTCTCGGTTAGATCCTTCATGGCCGGCATTTTCATCAAGTAATACCAGATTCCAAATAGGGAAACGTGAAGCTCGGGGCATCTCTTCAGGTCCTCCTAAAATCATATCCAAAATTACTTTTATCCCACCTTGAAACTATCTAAACTGATCAAAAACAAAATTCAAATTACTTACATGCCGTTCGTAGACTGTTTTCACCGTAAAATCGTAGAGTTTGGCACAAGATTGGAGGGGTTTTTGGGCGTCGTAGGCGTAGTGCTGCCTTTTGTCCAGGTAATATAAGACGGCTTTAGCCAAATCGGGCTAAAAATGAGGTCGTTGTGAGATTTTTGAGGCAGCTAGACTTTAATTTATTCAAAAATTTTTTATTTGGACCTTATATTAGAGAAAAAATTTTTCTATTTTTCAAAAAAATCTTGCAAAATTCTGCCGTGCGTATTTTAAAAAACAAATTCCATCAAAAACCCCAGATTTTCACATTTACGAACACCTTTTTATCTAAAACAATATAATTTTTTTTTTCAAAACCCCCAAAATTTTCGTCTTCTTACATTCATCATTTGGCTCTGAACCAATGCTTCCACATTCCTCGCAAACATCTCCGGAGACAACATAGAATCGGTGTTTATGACACTCTCCCGATATTGCACATGGCTGTCGTCAATGTCCGTGCGAACCGAGACCGTCGACAATCTTGTGGCCCGACTCATCATGGACAAACTGGACATGTTGGAGCTCAGGGAGTGTACTGATGGGGGTCCTTGGGAATTTCGAAGGGGATTTGCGCCCAAATTCCAGTTGCGGAATGGGTCGGCCGCACCGCAATTCATGGCCATCGACTGGTCGAGTTGCTGAAAAAAATATATTTTTTAATAATCATATTGAATTTCGAGTTCGTCTCCTACAAAAGTCCGTCAAAATCCGGGACAAAACAGTAATTTTTAAAAATTTCCAAAAAATCCGTCATCATGACATCTTTATTTTTCAAGATATTGCTCATATCCCTTTTCGAATGTTCTTCAGAGCCCATAAACATACTAAGATAAAAAATTCACCCACTTTTGTGCAACAGAACAAAAGTTGTAAGTCATCGATGACGGATTTTCTGGATATTTTATAAAATCTCGTTTATCGCAAAAACACAAAGTAAAAATCCAATTTTTTCGATGAAACATCAAAATTGATTCTATTTCCATTCCAAAAATCAAATTTCCCACCCCCATTTCCACCAATACCTCCATAAATATCAAATTTTATATTACACTACCCACTAATTTAAAAAAACTTACAATTTTCTGCTGTTGCTGCTGAATAATCTGTTGTTGAGGTGTGATGTAGCCCGGATTCGGCCTTCTTCCCGGGCTCCTCTGCTTATTCTGTGCGGGACTTGCGTATTGGTAGGCGTTTGGATATTGCACTGGATATTGAGGTACCTGATACGGTGGGATATTCTCCATGGCCATGGTCGGGTTCATTTGTGTTTGTTGGGGGTAGTAATTCAGCGAGGGGTCGGGATAGCCGCCCGACGACGACGGGACCATCATTGTTTTGCGGTCCAGGGAATGATAACCTGAGGCTAAAATAAAGTAAATTAAGCCAAATTTAGGCCGAAAATTCTTTCAAAAGTAACAAAATCAGATTAACAAAGTCAGATGTTAGCAGATAAAATCAAATTCAACTTACAAACACCGGAATCCATACCATGAAGTGGGTTTTTTCTCAAGGGCCAACACCTGATATGACGGGTTCAAAAATAGGTATGTACAGACAATAAAAGCTGAAAATGACCGTCAATTAAGCTTTGATAGGACGCAGTAATCCATAATCTATATTCCCAGATCAAAAACTCGCGTATTTCAGAGAAAAAAATAACTTCTGAAGACAATAAAAAAAATGTGGCAGAACAACTAAAATAAGGTCAAAAGGATAAATTATCATAGTCAAAACTCAGCCAAAACAACGTAAACATTATTGTCAGTAAATTTTAAGGCCATACTCAGCAAGATTTGGGCATAGTAACACCTTTTTCATCAAAATTTGAGTTTTATACCTAAAATTACCTAAATCAGGGTAAAAACCATTTTTTAGACCTTCACATAGAATTTTTGAAGCCAGCACAAAATAAAAAGCCATAATAAACCATTTGCAAACCATAAACTAAAGCACAAACATCTTTATCACCCCAAAAACGCAAAATTTCCCTCAAAATCACCTAAAGCAATATCCAAAACTCAAATTCGCCGAAAAAACCCCCGTTATTTATACAAAACCCTCTTTACAGCCTAATTCGTCCTTCAACAAGTCTAATTTGCCTCCCAAAAGCCTCATAAACTCCCATTTCTCCTCAATTTTTCGTCGTAAATTGCACAGTGCGACGCAAATCGGCCGTTGCGTAATCCATTTTTGGTCGATTAAACTCGATAAACCATCAGTTTATCGAATTGGAAATTAATAAACCAACTTTTGAATGGGAAAAGTAAACAAATATTCGAGGGGAAAATCTACATAAATACGACTTGCGATCAGATTAATGGTGCGGATCGTATTTCAGGCTCTCAAAAGGGGCGAGAGAAATAAATTTTTTGATAAATATCGAAAGCTGGAGGGACTATAAACACAGTAGAGACCTTTTGACACTTTTCAATAAAAATTTACATACAGTGACGGACCTGATCCAGTGGCAAAAAACGTACCACTTCACGTCCGGGAAGTGTCAAAAAATGTGGCAAAATGCCTCCCTCTCCAACAAAAAAAAACTCCGTTTTGAATTTCTCATGCAAAAAGAGCGAGCGGGCTTTTGAAATCAGAGCTCTTTCACTTGGAGAGGGAGGCATTTTGCCACATTTTTGATACTTCCTGGATGCAAAATGATACGTTTTTGCCACTGGATCAGGTCCCTCACTGTAGTAGAGACCCTTTCACACTTGTAAATAAAAATTTACATCGCAAAATTTCAGAAAAAATCAATTTGAGCCAAAATCTTCGAAAAAGTTGTCTAAAACAATATTTTTGGGTACCAAAAATACTAATAATTCGGCGCAAACTCTCTTCTTTGAGGCATAACAGATCAGAATATATCTTTAAACCTAACATTATACCAGAAAATTGTGGAAAAAAGTTTTTTTCAAAATAGTAAGCAAAAACGTAACAAAAATAATATAATTGGATCCTCAGCCATTTATTAACACCCCATATCAAAATTTATCTCACATTTAGGTCCCAAATAGCCTACTTCTCCACCTCAAATTTAAATAAACTCAATCTAGCGCGACATTTCGCCAAAAACACTAAAATTTAATGACCTGCGCACCTGTCGCTCGAAATGTGACAGGCCCGCGACGGAAGTGATAGCCTGTTCGAAAGCAGGAGAAATTACTTTTTTATGCTGCCATTCGTTATATCGAATATAAATTTTGAGGAATTTTTGAATTCTAGACATCAAACTGGCTAAATTTAAAAAATTTGGTGTTTGACGTCATGAATAATATAAAAATCTCCCCAGATTTTTCTTAGAAGGTTCCAAAGACCCCATAGCTTAATTACGAGACCTTTGGAAGATCAGAAATAAATCAAAAGCCCCAGAATTTCAAAAAAATTATGTCACACTACCTAAAGTAATGTTCAACGCTCATTTTCCCCCTCTAAATCAATCCAAGATGGCGTCCAACAACCTCCACAGCTCTCATTACACCACATTCTCACTATTTCACTGCAATATGCGTATCAAGATCGCCCATGTAATCGGCGATTTCAAATTTTTGCAAACATATGCAATCTAGATGGGAGAGTGTGACTCGAGGTAATCTCCCCAATCTCAAGGTAAAATCAGGGAGAATGGGATCCAGGAAGGGCGAAAACTCGTCAGTATTCAAAAAATTCGATCTGACAATCGATCTTTGTTATGTTTTTGAATGGGAAAAACGGAGGGGAAAAATGCAAATTCCGACTGCTGAAAAAGGAAAATGAATGGAAGTTGAGGTATAAATCGATGACAGAAAACAGAATCGTTCAGAATATGACTTTTGAAAAAGCTTCGTCAAAAAATTTTGGGGATTTTTTTGCAAAAAACATTATTTTACGCAATTTTAGGTACAATTTGATTAAAAAACGCGAAAATAAAGTTAAAATCAATGTAAAATACGTGAGAAAGGATTAATAAACCGTAAACAACATAAAAAAATTTCAGACGAAAAATTCCCCAAAAAACTTGAAAAATCATCAATAAAAACCTAAAGTAAGGTCCAAAACTCAAATTTTTGTAGAATTTTAGACAAAACTTATTCTTCCTGACTTCAAAACTCCATACTTTACCTTGTGACATCCATAAAAAGCCCCAGGCTGACAAAAAATTAGAACAAACACCAAAAATTAGAAGAGTATTACCTAACCTGAAAACTTCTAAATTTTACAAAAATTTCAATGATTCTATCCGGAGATCAAAATTTTTGTTAATTGTGATACGCCAATCTGGACAAGACCCGCTTTTGAGCTCTTGATTCTATGTGAGACCCTTTTGGGGCAATAAATTATGCAAGGGTTGCTTTACAAGCAAACATGGCGTTATTTTGCCTAAAGTAATATGTGAAATTTTTATTTCCCCGCTTTTCGAGTTTGCAGGCCCTCCAGCGGAGCTTACCTGAGGTCCTGACTTCATTTATGGATTCTACTAGCCATGAGGCTCTCAAATTCGCCATGGATTTTCCTGAATCACCTTATTTTCAATAAAATAACCCCTCTGGCTTGTTAAAATTTGCTTTTCTAAAATTCTGCGACTCCCCCGACCTCCCCAATGACCTTTGTTGGCCATAACATTCCCGAGTTCACCTATTGCGATCGCCATTTTTCTCCCATTCCTTCCGCGCAACCGCTTCTCGACACTTTTAAATATGTCCTTGTCCCCTTTAGCCATAACACTCCCAAGTTCACCCAAAAAATCGCCCGAGGTTCCCCGAAAACCGAAAAAATTTGCGAAAAGCAAGAGATGTCCCATGGATCGTTGCCTCTTGTTTGGGTCCACTCATATTTCCTCGGCGGGGTGCCGGAGTGCGCGTCCCTTTTCTTGGGCGTCGTTTTTTGGGCGATCGAATTGAGGTGGGGAGGCGAAGGGGGCAAGGACATATTTCAAAGTGTCGAGAAGCGGTCGCGCGGAAGGAATGGGAGAAAAATGGCGATCGCAATAGGTGAACTCGGGAATGTTATGGCCAACAAAGGTCATTGGGGAGGTCGGGGGAGTCGGGGAATTATAGAAAAACAAATTTTAACAAGTCAGACGGATTATTTAGGTAAAATAAGATGATTCGGATAAATCAATGGCGAATTTGAAAGTCTCATGCCTAGTATAATCCATAAATGAAATCAGGACCTCAGGTAAGCTCCATTGAAGGGCTTGCAAACCCAAAAAACGGGGAAATAAAAATTTCGCATATTACTTTAGGCAAAATAACGCAATGTTTCCTTGTAAAGCAAACCTTGCATAATCTATTGCCTCAAAAGCATATCAAATAGAATCTAGAGCTCTAAAGCGGGCCTTGTCCAAATTGCCGTATCAAAATTCACAAAAATTTTGATCTCCAGATATTACTTTAGGTAAAACAAAATATTTTGGTTAATAATTGAAAAATTTGAGCAATCTTTTTATATTATTTTAGGTATAAAAACGATTTTTTTTTTTTGATAAAATACGGTGTTATTATGCAGACAGTTGTCCATGGTGTTATAAATAGCATTTCTGACCTAAAAAAATCATCATCAAGCTCTTAGAGCTCTATAACCAAACAAAAATGCCTTTTTTTTATCCAAAAATTATATTACACTAGCAATGGAAAATATAATTTTCCCAAAATCTTGGGGAAAAATCTAAGTTTAACAAACTTCCACTAAAAACTAACTCCATATCCGCTTCAAAACAGCAGAATCTCTCCATTATCTTCGACTGCACGCCCATTACATCGGGAGATTAAATCAAATGCCTCTAAACTCATAAATAGCCCGAAGAAATCTTACCCAACGCCCGCTTATAACAACAGACAAGTCCATTGACAGCCCCATAATCGATGATAATAACCGAATCTGCAGAGAAAATTGAAAGGAACGCGTAAAAATCGATCACCCTACCTAGTATAATATAATCAAATTAGATATAAAAACTGTCACTCATTCGTGAGTAATGGATTAGAGAATGCTCTAACGAACGTTATTATTACATAAACCGGGTTGTGGACCTAATCCTGGCCCGTAAATATTATAATTTATGGAAGATTTGGGTCAGTTGGCAAGAATAATGGGAAAGGATAAAATCGGCTGTAAATGATCGAGTTTTATGGGAGATTGAGGCGAAATGGATAGTCTAGAGAGTAAAGAATTTGAGGTGAACGGAGAAACCGTCGGAAAATAATGAAAAATATTGAAAAATAAAAAAAAATCAAAATTTTAGGCAAAATCGAGAAAATTTTGAAAAATGTAAAGGTAAAATACGATTTATTAAAAAGTCCAACAAATTAAAAACATCCTAATTTCTATGAACATGATTTTTGAAACATTTACAAGCCCTTTCACCACCTGGAAACATCAAAAATACGAAATTATCCATGTCTTCTGCATAAAATAATATAACCTTAAATAAATAAGGGTAAAATACGACCATACACCCGTAGGTGCCTCAAAGTATGCTAAATGCAAGAATAAATATTGCAGAAGTGGTTGCAGGCCTTTTTAGGCCCTAAAAATACCTAAAGTTCCCTATATTGTCATGACTACTACCTAAAACTGGATAAAATAAGGTAAAACATAATAAAATACGTTTAGCGGCCTTCGCAAAGCGTTGAAAGAAGGTCTTTATGACCGACGAGGTTCTAAAATCCAGTAAACCATCAAAAAAAATCAAAACAATTTTTGGAGAAAAAGATCCGAAAATATTTGGGCGAAATGTCACAAATGATTGGGAAACGAAATTTCAATCTAAAATTTGCTGGGAAAAGTGTAAAATACGTAAGAAATACGTGATTCTTGAGATCTAAATAGAGTAAAATACGTTAGACACCAATAAATGCAATTTTAGAATAAAATTATTCCTGCAACAGGTACCTCAAGTATAATATATCATAACCCTTCTATTTTTTCAAAATTTACCACACATACTCTGAATAGGTCGTATATCAATTTCTGAAAATTATAGTTATCGCATTTCAGCGGCAGACGAGATATTCAATGATCTTTCTCGGAGAGAGCACGTAAAATGAGGAGAGTCGGAAAGATGAAAAAAGGTTTTTCATGTATAACATTTCGAATTCTCCTTGAAAGATGTTTACTTTTTAAAAAACCCCTATACATCTCAATAGGAAACATCCTTGAAATTTTTATATTGAAAATAAAAAAAAATTAAAATTCGAATCAAAAAATCTCGGTAATTTCTGCACAACGCGATCCAAAAATCCCTAGTTTTCCTGGAAAATTTTGTTCATCAAGTTTCAGCAAAATCCGATGGCTACCTATCTCAAAATACGACTCTTTTTTTATGTCATCTCCAGCCGAGAAATTGTAAAAAATTCCCTTGAAGAAGACGGAAGAAGCCCTTATAACGGCAGTCCGATCAAAGCGAATCTTCCGCCCATCTAATCCCACTAATTTCTGCACTCAACGGAGATTAATTTGATTTGCATACCAAGACCTTCCCGATCAAATGTCACCTTTTTTTTGTCTTTCACTCTCTTCACTTTATGTGCTCTCTCGAAATTCGGAGGCCATCTGAATATCATAAAAAAAAGGATGGGGAAGGGGTTTTTGGAGGAGGAGATATGCGGGGCTCGCTGGGAAATTTTAATATTTTAAATCGGGAAGATATGTAAAATGTAAAATACGCTTAGTACAAATGAGTTGATGAGATATAGCACTTAAAATCAATTAAAATAAAAGCAGTAGCAAAAAATTTTTTTTTTGAGCGTCAGTGTGACCCGAAACAAGCTTGGCCCAAATGCACCACTCTTTTTCAAAAGTGCGTAGACTATTTGTCACAAATTTTCCACTATGTGAATTTCACCTTTTGCACTGTGCAATTGAAAGATCGCCGCAGCCAAAGGTTTGCCTAACCCTCTGCACAAAATCAGCCAAAATCTAAGTAAAAAATTCTTGTAGTTTTTTCTTGCTTTCATTTGCAAATTTTTGGTGATATTATAATAGAAATAGGGTCCACAATGTTTTTTTCAAAAAAAAAATCAATTTTTGCTGACAAGGACACTTAAAGCTATGGCCAAGAAATGTTTTCTGGCCGACTCTCCTTATTTTGTCTGCGTCAAATTCAACATAACGACGCAAGGATTATCGGAATTATTATCGGCAGGAAAAGCAAGGTTGATCGATAATTCCTTGAACTATTTTGAAGGGAAACTCTTTCGTTGAAGCTATGCAGACATTGCTGGAGCGTATTTTACCCCAAATCCCTAATATCTTCAAATTTCCGACCAAAGAATACCAAAAGTCCGAAATTCTGTTTTTTTCAAAAAAAGTAGCCGCAAAAGAGAGTTATCGCCATTATTTGATGTTCCAGAACATCTGCTTCCTTTCCTTTCGTTCTCAACATCTCTGCTTTGTTTTCTTTTTTTTGAAAATCTTTTTGATTATTTTGGGAATGGACTTGGAAGAAAGATCAAAATAGCAAAAATTGTAAAATACGCCGGTATTCTTGGTTTGCATTTTTTAGATTGGGAATATCCATTAAAAATCATACAGTATCAAAAAAATCGAAGGTTTCCAGTGAAATTTGACAACATTTTTTTGTTAGTCTGTCTGCGAAGTCGCTGGAGTGATTTCGGCGACGTGCACTGTGCAAACAAGTCAGGATGCGAACGACAGCCCAAAGCCTATTGTACGGTGTAAAAAGCAAGGAATTGCACAGTGCAAAGTGAACTTTTGTTTTCGCACAGTGCATGTCGCCGAATATACTTTAGCGACTTTTCGAAAGAACTAGTATGCGAGACTCCTAGCTCGTTCTCTGCAGAAACAACCATGATTCTTTGGTGCAAAGGTTGATGAAAAATTCCCATTTTTTCGAAACTTTTACATTAAAGAACTTTTGGCCTTATCATTTATGTCGGTGAAGGTAACGTTTGTATTCAAAGATAAACTTTCTCACCACAAAACTGGAAGAGATATGGGTGAAAAAAAAGGTTCTTCTCTGACCGCTCTCCGCTTTTTACGGGCTCTCAAAGGCTCTCAAATATCTCGGCTGCTATTGCAAAACGCGAGCTATGATTTCCAGGCATTTTTATGTGGCCTAGGCCCGCCATGTCTGCGAAATTTAAAGAAAATTTGAGCGTCGAACTTTGAGATCTAAACGTCTCACTTCGAACACTTTTCTTGAAAATTTGTCCATTTTTTTCGTTGAGAAATGTCATTCATAGCGAAAATATCAGCAGAAAAACATAGATACCGTATTTTAAAAATTTCAAAAAATAAAACCAAATCAAAGTCACCTCAACAAATCTTTATTCGACAACAACATTATCAATACAAAAAACTTCGCAGACGTACCGCTGATTTCTGTGCAAATTGCATCCGAACCCAAGGCAGTACTTGCTTTTTTCTCCACATTCCTGATTACATTTGGCCTTGCATGCGATCATATCGCAAGGCAGTTCATCGGTCAGTGGACACGTATATTGTAGTAGAGAAACGAGAGAAATAAAGATTAGAAGGAGTCTCATAATCGACCGGTCGAAAATTTTTTTTTGAAAAATAATTTTTTTGGGTGATTTTTTGGTTTTTTTGGAGAGGAAAAATTGATTCTTTGAGAGAATTTTTTTCGATTTTTTTGAGGAAAACTCGATTTTTTTCTCGAAAAAAATGTTTTTTTAGAAAAAAATGAACTTTATTCGAATAATTACATATAATCCATCAAAACAATGGCCGTATTCTTATTTGAGATCAATTTGGAAAGGGAAATACGACTAAAACAACATAATAAAACTTTGAAAAATACCAAAAAATAAACAAAAAACCAAAAAAATCTACTCTACTCCTAAATTCAGGCGAAAAATCGACAAACTAATCGTATTTTAGCCACTCCCAATGGCTAGTTCATCCGCTGTCGATGCCTCCTGGTCCCTCGAAAGCATTGATAGGCTTTGTTTATTCGATTCAGATCGCCTCGAGTGAAATCGGTCGATTTTCCCATGAGTGCCGTAAAGCCCGGTCGTTTCGATTCGATCGTATTCTTCCCGTTTTTACTCCCTTCCGTGGACTCGTAGTGCATTATGGAGAAATAGTCGTAGCCCTCGCCAAAGTTTGAGAGACCTTGCGACGATATTTTGTCAAAATCGGCGTTTGCACCTGAAAATTTAAGACTTGAAATTTAAATAGCATAAATGCAAATTTTGAAAGTGAAAATTTGGAGTTATGAAACAAATTCAAATGAGAAAATTTGAAAAGTGATATGCATCTATCAAATTCGCATATTCACATCCAAAAATTTAAAATTTTGAATATTAAAATATACGGATTACATTAAAAAATTGTTGCTCGGGAGGCGTATTTTACATTTATTTTAAGTTATTTTTTCTGTCGCAGTACGTAGAAACAAAAATTCGGATTGCGCCGACCCAAAACAAGCTTTTTTGCGAACTGCACTGTGCGTTTCATTATTTTTTTCTCATTGCACAGTGCAAAAAAAAAGCAAAAAAACATCGGTTGCACCGTGCAACCGATTTTTTCCTAATTTGGACAGTGCAACCAAAAACAAGTTTTTTGCTCACTACATAATGCTGGAAAACAATAACATTGATTGCACCGTGCAACCAGAGGAAAAATTTTGTTTTTCAAACCACACTGTGCTTTCACAATTTTTCCCTCACTGCACAGTGCAGAAAAAATAAAGCTTTCGACAAGCTTTTTTGCAGCCGAAAACTTTCTCCTCCTTCGCACAGTGCAATTAGAGGAAAAATTTTGGTTTCCAAACGCACTGTGCATTTCATGATTTTCTCTCGTTGCGCAGTGCAAAACAAACAGAATCTTGCGACGACTGCACTGTGCGGGATTTTCCTTTTGGATCTGTTTCACGGCACTGTGCGATGAGAATAAAATTCAACACAGTGCAAACAATTTTTTTTTCAGAAATGTAAAATACGACAGGACAACTTAAAATTTGGAAGAGGTGAGTCAAAAAAATAACTTTATTTTTTGACTTACCATCAATGACATTTTTCCAAATAATTTTTACAAATTGGTCCCGATCGTCCCGTTGATGTTCATGAATAAATCCAATCACATGCATCAGCTCGTGAATAATAGTTGCGTAATCGATGCATTCATCGGCCAAGGAAACTTGTTGGCGCCCTCCGACCCGGGCAAAGTCCGCGTAACAGCTGCAAATTGTTTGCAGTATTTTTGGTGACAATGACTAATTAATTCAACAGCCTTTTTAAACAACGTATTTTAAGGTTTTTTTATTTCTCTACAATCGATTTTAACGAAAAAACGGGGAGTTGTCTTATAAATTAGTACCGAGGTCCTAAACACAGCAAACCCCTGCACAACAAACTACGAAGGTAGAGAACTAATCCGTTACAGAAGAGAACGGAAGTTCATTTTGGTCTAGAATTTACTTCTACAACTGCCACAAAAAACAAGAAATCCTTCAAGGCCGAAAAAGTCAAGTGAAAATTTAGCCAACAAAACAAGCTTTGTCAATTTCAAAAAAATCAGAGTCAAAAACTGGGAATCGCGTAGGCCACTTTAACACATTGTGCAGGGGCGTAGCTGGCCAAAGGTTCTGGGTGGAGGTCACCGGGGGGAGGGGCAGGGGATACATGTAAAAAGAAAACTACCGTGGTCCCTCGTCACATTTTTTCCTCCGACCCTGGCCTGAGGAGGTTCATAATTTGGCAAGGCAAAAGTGGCTGAGCTCATTTTAAATAATCCAAAATTTCGGAACACTCTATGCAGTAACAACGAAGATAATGAACAAAGAAAAGAAAAGAGTCTTGGGTGACCTCCCCTCGTAGACCTTCACCGTACTCAATTTCATAAAAAATCGATTTAAAAAAGTCGCCCGAAAGATCAAATATCAGTCTGTCGGAAAAATAATGAGCACTCTGCCGCATCAAAAACCACATGGTCGCCGAGAAAATGAACTGTGTCGCGGCAAAATCAAATTTCTCTTGACTTCAGCGACGCGATTGCGACTCTGTGCTCATTATTTTCTCGAGAGACTAAAAAAATTCTTCTAATAATAAGATTTTCTGACCTTTTTAATCCAAAAAAATCCCAACCCCATTACATTTTACAGCCAAAAAATTTCCCCGCCCTCAAAGAACTCACCCATCCAGCTTCTGGATGACGATATAATCCTTGTCTCGGCTTTCCTTCGGCACGAATCTAATGCAGGTCTTGGCCGAATACGCGGCCATGGAACGGGCCAGAACCGCCCGCTGTTGTTGCGCTGAAGAGTTTGTGAAAGGATTAAAGAAGCGCGACTCTCGTTATTATTCGCTATCCGACTTACTGTATTGACTGGAGAGGACGTAGGGTACCCGTCCGTTGGGCCATTTGTCCGTCTCGAACGAGACGACCGAACCTCGACGGACTCGCTGAAATTTGGGGAATGAGGGTTTTAAAATACGATTGGTTAAAAGACAAAAATTGGAGAAACACAAGAAATTATGTAATGAAAGTAAAATTATATATTTTTTGCCTTCTTGGCTAGCAAAACCCCACACTTTGTTGCGCAACCAGAAAACTTGATTGATAGTCTCTTTTGACCCGATTAGACATGGCTCGTCAGCCGGCCCGGGCCGAAAATCTCGGCCCGGCCCGTCGGCCCGAAAGGTTCCGACCGGCCCGGCCCGTTTCAAATTTTCCGTCGGCCCGGCCCGTTTTAAATTTGCTTCTTGAAACGAAAGTCAACCCAAGTCTAACTCCTTATGACCAATTTTTTTTCTATCATCATGTAAATGGACAAATACTGTGTTCCATAGCTATATATCTAAAAGCAAAAATACCTTTAAAAAAACCAATTGTGTCTTGACATTGCGTTTATTTTCATTATCAAACCCAATTTTAGATTCGAGACTCTGGATTTTAGACATTCCGGGCCGGGCCGGGCCGAAACGCCGGCCCGGCCGATCTAAAATCGGGCCGACGGGCCGAAATTTCGGTCCGGCCCAGGCCGGCCCGGGAGCCATGTCTAGACCCGACATGCCCTTAGTTGACCCACCTAACCTCCGAAGCACATGATAGATGGGGTCTTATAAAAATTTCAAATTTTGGACTTTATACAGAGGGCTTAAGGTCGTTTCATTAACGGCTTTAAGGGCATGGGTAGCTGAAAGCGACTGCAAGTGGAACTTTTGTGAGAATGGGAAGGATAGGCTACCGAGCTGTGGTTTTGGCTAGCCGAAAAGGGAAGAACTGATTTCATTTTTCCCAATCGTTTTTCCCAATTGACGACGTTCCGCAAAATGCATATCTTGTCTTCTCTTGAAGACGAAGAAAAATGCATCAATCCCTGAAAATTCCGTGGAGCCCTTTGAGCCGCAGCCGACAAATTTCAACGATCTTTTTACGAGAGAGTACGGAAAATATGGATTTTCGGACAGAAAAAAGATGTTTCAGCTTACGTACAATTTGACTGCAATTTTTGCAGCATTATGAAAATTTTGAGCTTTCAAAACCTAGAAAAACCAACTCACCTTTCGATGAAAGTGCTGATCATTCAAGATCACCTTCATCGGCTTGCTCGTATCCACACCCTCCGCATTCCGGAAATCCTCGTCCGTCAGGAAGCTGGGGCTGTCCAGCGGGCCCGCGTCCACCGCGAAGTACTGCCGCCGCGACGCGCCCAAACACAGGAGGAACAGCACGGTCAGAGGGCGCATATTAACTGCAAACGTAATGGAGTGTAGTCGCCCTATTATTACGCAATAACACGCGTCATTAAGAGCGCGCAAAGTCACACGGTGCGGGTGTTTGTGGAACAGTCTCCGTGGAATTGGGGGGTTTGTTTGCCCGGTATTTTACCCATCAGCCCCTTCGTCTAAGACCCTGCAACGGGTCTTTAACGGAGGGCAACCCACGGCCAAGGATTATGGTGGGGAAAAATGATTTTGTATGGACCGCTGAATGGGTGTATTTTTAGTATTTTGGTGATGACCATTGTACCTCAAAAAGCAGAAAATAGCTGTACGAAAGCAAAGATGACTTTGCAGTGGAAAGAACCCCAGCCTTTATGACAAAACCTGCATATAACAAACAGTTTCAAACGTCAAAAAGATCAATGTTAGACCAAAAGAAACTGCCACACAAACACCCTAACAAAAAAAAATTTTTTTTCTTTGGTTCCTTGCGATCCAAACTTACTACCAGCCCTTCCGGAAAGTCGCCGGACTGACAGGGGAAGTACTCCAAGTGCGACGCTCAGATTTTCTTAAAATTTTGCACACCCGTCGGGTATGGACTAAATATCAATTCCTGAAAGTTTTAGCTCGCGCTTTGCGGGCGCCGCCGAGATATCGAACGATCTTTGGCGCCGAGAGAGCGCGCTAAACGTGGAGAGCGGTCAGAGATAAAAACGCTTTTTGGCCATAACTTTGGCAGTTTCGTGCGGAAAAATTTGATTTTTTGTAGAAACATTCTCCTTTACGATCGAAAAAGGCATGAAACTTTTCGTGCCAATATTCGGCAAAAAGACCTGAATTTTCGCCGACTTTTAGTACTTCCCCTGTGAAATGGGCTGTCCGCACTGTGCGAAAACAAAAGTTTTCCTTGCACTGTGCAATTGAAATTTCTTGCTTTTTGCACCGTGAAAAAGGCTTTTTTCGCTGTCGCTTGCACCCTGACTTTTTTCGCACAGTGCAAACGTCAAAAATCAGTCAGGTGGCTTCCGGAAAGGATTAGTACTGCATAAAGTCCCGAAAATATTGTCGCCGATGTCACGCGCAAAACTTGGAGCGAGCTTGAGCAAAAGTGCATCTCACTGATGCATGAACTTGGAATCGTCGTGGCAGGTGCGCAAACTCTCAAAAAAAAAGAAAAAAGATACCGTGCAAATTAGAAAAATATCAGTCTGTCGGAAAACTAATGAGCAATCGGTGGCATCAAAGGCGTAGAAAGTGAATTTAGAAAATGAGTACAAAATCAACTTGCACGTCAATCCAAAATAGAAGAAAAAATTTCCCGCCCCTTTTTGGCGATTCGTTCAAAACGAAATGTCAATATCCGATAAAAAGCATTTTCTTATCTTTCTTCTTCCTTTTCGAGAAAAAGCAATTATTTCGGGCGAAAAAAGGTGCCGATAATTTCATGACATTTCGTCTCTCTTTTAAATCAATGAAAACGATACGAAGTTTCGAAACGGATCAGGAAATCCGCTGGATTGACGTGACTTGCTTTTCACTTGACCCGACGCGATTGGCGCAGCGATATTGCGCTCATTATTTCCCCGACAGACTACGCACGTAGAGCATGATGCAGAACCCCTTTGTTACTGCCGTTGTTCTTAAGCATCTTACTGCAATAAGCCTACAACCAGATGGTTTCGAAAAATAATCATCATTGCCATCTGCGCCAAAAAAAATTGTTTTTTCCAACAACAATATTCATGGTATGAAGTGCGCCCAATGTCAACTTTCAAAATCAAAAAAAAACTTACAATTTATCCAGTGTTAATAGTATAGCTCCAAAAACTTCCGGAACTGAACAAAAAAGAGAGCCGGCTTTTGTAAAAAGGAGCAGTTTGCGTAGATCCTCGAGACGGTCGCTCCGTTTGGAGAAAGGGAAAAAGGTAGAAGAACAACAATACCCGTGTGCAGAATTGTTTCAAGCCGGGCCAAATAGCAAAAGAAGCCTAAAAAAATATAGCATGAATAAGAATATGGAAGCTAAAAATAACGTCAAATCAAAATGGGACTATCCGAAGAAGCGCGGAATGATCGAGACACTCAAGATTTACAGAGTAAGGATCCCATGGAATCTTTATGAAACTTATATACAAGGGAAGTACTCCAAGTGCTATTATTTAAGTACGCTTTGGCCTATGCGTTGAGCATAGGCCAAATATTAATCGTTGAAAGTTTTAGTTCGCGCTTTTTAAGGACAGCCGAGATATTCCAAGATCTCTGTGGCCGAGAGAGTACGCGAAACGTGGAGATCGGTGAAGAGGAAGGAGTGAAAAACAATTTTAGGCCATTTGTATGCCGGCGGAAAATAATTGTTTTTTTTTTTTTTTTTTTTTGAGGAAACATTACCCTTTACGGTAGAAGGTATGAATGATTTTTTCGCAGTGGGCAAAAATGTCGTATGTTTTCCGACTTTTGATTAAAAAAATCTCGGTTCAGAAAAAGACGTAAAACTTTTTGTGCCGACGTTCGCCAAAAATTGTCAAATGCGATTTTCAATAGGAAAGTCTCGGTTATTTCTACAAAACGCGAGCCAGAAATCTCGCGTATATCTTGGAAAAAAATATTTTGAAGTTGCGCCAAGCTTCATCAAAATCTGAGCAGCTGACTTTTAGTACTTTCTTACAATTTCTATAATGAAATATTAGATGTCCCAGGGATCAATTTAAAGTTAAAAGTTAACCTTCGTACAACGCAACCCTTCTCTAACGAAAGGCATTTCTTGGACCTTTGCCATTTGCCCAGAATTTACACTGTATTAAAAACACAGAAAAAACTTTAACCCGTCTCCAAGACTGCAGTAAAACTAGAACACTAACAAATTGCCACAGTAAAACGCCTCACCGTAAATTTTCGTGCAGTGATGTTGTTGCGACTTCTTGGCCACAAACCTGGCCCGCGCAAACAACGGGGCGTGGTGGATTGACATAACTGTTCTTTTTTTTCAAACTCCCATTGAAATGGGCGATCAGAAAGTGCGCAAACAATAACCGATAATTACTTTTTGCTGTTTACATTTTAACTACTGTTTACCCAATTTTTACTTTTTCTGATTCTTGAAGCGGAGAGAGGGAGAGGGAGGTTGGTTGGGGGAATTTGAATAATTTGTAAGAGGTGAGAGGCAAAATCTGTACAACAAATCGCAAGAACCCAAAAAATATTTGAAAAAAGTTCCTTATTTTGGCCACAACAAAGGTACTCCGCGAACTGCGCCCAAGCTTGGGCACTAAAGTTAGGAAAAAACGCTTCGACCTAGGTGGCACTGAATTACTATAATAGCTCTATAGTTTTAAGGGTACCTACGAAGGCCGCGACGACTCATTTAGTTCCATACGGAGGCAATAAGTTTAGTTCCGGACATGTTTCATCGTATAAAGTGTAAAATCACAGGCTGCAGCCGTTTTTGAAGGGTAAGGTGGTACGTAAAAAAGAAGGTACCTCACTAACTAAATCCACGTCCGGGCATTGACAACGATGAATGGAGCGTGCACGCTAAATTTGGGCTAATTCCGACCAGTTTCCGCAAAGTTATAAGTTGTGGCCAAAATAAGGAACTTTTACCAAACATTGTCATATGTATGCATGCAAAAATGTAGAAAAGCTTTGCGTGTGGGGTTAAATTTTTGCCCACTAGTCCTTACATAAAGTGCGTATTTTTCGCGGCGCACAGCGCGTATTGTTTCTTTTTTTCACTGTGCAATTTCGCATTACAAAAAGTGAATTTAGCAATGCGAAAAGTTTTGCGACGAAAGGTCTGCGCACTTTATGGAATAGATAAAGTGTGGAATGCAACCCCTATTTTTTCGCTGTAGAGAGATTCTGTATCATATAGGAGCTCTTGTGATTAAAAGTTATGCTGACAAGCCTGTCGTTTACAGAATTTTTGTTGACAAAGTTCTGCGATGACGTCTATTTCTATATAAGTGTGTCTACACTGCCTTCATAAGGCAAATTTTTTAGCTCTATAAATCTGTAGGGAAAAGAATGAAGCAATGTCGGTGGGCCAATCGCGTTGCTGAACTAAAAAGCACTTTGATTTTGCCGTGAAACAATTTATTTACAAGGCGATGATGCGGTTTTCGATGTGGCATTGCGCTCATTATTTTCCCGACAGACTAATGTTTGGGGTTGCCCTGGAAGGGCATGGAAACGATTTTTTGCTTATAACGTGACGGGTTTTTTACATAGGGTTTTTTAAATGTCTCCATCCGAATAAGAAGACCGATAAACCTCAGCAAGTCAAAATATGTTGATTTTTTGCCAAAATTCGTATATTGGTAAAATACGCCATATAAATTATTTAAAAACCTTTAAAAATCGCCAAAAGAACACGTTTCACAAAGCGGGTCCAGACCAAACGTTGGTCGCAAACTCTTAACCCAATTTGTTTTTAATAATTCGGGGATCGCGGTTGTTGAGTTAGTTTTTTCCCCCCGAAACGTCATCATCACGTAGACAAACAGTGCGTGAGAAAGTTTTGGGGCTGAAAACCCCAGGACTTGAACGCATGCGGGATCATTGCAAACTTGGATTTGTGGTCGATTCAAGTTTATTATGGCACATTTTTTCTAATTGTCTGAAAAGGAATTTTGCCAAGCTGCGCCCAGGCCTTAACTTGGACTCTGTTCTTAACCGACGTTTTTATGTCTTCAGAGACATTGTTGTAGCTTTAAGAATTCGTAAACATTTAAATTCACTTTTAAACTTACAGAGGAAGTACTCCAAGTGCGACGCTCAGATTTTGATGAAAATTGGCACAAATTTAGAATAATTTTTTCTAAGATATATGCGAGAATCCTAGCCCGCGCTTTGCAGAACCAACCGAGATTTTAAGCTCGAAAGTCGGCGAAAATTTAGGACTTTTTGCCGACTTTCGGCACAAAAAGTTTCAAGCCTATTTCTACCGTCAAGGATAATGTTTCTACAAAAAATCAAATTTTTCCGCACGAAACTGCCAAAGTTATGGCCAAAAAGGTGTTTTCTCTCTGACCGCTCTCCACGTTTAGCGTGCTCTCTCGGCGGCAAAAATCGTTCAATATCTCGGCGGCGCCCGCAAAGCGCGAGCTAAAACTTTCAGGAATTGATATTTAGTCCATACCCGATGTGTGTGCAAAATTTAAATAAAATCTGAGCGTCGCACTTGGAGTACTTCCCCTGTTAGTGTTTTGCAGACTTTTTAGGCAATTTTAGATTGAGAACCCTTCATTTTGCAGCCTGCAGAAAAAAATTAAAATAGTCTTTTTTTGAGAGCGTGCCAGAATTTTCCTTTCTTTGTGAGGAATAAGAAATTGAATAAAAAACCTGCGGTGCAAAAAAAGTTTGAATAAATTTCAATAAAAATTTTTTTTTGTTTGCTTCGGATCTGGGATACGATGAAAAAACATAGAATTTTTTCTGTCATTTGGTCTAAAAACATCAAAAAAATTGTAAATCTCGACCGAAAAATAAAAAATTTTGTCTTGAAAAAATCATTTTTTTTCATCTTGTAGAAAAATACGATAAAATCAAAAAAAAGTCCAAAGAAAAATAAAATAAATTTATTTATTTACTCTACAAATAAATAGGTTTCATTATGACGGTTCAGCTTATTCCTTGGCACCCATTATTCCTTGGGTGTGCAGTGGTTTTCTTTGATCTGTTCGTCGGTGCAAGGCTTGGCACAGCAGTCCTGGGAAACGTCTGACATCAGCTTGAGTCCTGAAAATAATAATTTAATTAAATTCAAAAAATTTTTTAAAATATTTTAAAATTTTTAAAAATTAAGGACAAAATAAAAAAAATATTTAAAAATTTTAAAAATAAAAAAATGAAATAAAATAATTTAAAAACAAATTTTAATTTTGAAAAAATTAAGAACAAAATAAAAATAAAAAAATATTTAAAAATTTTAAACAATTTTTAAAAATTTAAAAAAGTTTTAAAAATAAAAAAATAACAATAAAAAAATCTTTAAAAATTTTAAAAAAATTAAAATCGAAAAATTAAAAAAAAAACTTACTCTTCCCACTTTCGCAGACCTCCTTCACACGGGCAATTAGCTTGTCGCCACAGGTTCTTCTGGGACCTTCGGCGATGACCAATCCCAGCACGGCGAGGAACAGAGCGAGGAAAAAAAGGACTGAAAATGAAAAAATAATAATAAAAATAAATCAAAAAAAGAAAGTATTTTGCAAAAACGCCAAAAAAATCTCGGCCAAAATTTGCAAAAACGTCAAAAATTTTAATTTTATTTTTTTTTTAATTTGGATGAAAAATGAATCAAAAAATCTCAAAAATATCATAAAAAATCATATCAAGTTTACTAAATTTTCTTAAAAAATAAAAAAAAATTTCTGGAAGTACCCCATGGGGCCCCATTCTCCCCATTTTCCCTCAAAACCCATAAAAAATCGACTAAAATACGGCCCACAAATTCCCATACGAAAAAAAACCTAGTATCAAAAAATACCCAAAACCCCACAAACTCACGTTTCATGACGTGTCGGGAACAACAAACACAGGGAGAATGATGATTTTGGATGAATCCCAAGCTTTTATACACAAAATAATATGAAGGAAATTTGAATATTCCAGGAGGAAAAGTGTATGGGAAAATGAGAAAAATGATGAAATTCTTTGGGAATTTTTAAAAAAATCGCTCCGATATTGATCTAGTCATCAGATGACACAAGGGGAACACTTGACCCAAAGCTGAACATGAGGGAAACAGTTGACCCAAAACGGGGTTAAAGGGCCATTATAGCTATTTTAGAACTTAGAGTGCTATCAGCGTTCCAAAAAATCATTTGTACTTTCGTTTTTTGACGATTTTCCCAGCAAACTCAGATTCCCAAGCTTTCTTGCGAAATCTGAGATTTTCCATCGAAATTTTTGTGAAATTGCCTTATAAAAGCGGTAGATTTCGGGATCAAAGGTTCAGTTGTGCCGTGTGTGCTGTTCCCGAGACGTCATGAAATGTGAGTTTGGGGTGATTGGTGGTTCCGCTAGGCTTAGGAGGAATTATGGGGACTTTAGAGGGGTTGGTCGCGTTATGCAGAATCTTCGCAATTTTTTTGATCAAGAATTTTTCATCAGAAAAAAATTTTGCGTGTTTTCAAAAACTGAATAAAATTTTTTTGGGGAAATTTGAAAAAAATAATCGACCGGTCGATTTTTTGCACTTGATTTTTTTCATCTAAAATTTTTTCCTGGCATTTGAGGGCTGCTTTTATTTTTTAGTCTTCTGTTATCCCGTATTTTCAGCTCTTCTGGTCCTCACCGCCGTCTTCGCCTTGTTGTCGCTGGGTTTGGCCGACGACGACACCGAGCAGCGGCGAACTTGCGGTGGCAAGTTGTCTTCACGGATCTGTGAAGCCTGCTCCGGATGCCCATGCAGCCTTGACCCCAAACGTAGGTGGAAAATAGAGAAAATCAACGATCTTGTCCGGAGAAACACTTGACCCATTTTGAGTCAAGTCTTTCTCTGAGAGAAAAACAAATATAGTTATATATTTTTTTGACACTTTTGCTTTCAGGCTTGCGCCTTCTTGATGACGGCGATCTGCCGACCAAATGCTGCTCCGTGAAATGCAGCAACGAAGAGATCCGAGCGGTCGTTTGCCCTGACCATCCCACATGCCCTTAGCTCGTTTATGATGATAATTTACATATGATTTTGTAAAACATAAATTTGTAAAAGTACAATCGTCATTGTGTATATTATTCCGAGTGGATTTGGCCCGAAAAATTTTTTAATTTTTTAATTTCCGCCATTTTTGGCATTCTGTTTTAGAGGATTTTTGAGGCCAAATACAATTAGAAACGCATGTGTTTGTATAAAGAAGTGTTCAGTATTCAAAAAAATCTCCAAAAAAGCAAGATTTTTTTTATTTTTGAATTTCCCGCCAATTTTGGCATTCTGTTGCATGTTGGTTTTACTAGCAAAAACATGTTTGTAGAGGTTTTTGGGGCGACTGATTTATTGAAAATGTGACAGAAATCAAAAAAATCTGCTTCTTTTTGATTTTTTATCGGAAATTTCCAAATTTTTAAACATTTAATTTCATTTTTCGGCAAGCTGAAAGTTGAATATTTTCAAATACGACTAGAAAAAACTTTGCTTTCAAATGCTGGTCATTCCAGAGATCGTATTTGAACAAAATCAGAAACTAATTTATTAAATCAACCCGTATAACATCGTTCAATTATCAATACAAATTTATACAGTCAGTCTGACTGAGTCAAATTGGCTCGCTCTGTAGCATTTGACCACAATGTGTTCGAGGACAATGTTCACAAGCGCCCAAACAAACAGGAAGGTTGAGAGAACAAGTATCAGCCAGACCGGGTCCTCCGGTTTGGCCTCTTTTTTGGCGAAAAAGTAGATGACAATTGTAAGAGCGACAAGAACGATGTTGAGGATGATTATGAACACCTGAAATTTGAATATTTTTGGAATGTTCAGAATAAAAATTAAGCTGTATTTTGCACATGGCTAATCTACTTTCATGTTGTACTATATAGTACCTGAAAGTACTATATAGTACCACGTTCTTGTAAGGCGTGTTTTTGAGGAGTACCAAGCACCAAAACAAAACCATTGACACCTAAAGGCCAAATTTTCACCTTGTACTATATAGTACCAGAAAGTACTATATAGTACCACGTTCTTATAAGACGTGTTTTTGAAGAGTACTAGGCACCAAAACAATATCATTGATGCCTAAGGCCAAATTTTTACCTCGTACTATATAGTACCATACAGAGAAAAAATGAACATGATTTTCAACATCACCACCTTCGAAACCCCCAGAATCAAGTACTGTAAAAAAATTTAATTGCGATTTGACAACACTTTTTAATTAAGAAAAAAGTAACAGTCACTCACATCGTAGATCATGAAGGGCCAAAAAAGCCGCGTTTGTCCGTGTGGGCGCCATAAATGAGAAGCAGGCAGAAGATGACATACAAAATATTGGCTGAACCGTATTTCCCTTCTTTAGTAAATGCCTCCGCTATTGTGGGCAAACTCAAAACACAGCCCAGCACACCAACGGTTGTTGCCAAATTCTGAAAAGCGGAAACTTGAATCAAGTCTGTTTCAACTATCAGGCAAAGTGCTGAAAATTTTACGCTCGAATTGACCGGGGAAGTACCCCAAGTGCGACGTTCAAATTTTGATGAGATTTGGCACAAATTTAGAAGCATTTTTTCTAAAATATATGCGAGAATCCTAGCTCGCGCTTTGCGGAAATAACCGAGATTTTTAGATCGAAAATTGGGGATAATTTGACAATTTTTTGGCGAATTTTGGCCCAAAAAGTTTCATGACTATTTTTACCATAGAGGATGATGTTTCCACAGAAAAACAATTTTTCCCGTACGAAACTAGCAAAGTTATGGCCAAAAAGTGTTTTTCTCTCTGGCTCTCCACGTTTAGCGTGCCCTCTCGGCGGCAAGGATTGCTCAATATGTCGGTGGAGCCTGCAAAGGGCGAACTAAAACTTTCATGAATTAACATCTAGTCTATGCCCGACGTGTGTGCAAAATTTAGGAAAAATCTGAGAGTTGTCTGTGGAAAAATTTTAGTTTCAAAAAATCAGAAAAATCTGAATTTTGTTACAATTTTTTTGAGTTCTCGCATAGAAACTCTGTTTGTAATAACCAACCTACTCTAACAGATCCATTGAAGCAGCAAGCCCTGACTTGAGTCACTTTCATCCACGACAATTCATCGGTCATTTTGAAGCCGCAAAATTGACTTGTAACTGAGCATTCAAACACGGTTCAATTTATATACCAGCAAGTTTTGCTGTAAAAAACAAACTCCAATTAATTGGCGACGAGTATTTATCGAATAGGGTTCGCGAGTTCTCGTTGGAACGAACTTGTGTGCGTCACCATTTTCTTATTCACCAGAATAGTTGCAGATGAGCGAAAAAGTTGTAAAAAACTTGAAAATGCTAGTCACTGTTCTTGGAACAAATGGTTAATGGGTTGTTTACACTTTTCCATTAAACTTTTCAAAAACGTTTTTAGCTGAAAGAGGGAGAAAAAATAAAACTCTGACTCTCCTCATTTTGCGTACTCTCTTGGCAAAGATTGCTCAAATCTCGGCCGGTTCTGGAAAGGTTTGAACAAAAACTTGGAGAAAGCAATGTATGAGCCTCAAAAACATACATTGGAAGTTTGAAGAAAATCTAATAACCTTACAAGGGAATGGTTTGAACTGTCCGTGAGCTTTCAACATGAGACCTCCAAATTCTGAAAGAGCGTACAAAATTTAGTAGGAATCCGCTTTCCATTTTTGCCGAATGGTCTTGGGAGACGCGAAATATCGACAGAAAGATCCGACAAAAAAATCGAGAGAGAGAAAAGACGAACCGAAAGGCCCGGAGAAGCGTCACCAAATAGTCTAGTGGAAAAAGTTCCATGCACGAAACTTTTGGCAGAGGGAGGCCATGGAGGTTCGAGTCCACCCGAAGCGGATATCGTCGGCATGGATCTACGTGTCGTTAGTGTATTCGACCGCTATGTAAAGATTCTTTTTTTTATTTATTCGAGTGTTTCACAGATCTGTTTGCAAAATTATGCTTTTTCTATCGGCCGAATGGCCTTGGGAGAAGAGTTGCGGTCGTTTTTTAATCGACCGGGTTACAATATGCTTACGTTACAGTAATCTGTGAAAGTTAACTTCCAAAAAATTGAGTACGCAATGGCCATAAAGGTACATACGCAAAATTTTGGCTGATTATCCCTTTCTATGATGCCGACAGACACAAAATTCCAAAAATGACAAATTTGTGAAAATTTATACCTTCAAGGCAGAATTTGGGAAAAATATTTTGGGCGTTTGTTGAACACATGTTCACGGTCATTTTAAACTAAAAAACTCAAAATCGATTTTTTTCATAAATATGCCTTGTTTGGACCACACGCTGACGCAGGGACTCAAAAATTTTCTTTTGAACTTTTCTTGCAAAGCTTTAAGGAAAGGTGAAAATTTGGCATGATTTTTCTCTGGAAACTCAAAAAATTCCGCAAGACCTATACAGCCTTTCAGAACCGAGTATAAATGTCTTGAAAACACCAGTATGTCGACATCTGGCATCATCGAAAATGCAGCCAAGTTGTCAACTCTTCTTGAAATTTCGAAAAAAATCTGTAAAACACTCGAACAAATGAAAAAAGAATCTTTACATAGCGGTCGAATACACTAACGACACGTAGATCCATGCCGACGATATCCGCTTCGGGTGGACTCGAACCTCCAAGGCCTCCCTCTGCCAAAAGTTTCGTGCATGGAACTTTTTCCACTAGACTATTTGGTGACGCTTCTCCGGGCCTTTCGGTTCGTCTTTTCTCTCTCTCGATTTTTTTGTCGGATCTTTCTGTCGATATTTCGCGTCTCCCAAGACCATTCGGCAAAAATGGAAGGCGGATTCCTACTAAATTTTGTACGCTCTTTCAGAATTTGGAGGTCTCATGTTGAAAGCTCACGGACAGTTCAAACCATTCCCTTGTTAGGCCGAGCTCCTGTCAATTTTCGATATGTGTTTTTGACACCTTAAAGGGCCTAGATAAAGGAATTCTGACGCCCTAGTGTTACAAGAATGACGAAATATCTTTGAAATTCCTATTTCTCACTGACTTCTAGCTGTTCAAACGATCAAAGCACCATAATTAAAAAATCCAATAATATTTTTACACTTCGTCGCAAAAATCGATATTGTGACATTTCGTCAAATTGGTAAAATATTTTTTTTTCGGAGAAAAATCTTGATTTTTTTTGATTGAAACGAGTGACCAAGGTAAACTCAAGAATTTTTGTCGATTATTTTGTCTTTTTTTTTTGAATTTTTTGGTTCATATTTTTAATTATGTTATACTTGACCTTTGTCTGGAAAATGTCTTGAAAACGGTGTGGTGAGGCAGTTTATTCAGTAAAATGAATTTTGTCTTGATGTTTCCTTTCTTTTTGTTCTATTTGCTTACAATTTATGACCATCTGCAATCAAAAATTCCGGATTTGTCTCAAAGTGCCTAGTATAATATCCGAGGTTTTTTCTTTCACTTCTTTTTTAGCTGGAAGTGTTTTCCAGACATTGAATGTGTAATAAGTATTTGATGTAAGTTGATTTTGTTTGAATTGAATGTCTCTTAGCCGCTTTTACCAAGTTTTATTGACTTCTCATTACCAATTTTATTCAACTCAAATTTCAGATGCTGCCAAGGCTCTACAGACCTCTTTGGCGGCTAAATCAATTGAGAACCATCACTGCCGCCACTCCCAAACCGAAGCCCGGCAAATCGGAAGGTCTTTACGAGCCAGTTTTGATCGACAAACGACAATATCCGGAGTTCGAAAATGTGAATATTCGCCTGCAGGGCTACGACTACGGTCCTTTGGAGAAGTATCAGCACTTCGTGCACACAATGGCCAAGCATTTCAAGTTCAAGGTTGATCTGAGGTCAGTTCTGCTATTTTAGTTGAATTTTTCGAAGTTTAGGTACAAAGCTGTTTAGAATGGAGTTTCGCTAGGCGTAAATGCCAAGAAAAACGATCTCAGAGTTGCAGAGAAGGCTACTGATGTAGTCTAAGACTAATTTTTGATGTTTTAGCTACGCTGTTTCCTCCACAACTGAGCGAATCACAACTCTGAAGCCAAATTCCACTGTTGTCGACTCAGAAATCGAACTCCACACCTACGATCGATGGATTCGATTGTCCTCGGTGTCTGCCGTCCGTCTACAGCTGTTCATCAACTTTATTCAAACTCATCTACCATCGGGCGTCAAATTGACGGCGAAGGTTCATGAAAAACAAGATGAGGACTATCGATACATTCCCGATCTGCTGTTGAAAGCGCGACAAGAGGAACTCAAGAGTCTGGACGACCCAGTGGTACGAAGGAATCTTGGATGGGAGTAATCTTGGTCATTTTATACGATGAAACATGTTCAGGGGTATTTTAGACATGTTTTATCCTATAAAATGGCAATATCAAGAGGAATTTGGTATCAAATTTTCTTGAATGTGTTTATTTTTAGGTTGTTTTGTCTTCTCCGCGGTTTGATTTGTTTGTTTTTATCAGAATAAATAAAAATTTTATGAAAAAAGTTGGTGGTAAAAAATTCGAAATTTCTTCGATTTTAGAATATCTCTTTGAATAAAAAAGATCTAAACTAAAATTTAGGCGAATGGAAGTCTCAACGGTGGACATTCAACAACTCTACGACCTGCAGGGTACCCCGATCAAAGTGGAATTACAGTCCGCCACCAGAGCCAAAGAGATTTATGGAAATTTGTATACGGTGGATCCGGATACGAGGAATTTGGTGATCGCACAATTCAATGAGGAGGACAAAGGTGGGCCAGAGGCGATTTGAATTTTTTGGAAGACCTTTTGGACAAGAAAATTGAGATTTTTGGTAAAAAATGGATAAAACAAGGTTTTCCTGGGGTTTTCGAAATTTTTAGGTCGAAATTTTTCGACAATGATCTCTGCCATGGCTCATACGAGGTTTTTAGAACTTAATAAAGCTATTTTCTTTCAAAAATTTTGTTTTTTTTATATTACATTAACATTTTTAGTGTCTCCATCCAAGCTCCTCCTAATTCCATCATACTCGATCAAACTAGTCCATGAACTCACCGGAATCGATGAATTTCCCGAAACCTCGGGCACTGTGGACAATCTAATCGAACAAATTGACCAACGTTTCGCTCAAAAACCCGAAGAAAATGAGCCAGAAGGCCTAGTACAAGGTCGAAAGCAAGCTCTATTGGACCATTTGAACGCTCAAAATGTCCCATTTGAAGAAACCGAAAAGACCATCAAAGTGGGCCCAGTGATTATCGAATATCCGTACAACAAACAGAGCATGATCTCAGAGAATTTGGTGGCGCTCGAAAGAACTCAGAAAGTATTAGCTAATGTTTTACAGTAAACGTTGTAAATGGGTTTTATTTATCGGAAATCGGATGAATAATAGCCAGGTATAAACCGTGACTGATGTAAATTCGGAGATTCACAAAAATTTTGTGCCAATTGACTCAAAAAAGTGTGTCTTTTTACGTCTTATGATGTCAAATTTGGGAAACATCGGATAGGAAATTTCCTACAGAATTGGAGGGTACAGAAACAGAGCGTGAAGAAGAGAGGATCAAAGAAATTCCGGAAACAGTTTCTGAATACAGTTGCGGACCTGATCCAGTGGAAAAAAACGTACCATTTTGCATCCGGGAAGTATCAAAAATGTGGCAAAATACCTCCCTCCCCAAGTGAAAAACTCCGATTTCAAAAGCACATCCGCTCTTTTTGTGAGGGGCCCTTCAAAACGGAGTTTTTCACTTGGAGAAGGAGACATTTTGCCACATTTTTTGATACTTCCCGGATGCAAAATGATACGTTTTTTGGCACTGGATCAGGTGCGTCACTGTATTCGGAAACTGTTTCCGAAATTTCTCTGACCTTCTCTTCCTCACGCTCTGTTTCTGTACCCTCCACTTCCGTAAGAAATTTCCTATCCCATGTTTCCCAAATGAGACATCATAAGACGTAAAACAGACACACCTTTTTCAGTCAGTTGGCACAAAATTTTTTGTAAATCTCCGAATTGACATCAGTCTCGGGTTTTACCTCGCTATTATTTATCCTATTTCCGATAAATAAAACCCCATTTACAACTTTAAATGTAAATTATTACCCAATGAACCGCAAATTCGATTGCTTGAAAGATACACCCCAAGATGGATGAGTTTAATTTGTATTTATATCTGCAGTTCACCGTGAACCATCATAAAAATAATAAAAGTCCATTCACAAATCACCCATAGATTGATAAATTAATGAGCTCCAAGAGAAGTCAGAACATTTGAAAAATCAAAATTATACCCGTTGACCATGCAATGAAAGCAGGATGTTAAGTGTTAACAAAATAGAATGTGATGTAAAGTCACAAGTTGGACTCATATCCTCTGCATTTGCAAAATTTCATCCAATTTCCTCGATTTGAACTCTTTTTCGTGGAAAAGTTGTCGTTTTTTCTGATACTCTTCAACAAATTGGTCTAGATTCGACTTCCCATCCAGAAATTGTTCCATTAAGGCCTGAAAATGGAGATATGAATCCGAATACTTCACTCTGAACCTAATTTCCTCCAAGAAGTATTCAAATAAAAACGTCACAATATTATACTTGACGATCTCGATGAATCATCGAAAAATGAATCAAAACCTCGTTAAAAGGTTTGTTAAAGAACGCTCTTTCAACCTAAAAGCCAAGACACAAAAATAAAAGCTACTTACCTCACTTTCATCTTCAGTTTTCCTTACACTTGCCCTCAAAAGATTGGCTACTTTATCTATCCGTCGGTTCTCTCCAATTTGTTCAAGTTCAGCCTTCAACCGCTCACATTCAGCTTTTAGCCGCTTTGTTTGAATCTGTGTTTCTCTCAGGGTGTTCTTTGTCGAATAAAATCGTTGTTCATGATCCAAATTATGCTCAGCATAGCTCTTGGCCACCCGTTTTAGTCCATCTCGCTTGGTTATCAATACATTCAGCTGAAATACAGACTTATAGAAAGAACAAGAAATAAAAAAGCTTTCAAAACGATCCTCGCCTTCTATCAATCGGTAATTTTGGAGAAACAGGCATTTTGGATATTACACTAGGTAAAAAAGAGAAAAGCAAATAAAAAAACAAAAGTTGGATAGGAAAAGATGTTATTTAGCAATTAAAACATCCAACGGTATGTATGAAAGATTTTAAACACAAAACCAACTTCATCTAAAAACAAAAGCATCAAAAACAAAAGAAAACCTACAACAGGTGAGCTTTGGCAGTGTTGATCCAGTTTGGCCTTGTTATTGATCAAATCATTCAGCTGTTCGTATGGCAAATTCCTCAGGGAGTATTGTAGATTTGTCGCTGCTTCACTCACAAGCTCATCCAACGATTTTTGCGACATTCTTGGCTAGTTTAGGGATGAAGTATAATATCCCCGCAATCTTCCAATAATTTAAATGAAAATGCGGTAGAAAGTAAGTAGACTACACCTGAGTTTACCCTTGTTCACCCGTTTCGATCAAAATCGAAGTTTTTTCCACAAAAATAATCTGTGGATTCGACGAAATGCCACATTATTGATTTTTGTGACGAAGTGTCAAAACTTTATCGGATTTTTAAAATCTGCCAATTACAGTGATAAAAGGTGTAAAAGTCGGTGAAACGAGGAAATTACAACAATATTTCTAATTTTTTTGTAGCTTATTAGGCCTAAAAACTTATCTGTAACATAAAATTATATTGCTTTAGACATTGATGTACAATTTATCTCATAATGCAATTAAAATTGGCCAAATACTGTCCTTCGGCGCTGTTTGTTTGTCTCCTACGTGTCTCCCACGTATCTTGCGTATCCTTGTCGTTATGGGAACCGCGATAATAATTAGATTTCACGTCTGTCTGAAGTAATATCGTTACTCTTGCAAACTCCAAATTCGTTATCTTCGCGTTTTTTAACCTCAAAATCTTTATTCATTAATAGAAAAATGGGTTGAACATTATTTTTTACATAAATTGCTTTCTTTACAGTTTTTTTTCAGCTGGCTAGTATAATATAATTTATTGAATTTGAATGGCTTCTGGCCTATTACTTTCCCAGAGAATGCCATGGAATTGGATGGTGTATCTTATGAAATGAGGGGGAGCATAGTAAGGCTAGTAAAGCAACATTTTTTTTAGGATTAGAAATGATTGAACCTTTTAAAGCCGGGTTTTGATAGAACGGTTTGAACAAGCTGTTGCTAATCAAAAGACATGGCTGTAGGGACGCCCATATGAGCTCATAGAAGCCCTGTGGTGTCCGGTTGTTATCTTGAATCGATAAATTTTGCTATGAATGTGCCGGTCGTTAGAGTTTTTACCATTCTTTGTCACTTGAGGTGTGGAAAATTGCAGTTTTTTTGCCATGAAAATTGCTCGAGGCACAGCTGTCGGATTTTCACTAAATTCGGCATAGTTCTTTTGTAGAGGCCAGATTTAAATTCCTGAAGGTTTTGGCTTGCCCAATGTAATAATAAGAATCAAGTTATTCAACGTCCCTTTTTTGGGGATAGTACGTAAAATGAGGAGAGTCGGTTAGAGAAAAATGTTTTTTTTTGCCTTTTCTCCTTTAGCGTAGGTTTTTTGCGACTTTTTGTTGCATGTTTAGCGCGGAATGGAGAATTTTCATAATAAAAATGAAAAAAAAAATATTTTTTTTTTGAATTTTTGACCTAAAAGCCTCATTTGTTTGTGGAATTTGCTGAACAAAATTTTTTTTGCTTCAAGATGTTTTCTGCACAGTGTGGTCAAAAATGTTCGGATATGTCGTAGAACAACTCTAAATTTGATTTGTATCAAGTTTCGTACAAAACTAAATTGCTACAACACCTGTAAACAGGGTTTTTCCTTCTCTAACCTTCAGAAAACCTAAGAAATCCCAAATTTATGTACAAATTACTTCCATTTCCTTCAAAATTACTATTACTTTTACGAAAAAGTAACTTTCAATTTCACACCTACTACAATTCCCACATCATTCGCACCTCCTCAGAAGCACCTGTCTCTCCGTCGAGTTGCGTATTATAATAATAGAGTTAAGACGCGCGGAAATGCCCATTTCCCCTGAGGGCCCATCCATGGTAACCGTTCTTCCCAGCATTGTCATGCGGACGTTTGCGGGATGCAAATCATGCATCTCTGAGTGGCGGTCATTGCTTTGTTGAAATTGGGGAGTGACTCTTGGTCAAAGAGACGGATTTTGTGGCCTTTCTTTGCGTTGAAAGCAATGTTAAAAATATGTTTTTTGGGAAATGTTGCCGGAATTTAAATTGTATGACTTTTCTAAAGCATATGTCAAATTTTTGGTTGAGCTTTATAAAGCAACCGGGATTTTTCAGCCCTTTTTTGCGAGTATATGTAGGAAAATTTTGGTGATTTTTCGAATCAACGGCACCTGGTCGACGATGCGTTCCCTTGATTTGTCGTTGTAGGCATGGGGAAGGCTAGGAGAAGGCTCGGCCAATAGAAATGACAAGGTTAACCGGACACTAAGATGAGTTTATCACCTATATATTTTGGATATTACACAAAATATATATACAATGTATTATTTTAGTACTGTAATATTATAATATTCGAACAAAACTTACTGCCTTTGTTTTTTGGAGCAATCTTTGGTCATTTTTGTATAATAATACAATCACTTTGGGTCAATTAAGCCGAGGGTTTCAATAGAAAAGTAAGAAAAGGTGGTTATATCTGAACCAGCAATAAAACGCACCTTCGCTATGCCTATTTTTTCACGTCTCGCCTCTGCGCAAAACTGCAAATTTGTGGCAAAATTTGCAACAGACATAATCTTTGCATCTCCAGAAACTCTCTCGCATTTTTTCGCTTGCAGGATGTGTATATACTAAATAGCATGTATGCATTTTTTCTCCTATATTTCCGGCTATTAGAGTAAGAATATCTTACTCAAACCGAGCACTTCCCCAAGAGCGTTACTATTTTTTACGAGCCGGAAGATGGCTGAGTAATACCTCTGATTTTAGCAGCTTCATCATGGTCAGAACATATGCCTTTAATCCGTCAATGCAAAGCTCCATGGACATTCCTGGAGGCCCATCTGTGACTTTCAAATCCTTCACAATGAAGCCAAGGACGCCAATATCGTATGTTTCATACTGTAGTTTTTGTAAATTTAGATATATAGCCTAGATTTGTAGCTATCGAAAAATGTATTTTCCGCTCATCCTTGTTTTCTATTACCGTCAAAATCGCAACCAAAAACACTCTTAATTCAAAAAATGCGAATTTTTGGCCAATTCAATGTAGAAACGTCGATAATACCAGTAATACGCTTACTAAAAGTCTCGTATATATTAGGAAATTGTAATTTTTATTTGCGCCACGTTTTTTCAAACCCATTTTTCAATTTCCTACCGAGAGAAACACTTGACCCAACCGTGGGTCAACTGTTTCCCTGGTGCCGCAATTCGCACCAGACTTGATATTTTCAATTCCAGCCGAGTAAACCCACTTCCCCGGCTTCTAAACCCTCCACAAAGCGCAGTTCGCTCCGTAATCCCAGTTACAAATCATCAACGAAATCCAATCCAAGTCTCGAGGCGATGCCCACTCGAGCCGATTGACAGTTACAACCTAAACCGGAGTTTGGAGTCGCTAAACGAACCAAATATCCTTCTTCCTCCGGAAAAACTGTTTTCCTCAAAATCGATCAGTAATTTGAGCAAACTCGACCTGTCCTTGGATGACAACACAACTCTCCTTGGGGTCCAATCGATCGTCGTCAACGGCCAGCGTTACTTTCGGCCGTTGGATGAAGACGCAAACCGAGTGCTAAATGAGCAGTTCAAGACGTTAAAAGTGATAAATTCAGGGAGATATGGCAATGAGTTTAACGACTTCAATGCAGCGTTCAGCGCTTTAGGTGAGACTTTGGATTTTTTGTTTTGAAATGAAATTTTTCGGTCTTAAAATTGAATTGTTTGTGTTTTAGCGCTTGCTGCTGAACAGAACAGACGTTCCGAGAGATCGGAGAGAAGCCAAGGGCAGGGTGAAGCGCTGAGAGTTGACAATGGCCTCCGAGAAATCCCTGAGAATCGAATTGCAAGACTTAAACTCAACGTCTTGGAGAACAACAACAATTACATGCCAAATGAGAGGATTGGGTATAAGGTGAGAGCACTAAGGTATGAGAGAAAGATCATGTGTCAGGATTTGTCGGAAAGATGGCCTTCCTGTTCCTAGAAACAGAATCGTTTTTTCCAATAATGACGCAAGTTCTGAACTCGAAGACTCGTTTTTCGCATTTGTAATGCCTTCTTCGGTTCTAGAAAGAAATATCCAAAGTCCAGTAACTTCTTGGAATCCTTTCCCGACAGACCGATACGGAAAAAAGTATTTTTCTCTCTGGCCACTCTCCACATTTCGCGTACTCTCTCGACAGCAAAGATTGTTGAATATCGCGGCTGCCTCTGCAAAGTGCAAGCTAAAACTTTCCGGCGTATGCCTGGTATTCGTGCCAAATTTGAAGAAAATCTGAGCGTCGTGCTTGGAGTACTTCCCTTGCGAATTTAGAGTACTTGCTCTGTATGAAAGGCGGTAAACAATATTATTTCGTATTTTTTCCACGGTGAGCTATACAAAAATTCCTACCACTTGGTTTATTATTCAAATATTCGTCTAGTGGTCGTATAATATTTATACACAAAGTCCTCAAAAGGTTCGCTTTTTTTGTTCGTTTCGTCGGGATTTCGCTACAAATCCTTTTGAAATACGGCTGTAACCAAGGAAATTGGATGTGAAAAAAACGGAGGTCCACAAGAATGAGCAGAGTGCTGGTCAGTCGGAAACAATATTCACCGCTTCAACGGCATTCCCTTCAGCGGCTTTTGAAGACTACATATAATAAGTCGAAAACGAAGGGTTGACTAGGCTTAGGGGATTAATAAAGAAAGTTTAACTTATTGTCACAGTTGAGAGATGTTTTATACTAGTCGCGCCATAAAGTCCATGGAATTGTTTTCGCCGACATCGCGGATTCGATCGCCGAAAAGTGCATGTCGCTAGTGCCAAAACGGGAAGTCGCAGCGGCAAAGGCGGAAAAATGCACTGCGCAAATTGCACGGACTTCATGGCGCGACTAGTAGTTCAGAGGGGAACTACAACAAACAGCTGTTGAGAATAAATACGGCAACTTCCGCTGCCAGACCAATTATCAGTTAGATTTTACTAGTCATCATTGAGACCAGTTATCATTTAGAGCTAGTTACCATAGGAAAAGAAGAGAAAGCCATCAAACCGTTCGTCGCTTTTCGTTTGGGGAAACTTCATTTCTCTGACTGTCTGCAGTCTCTTCAAACCTGTGATCTTATTCCAGTCTGTCGGGAAACGTCACTTTCTAAGGTAAAAGCTTCAACAAAAGATCGCTGAATATCTCCTCGATAGATGAAACGTGCCAACCGTTGAGTGGTGCATGGCCTATACAAAAAACTTGAGGTTTTGCAGGTGAAAGACTATGGAAAATGATGAAATATAGGCGGAGTAAAACTGTTCCCTATGTGAATATTGTTTCGCCAGAGCTTTTATGGGAGAATCCTACTCTGGTGAAACTTGTTATTTCTTTCCGTCGAACGTGCCTTTGGCTTTATTTTCTTCAGCACGTCCAAATCAAATATTGACTCAAATTTAACTCAAAACTCCAATTTTTTGACTCGTTGTAACTAAATTTACGGATATTTTGTTGTTGTTGTGACTTTTATTGCAAATTGCTAACTATTTTTACCGCTTTTCGATAATTTAATGTTAAAAGTGCTAATAATAAGTTGTTGTTGTTGCAGTTCCCTCCACATGAGACTCCCTCACATGACAGTGGAATTGTAATGGACAATGACTTGCCATGGGCACGGGGCAATCCCCAGCCCCGAAATGGAAAGAGAGGTACCGCGGGATGGAGTCAGAATCAACGAATCGGATACGGGAGCTCATTCCTTGGGGATTCGTATGGATCCGTCAGAGTAAGTTTGTTTGTTTTTACTACGGTAACTGTATACATAGGCTGTCAATTCCTTTCTCTCTAAACAAAATTTTGTTACTGTATGTACTATTTTATGTTTTATAGCCGTCGTTGTATTATAACCGTCCCTTGACGCCCATTTATCGTCCATACTCTTTATATGTAAGTAGAGTGAGAGTGATGGCTTGAGTAGTTAGTTTATCTGTCAGCCGGAAAAAATACTACAAAAAGTCCTGACAATTTTTGCATTGAGTTATTAGGCGGTTCTGGCGCACTTTGAAAAAATGATTGTCGTTGATTATCAGGACTTTTTCACTCGTTGCCCGATTAAAATGTTGCGGCCAGGTTTTTTGCGGTGCACTGAGACATGCCATCAGTTTTTGGCCCACTTATCAGTGTGTCAGGAACATAATGATCGCAATGTTGCTGCACCGATCTTTGCGTTGAACAGGAAAGCTGCTCATTTCGAAAAATAGTTGGATGAATTTTTTGCCAGTGGCTCTCAGTTTTTTAAATCCTTAAAATCAGACTCCCAAGTTTTTTCGAATTTTGCCTGAAGGCAAAGTTAAGAACAAAAACCATCTAAAAAGACTCACAGTTTTGAAATAGAAAACCCTAGAAGTTTCTCCTCTTTTCGTCCCATCCACAAACTAGAATTCATACTTCCAGCATACGGTATAACAATTGCTCAACATTGTCACCCAAAAAGCCTTATAACGGCCTCAAAGAAAAGCCTTATTATTCTGTCTTGGACACATGTATGCCAAGGTTTCTCACGTTCATGTGATTGAAAGCACCACACGAAGCCCTGCGGCTATGTTTTTCACACTGTTAATGCGATTGGTTTCGTTGAAGGGATTCTTATTTGGGGCATAGGGGTCTTATGTTAGCCAATGTTTTCTTCTGGAAATACGGCCATTTTTTGCGGAAAATTTTCTCGCGGCAGTTTGTTTTTGAGTTGTTTGTTGGTGTAGTGGAGGGTTGTCTTGTATTATGGTTATTTTTGGCAGTTGCAAGGCAAAAGCCAAGTAGACTTTTTGGTTAAAAAAGGAGAAAATTTCGATTTTTTTTGGCGATCATTTTTAGCTTATGCTTTCCAAAAAACCGGCATTTTCTGGCCAAAAAATAAATAATAAGTTAACTTTCAGTTCAATTGAAAAAATTGGGTTTTTGAAAATGATTTGAGCGTGATGGAAATTTGTCTAGATGTTTTATAAAATTTATAAAACTTTTTAGGGCCGGCTGGGCCGACCTTTCAAGATTTTAATGGCTTGATCTCGGACCGGCCCGGTTTGAAGTCAGCATAACCAGAGTTTGGAAAATTAGGAAAGCCGGCAACAGAAAAAATAGTGATTTCAGTCTGTCGGGAAAATAATGAGCACACCGTCGCTGCGCCAATTGAAGTGAAGAAGATTTGATTTTCCTGCGGCACAATTCGTTTTCTCGGCGGCGATGCGATTTTTGATGTGACAGAGTGCTCATTATTTTCCCGACAGACTGATATCTGCTCTTTTGTTTAGGCTACAGCCTTCCTTTCTGAAAAAAAAACAATCAAAAAATATCAATTATATATATGCAACATCTAAATTTATGCCAAATTACATCAAATTCTACGTCTTTTTTGCAACACAACATTTATTCTCGTATTTTAAAATTCAAAAAAAAAAATTTCCAGGATGACTTTGCTATGCAAACCTCCGCTCCACCTCCAATAGACTCCAATTTCAACACAACAAATCGCTCGCTGGGTGCTACAATTCTAAGCGATCCGCTGGTGAATCGGCCCGCTTATTACGACCCAATCGAGGAGTCGAAGCGTTGGGAAAAGGAGCAACATCGCTTGGACTTGTTGCATCAAATTCAAGAGAACGAACAAAGGAAAAGATTGGAGAAGCAAAAGGAGTGGGAGGAAGACGAACGCGAGAGATTACGGTGAGAAAAGAGGAGGGTAAAATACGGGGTTTTATGTTACAAATCCTACTTTTTTGTAGAAAAAAGAGTTTCTTTACACTTTGCAAATTTACCGGGTTATTCAAAGAGGTAAATGTTGGGATTTTTCGGTGTATTTTTTGAGATTTTTTCTGATTTTTTTCGAAAAAAAAAATTTTTTTAAATTAATTTTTAAAACACGATTTTTGAGTCACTGAATCAGCCGCCAGTTAGGCCTGGACATAGGAAAAAATCGATTTTGAGTTTTTGATTTTAAAATGACTGTAGGCATCCTATAAACATAATGCTGAAATATTTTTGCCCAATTCCTTCTTTAACCTACTGTAATTTACAATTTAATGATTTTACAGTAATCGACCATTACAAGAAAACTACAGATTAGAAATGGCTGAAATTGGTAATACTTATGTTTTAGGCCATGCCCATCATAACAGACACATAATTTTGGCAGTCGGGTTACTGTAACATACCGCAATATAGGTTCGGCCGCACAAAATCGGCCATAAAAAATTTGTTTCTGAAAACCCGCAGCTGATTTTTACATATGTTAATCAGCGTAAAATTCTGCCCTAGAAACATTAAAAAAAAGTGTAAAAAGCCATGATCCGTTTTTCGTGGTATAGTGGATTTTGGCCAAATTTAGTAATCCAAGGGTCGCGAGTTCGATCCCCGTGGAACCAAAATCCGTAATACTGCCCAAAATCATAAAAAGTCAATTGGGCTGAATTGTATAGCATGCATGGGAAGTATGAAAACCTTTATAAAAAGTGATTCGCATTTTTGAAAGCATTTTTTGAAGATGACATCAGAATTTTGTTTTTCGTGGATTACGGTGCAAATTGAGTTTAGGAAAGTTGGTAAAAATTACTGTATAGAGGTTTTCAAGCCTTCTAAATTCAATGGGACAAATTTTTCGGACCTAGGATTACTGTAACATAGACAAAACGGATTTCGGCCGCTAAAAATCGGCCGTAAAAACGTTGATTTCAAAGAAAACTCCGTTAATTATACGATTTTTGGAATCAGCGTAAAATTCCACACTATATCAACTCAAAACACAGTCGTGCTGTCAAATACTTTTTTCTCTTTGGTGAATTATTTTCATATTTGAAAATTGTAAATAAAACCGCATTAGCAATGGAATTAGACAAAAATATTTTAAAGCTACATTTTATTGGTGGTTGTACATACTTGTAGCCAAGAAACTTTGGATTTTATTTTTCGATTTCCGCGGATGACTTCACTCACCCCAAAATTTGTGATTTTACGGCAAAAAATTCTGTAAAATTCAAGCGGTCAACTAAGGTACAGTATGTAATGATTCTAGAGCCAAATTTCACGCTGATTCCAAAAATCGTAGTATTAATGGCGTTTTCTTTGAAATCAACGCTTTTACGGCCGATTTTTAGCGGCCGAAATCCGTTTTGTCTATGTTATAGTAATCCTAGGTCCGAAAAATTTATCCCATTGAATTTAGAAGGCTTGAAAACCTCTATACAGTAATTTTTACCAACTTTCCTAAACTCAATTTGCACCGTAATCCACGAAAAACAAAATTCTGATGTCATCTTCAAAAAATGCTTTCAAAAATGCGAATCACTTTTTATAAAGGTTTTCATACTTCCCATGCATGCTATACAATTCAGCCCAATTGATTTTTTATGATTTTGGGCAGTATTACGGATTTTGGTTCCACGGGGATCGAACTCGCGACCCTTGGATTACTAAATTTGGCCTAAATCCACTATACCACGAAAAACGGATCATGGCTTTTTACACTTTTTTTTAATGTTTCTAGGGCAGAATTTTACGCTGATTAACATATGTAAAAATCAGCTGCGGGTTTTCAGAAACAAATTTTTTATGGCTGATTTTGTGCGGCTGAACCTATATTGCGGTATGTTACAGTAACCCGACTGCCAAAATTATGTGTCTGTTATGATGGGCATGGCCTAAAACATAAGTATTACCAATTTCAGCCATTTCTAATCTGTAGTTTTCTTGTAATGGTCGATTACTGTAAAATCATTAAATTGTAAATTACAGTAGGTTAAAGAAGGAATTGGGCAAAATATTTCAGCATTATGTTTATAGGATGCCTACAGTCATTTTAAAATCAAAAACTCAAAATCGATTTTTTCCTATGTCCATGGCTGATCCAGTGACTCAGAAATCGTGTTTTAATTAATTGGACATAGGCCGGATACCAATTCCTGAAAATTTTAACCCGCGCTTTCCATGGAGAGCCAAGATATTCAACGATTTTTGCGGCCAAGAGACCACGCAAGACGTTGAGAGTGTCCAGAAGTAAAACGCTTTTTCGGTCGCAACCTTCCCAAGTCGATTTTTGTGTGAAAAGTAAAAAAAGCGGACGTTGCGTAGTGCAAAAAAAAAACTAAAACTCCAAAATTCACTGTGGGAAATGGTGTTTTCGGAGGAAAGCGCACTGTGCAAATTATCAAGAATTTTTGTCCCGAAAGCAGCAAAAAAATGCTGAATTTTTGGCATAACTTGTGATCTCAAAATATCACTGGTTTCTGTAGAGCGCGAGTTGGAAATGTAACATATTTTTCGCAAAAGTTTAATTTGACTTTGCGCCGAATTTCATCAACATAAATATATCAGTCTCTCGGGAAAATAATGAGCACTCTGTCGCATCAAAAATTGCATTGTCGCTGAAAAAAATTAATCGTGTCGCGGCAAAAGAAAATTGCTTTTCACTTCAGCGACGCGATCGGCACAGCGACATTTGCTCATTATTTTCCCGACAGACTGATCTGAGTGTCGCAATTTGAACACTTTCTTTTTTTATAGCGATTTTTTTTGCCACTCTATAAAGAGAAGAAAAAAATGGGCGTATTTTACCTTCTAACCCTCGCAAAATTCCAGTGCCGAGCGCACCGTTCAACGGCAACGCGCGGAAATGGAGCGGGAACAAGAGGAAGTGAAGCATCGGCAAGCCATGGCCGAACTCAAAGCCCAACGCGCCGCGTTGGAGGCCGAAAATCAGCGGATGGCACGGCGTGGTCGGTCGCCGGTGCCGTCCGAGAATCGCCAGAACTTTCGCAAACATTCCACACATGAGGCGGTAGGCACGCCCGCACCTCAACTGGAGTGGTGGGAGCGGAAGAAAACGTGGGAAGAGCGGCAGAAGGAGACGCAGTCGCCGGTCATACCGGCCCTGCGGAACCGCACCAACGAGCCGAACCGTGGGCTCAGCCGCAGCAATAGTAAGAGTGGAGAGAGTGCGACTCCGCTGAACATTGACAGCACTTCGGAGAGTGGAAGGTCCAGGGTGAGGAGCAATCGAAGACTCAGCAGGGGAAGTCAAGCCGCGTCGATTGACAGTTCTGTTTCGAGAAGGTCGAATAGCACTGAGGTAGGTGCTGCTTTTTTATGCTATCTTGTCGGGAAAATAATGAAATAATGAACACAATGTCGCTGCGCCGGTTGTGTCACTGAAACGAAAAATAATCGTGCAGGAAAATCAAATTGCTTTTCACTTCAGCTACTCGATTTTCGGAGGGTGCTCATTACTTTCCCGACACGCTGGTAGTCCAAAAAAGTCGACGGAGTGATTTCTACGACATGCACTGTGCGAAAACAAAACTTCACTTTGCACTGTGCAATTTTTTCTTTTTTGCACCGTGCAAATGGCTTTTTTGAGCTGTCGCTCGCACCCTGTCCTTTTTACACAGTGCAAGCTCTAAAAATCAGTCCGCGACTTTCCGGAAGGACTAGTAAGACAGTGAAAAATCTTTACAACTAACTTCCATGCAACAAAGCCTGTTTATAACGAATAAGTTTGGAGGTTACAAGTGGTTGCTTTGGACTTAACTTAGACTTTGTAAAACGACGACTTTCTATAACGAATGATCTTCTTGCTCCCTGGCGATTCATTGTGCAGGGGCTTGACTGCACTTGTGCATGCAGTTGAGCCTCCGTACAACGAATCTACAGGTATCTGAAAATTTGGCTTGCTATAGAAAGGGTTCGTTTGATAAAAGTTAATTTTGGTCTAATTAAGACCAGAGATTGCCACGGTCAAAATTGTGGCTCCGGCTCCGGCTCTTAGCTCCCAGAGCCGGAGCCGAGGCCAAATTTGCAGCTCCGGCTCCGGCTCCCGGCTCCCATGAAAAGCTTAAAAAGGTTTGCGGCTCCGAATCCGAGCCGGCTCTCCGGAGCCAAGAGCCGGCTCCGGAGCCGTGGCAATCTCTGATTAAGACTGACCTCACAAAGCCTCAACAACTTTTATATCTCTTTATTTTCCAGGTCTATCTCACCTCACATTCGGCCAGTCGAATGGGCGATCGTCGGCCAAGCCAGGGCTCCAGAACGCCGGTCTCTCGCGCCAGCCGTCATAGTTATACTCCATCGGTTGCGGAACGCCCACGAATCCACACCTCCTTCTCGCAAACTTCGGCGATGAAAGCATTGGATTCGACGCAGAAACGGTTGGACGACGAGCTCAGAGCGCTGCGAAATCGACAATTCTCAACTGAACATTAATAAAAAGCGCTCAGAGTGCGATGCTTGGATTTTTTTCAAATTTGGAACAAATTTTCCTCTCTGTCAGGAAAATAATATGGATTTTTCGCAGCACAATGTCTCGCCTCGTCGCAGTCGTTCACAAAATTTCAAGCCTTCGAAAACCAATGATGGGCAATTTCAAGGCACTACGAATCCACATTATTTTCCCGACTAACTTTCTTTTTCGGTTGTTCTTGCAAACCGCTACCTAAAACATTTCGGAAAAGCAACCAACAGCTTACGCATGTATAAAATTTCATAAAAATCTGAGCATCGCCCGTTGAGCATTTTGCTTACAAAATTCAGCATTTTTTTGCTGACTTCAGTGCTTCCTAGTCCGTTCCGAAAGTCGCTGGAGTGATTTTTGGCGTTTGCACTGTACAGAAAAACTAGTGCTAGCAACAGCCCGAAGAAGCCTATTTTACGGTGCAAAAATCAAGAATTGCACTGTGCAAAGTGAACTTTTGTTCTCGTACAGTGCATGTCGCAAAAATCACTCCACTTTGCGAACGGACTAGTAAAAGATTAACCTGACTAAAATAATTTATTTATTTACGGTCTTTCAATGTTTGTTATTTCGTAGTTTTCAATAAATATTTTTTTTTCAATTCATCTTACCGTAATCCCAAAAAATTAAAGCTACAACTTCCAAGACTGCAAAGATCACATAATCATAAAAAGTCTCCGGAAAATCGCAACAAAAAACGAGGGAAAAAAGTCATCTTTGGGGCGTAAAATGCAAAGAGTGCGCAATTTCCGGGAAGTGCAAGGGCAGTGGATAATGAGTGAAATAAACCCGAAACGATGTTTGTCTTCCAACTCACGCGTTCTTTGACGCCCGTTTCGTTCCTTAATGGGAGCTCGGCCAGGAAAGGAAGACGTGCTGTCGAGTCGAGTGGAGCAGTTGGAGGTGGGTTTAGAGGGTGTTTCAGGGAGTTTAGGGAAAGGTATAGTGTTTTTTTTTTTGAGAAGATCTGTATTTTGCACAGTGTTAGTGGAGACGCTATGATTTTATTCTGTAAAGTGACAGAGTAGAAGAGACTAAAGTAAGTTCAAGAAAGCCCTTTTACTAGTCCGTCAGGAAAGAAAAATCATCAATTTTTCGCTCACTTCACCTTTTTCTTCTTACAGTCAGGGACCTGATCCAATGGCAAAAAACGTCTCCTTTTGCATCCCGGAAGGGACCAAAATGACTCCAAACCATTCCCTTCTCTAAGCTAAAAAACTCCGCTTTGAAAAGCGCGCCCTTTCCTTCAAGGCGGGCTCTTCAAAGCGGGGGTTTTTAGCTTAGAGAAGGGAAGGGCTTGGAGACATTTTGGTCCCTTCCGGGATGCAAAAAACGTACCATTTTGCATCCGGGGGGTATCAAAAATGTGGCAAAATGCTTCCCTATCCAAGTGAAAAAAACTTTGTTTTGAAGGGCTCGTCCTTTTTCCTCACAAAAAAAGTGGGCGCGATTTTGAAATCGGAGCTTTTTCACTTGGAAATGGAAGCATTTTGCCACATTTTTCATACTTCCCGGATGCAAAATGATACCTTTTTTGCCACTGGATAAGGCCCGTCAATGTATAAGAAAGCAAAGTAAGTTCAAGAAAGCCCTTTTACTAGTCCGTCAGGAAAGAAAAATCATCAATTTTTCGCTGACTTCAGTAGTCCTTATCAGCATTTTCATAAAGTGCCTAGACTTTTTTTCGCTTTCGCACAGTGCATCTCGAAATTGCACAGTGCGTTTTTCCCCCGCGCCGCTGCGACTTCCCGTTTTTGCATTAGCGACATGCACTTTTCGGCGAGCGCACCCCGCGACATCGGCGAAAAAAATTCTACGGACTTAATGGCGCGACTAGTACAGGGACCGGGAAGCATCAAAAATGTGGCAAGATGCTTCCCTCTCCAAGCGAAAAAACTTCGTTTTCAAGGGCACGCATTTGAAATCAGAGTATTTTCACTTGGAGAGGGAGAGGGATGCATTCTGCCACATTTTTGATACTTGCTGGATGCAAAATGGTACGTTTTTCGCCACTGGATCAGATCCCCCACTGTATATTCAATTTCATTGATTTCTACCCTATACAGGGTGTTTCAAGAAATTTGGAAGAAACTAGTTGCGAATATTTTTGAGCTCTTGCTAGTTATCGCAGAAATTCTTTTTGTTTCTAAAACTTGACAGCGGGCGGTTTTGTACTGAACAAAAAAAAAATTTTTTCGTCGGCGGAGAGGCCAGTTCTCGGCGGAGGCATTTGGGGCCTTTTTTAAAAATCACACCTTATTACATCGTGGAAACTCTGTTACAGTGGCCAAAATCATGTTTACGTTAAACCTCCGTGGATTTTGCGGTATGCTTTTTTTGTTTTCGATTTTCGCTCATCCGCGGAGGCACGGCGGAGACCTCAGGTTTCGGCGGACGTCGTTTTGAGCCTTTGGATCATTCAATTCAGGTTGGAAAAAAGTGTGGGGTGATTTTTTGTTGTCACCCGATGCACAGATGCAAAAATTTCGCACTTTTTTTCCCCGGCGGAGGATTCGGCGGAGGCTTTATCAAAGGGTCAGAACAGTCTTAGGAGTCCGGGAAAAAACTCAGCTACAAGAATCCATCACAGCAACACCATTTTTCTTATTTTTTTGATCCGGCGGACACATCGGCGGAGGTTTCGGCGGAGGCTTTATCAAAAGAGTCAAAATTTTGTTTTGACCCTTTGAGAAAGCCTCCGCCGAATCCTCCGCCGGGGAAAAAAGTACAAAATTTTTGCCCTCTGTGCATCGGATGACAACAAAAAATCGCCCCAACCTTTTTTCCAACATGGATTTGCAAAAACCGAGTGCCCAAAACAAAGTCCGCCGAAATCTGCGGTCTCCGTCGCGCCTCCGCGGATGTTGCGTAAAATCGAAAACGCAAAAAAAGCATACCGCAAAATCCACGGAGGTTTAACGTAAACATGATTTTGGCCACTGTAACAGAGTTTCCACGATGTAATAAGGTGTGATTTTTAAAAAAGGCCCCAAATGCCTCGGCCGAGAACTGGCCTCTCCGCCGACGAAAAAAATTTTTTTTTGTTCAGTACAAAACCGCCCGCTGTCAAGTTTTAGAAACAAAAAGAATTTCTGCGATAACTAGCAAGAGCTCAAAAATATTCGCAACTAGTTTCTTCCAAATTTCTTGAAACACCCTGTATACTGCCCTATGTATTCATAGATGTCATAGGCTGAGACTCCGTATTTTACAAATCATTTATGTATTGTGTAGTCAAATTCAATGTGCTGTGAAAGAGCGAAAAAATGTCCATGCACTTTATGAAAGTACTAATAGTGCAATTGATGACACGAAAAGTTGGCGACAGACCAATAATCTTGCTCATTTTCAATCAAAAATTCGACGGCATGGGCACTTTTCGAACGACCCTTTTGAACTCATTTCGAACTATCAGTCCATCGGGAAGATAATGTGGATTTGTCGCAAAAAAACGTCTCGTCTCGCTGCAGTCACGCACCAAATCCTCAGCCGTCGCAAGACGAGGATGGTCTTTTCCAAGGTTTGACGAATCCACATTATTCTCCCGACAGACTGATAGTTCAAAAGGGGTCGTTGTAAAAGTCCTCAGGCCGTCGATTTTTTGACTGAAAATGAGCAAAAACATTTCAGAATAAAATTCAGTGTGTCGGGAAAATAACGGCGGATCGTCGCGCTTTGGAATTATCGTTTTGTGAGGGCGGGCGAAGCTGGAGATTTGGTGCGTGATAGCGGTGAGGCGAGACATTTTGATGCGACTACCCGCCGTTATTTTCCCAACAGACTGATGTCAAAATGAAAATCACTTTGAAATTTGTGACTCATCTTCTTTGTTGGAGCAATTTGAAAAACAACAAGCGACAAATCACAAAAGAAACAAGTTTGTCCTAAAAAGCAAATTTATTTTTTTTTTGATTCTTGTTGTAGCCTCTAGTTTACAAATTAACTTTTCAAACTTCTTCCACTTTGCCGAAAACCTAATTTTGAGGAGTTTCACGCACCAGAAATGATGATATCCATGATGTCAATGGGAGAGATTTTTAAAACTCTCCCTTAAAAGGTTTTAAAGATGAAAATGGAAGGGCATTTAGGATTTTTGCGCAATTTTTAGCTGTTATACGGAATATTTTTTTTTTGCATATTTCTTTCCACACGGACAAAAAACGTACCATTTTGCATCCGGGAAGTATCAAAAATGTGGCAAAATGCTTCCCTCTCCAAGTGAAAAAAAGGAAAATTTTTCAATTGGAGCGGGAGGTATTTTGCCACATTTTTTGATGCTTCCTGGATGCAAAATGGTACTTTTTTGCCTATGAATCAATAGTGTAAGTAAAACTCCGCAGAACACATCCCTCTTATAACAAAACGTTTTAATTTTTAGTCCTCTGCGGTTCGTTTTACAAAGGTTTAACGCCATTTTTTATCGTAGTGTTTGTTATAAATAGGCTTTGAGTAATTGCTAAAATTAATTTTCACTGTATTCTTGCTCTCAGGCAATAACATTTTTTTTCTTTATTTTTTCTGACATCACAAAATTCGATGCTTAATCAAGCCAGAGTAAAGTTTTTATTTCATTTTTTTTTCAATTTCACGTCGTAAAACCAAAAATAAATTTTTTTGTCATCAATTTTTTTTTCTCAAAAAATTTACAATTACTATGTATCTGCCGTGTTTTCAGTAATTTCTCACCTTTCGTTCACATTTCCAATCAATTCCTGACGTTTATATTGCATTCGCCATCAATTTCCACATGTTTTTTGGCGAAAACTTTGCGGGCTAAAAATAATCAATTAGCGGCGGGAAAGGTCCAATTTTGTTTGCCAAAGCTTCTTTGTCTCCCCGAAGGGATTAGGCGCCGAATTCTGTGGAGACCGTAACACGCAATTCTCCTACGACGACGCCGTGTTTTCCCCACCCCTAATCCGCCGTCGTATTTTACGAAAAAAGGGGCGGAAATTTTTTGGTAATGAGACTT